GTCTGTTTGGGTGTAGGGGTGGATTGGGTTGATCTCTCTCATCGCTTTTATGTTACATAGTAAGAACTATGGTAGGGCTGGATAGCCGATGAGACGTTACGATATATGATCTTTGCAAAGCAGATAACCCATTTACATTCGATCAATGCTTTCCTTTACTTGTATTTCATACCATAGGAATTCCCAAGTACCCACACACATCCGAGATATGCTTACTTCAATAGCTCATCATCAGAACATCTATCCCAACAGTAACCAACAATGTCATCTAATCCAACAATGAGGCTGATGTAAATCTCACCCAGGATCCTGCTGACAGCCGACCTCTAAACTCCGAGCTGACACGGAGACCCCTCGGACTTACGCTTAGCTCGAACTAAGCATTGATCCCTGCACCATCTAACCTACACAGGAAATTCCCGAGTGCCAAGACCCTAGGCCTAGTGCAGTGGGGAATCAATCGTATCATTTGCATGCATACTAGTGGTATAGGTAGTAAGACCAGGAGGGATGGATGAGATGCTCAATTCCGGCCTGGATTCAATCTCCTATCGAGAACTCCCATGCATCCGTGGTGAAGGAGGTGGGGGCATGCACAATAAGCGGAAATTGGCCTCGAGTTTGATGAATACGGCCACCATCGCGCTGCGACTCGTCATCGTGGCCCATGTTCGGGCGCTGACGAGGAAGGATTCCAGACGCTGGTAATGGAGTGCCATTAGCGTCTCGATGACCGCGTTCCATTCGGATGTGTCGATCTCGTAGGCGCCTAGAAATGTCCGTTCTCGGCTGTATCCATCCGGGGTGTGCGATGGGAAGAGAAGGGTGCTTCCGGATGTGTTTTCAAGTTCTCGCAGTTGCAGCTGCATCTGCACATGGTGCGGGGAATGACTTTGACCAGGGAGCACCCTCATCCACTGGTCTAGGATTGCCTCATATTCGAGAATGAGTTGATTCCCTACCGGCGCAAGAATCATCATGCGTTCGGGACACAAGCGACACGACGGACATTCGAGCATGGCGGTGCATTTCTGCACGGCGAGCTTCTGGAATGAAAGCCGCGATTCCAGTGAGGGCGATTGTTCCGATACGATACGGTTCAGTTCGATCTGCTGGAGAATGTTGGCCACGGTTTCCCAGCAGTGGCATCCCGTCAGGGAGCTGTTGCTGCTGCCGGTGCTTGGGCGGGTATCGGTTGGTTGGTTTGGGATGTGATGTGTGGGAGGGACGTTGTCGTTGAATAGATGCATCATGCGTGGTCGGAGGAGTCGCGGCTCGATATAGGAGGTTGAGGTTGAGGTTGATACTGGCAGGACTGGGGCAGTGGCGGCCGGTGCAGAGGGCCTGGTTCCCTGTAGATCTTGATGCGCCTGTATGAGTTGCACATGGCTTCTCAGAGTTGAGGTGTACGTACCCAATGTTTGCGAGGTTGGCTGCAGCAAGTGCTCCGAGGATAAAGGGGGGTTCTCCGCCGGTGAATATGGCGTGAATCCCCACGGACTGATCCCATCGTTAGGCATTCCTGCAAGTGTCGTGTCATGGTCTAGGGCTGGCTGCAACGGGTCCATCATTCCTTCATCTGCCAGCCAATCTTCCATCAATAGCGTCTCTGGACTTCCCGATGTCTGAGAGGTGACAGGAATCGGTTGAGTCTCGGCCACCTCTTCCGGCGGGGTGCATTTCCTCTTGTCTCGGGTCGTTCTCGGTGTCTTGATGGATTTGGTTACTCTCGACCGATTGTCCGCTGCCATGGACGATGGGGATAATGGCTCCCCCGTTCCGTATTGACATTGAACCGACTTTTCGCGACACCGGCCACACGTCGGCTTTTTCCCATTACAGCGGAGCTGCAGCAGATCAGCATGGATTCGATGCGGTCATTACTGAGGGATAAAGCACCTTTTTTAACCGACAATTTTCACACGCAATATGTTGTGGACCTCGTCCGATGTTGACTTCATGGGCATATTGCTGTCGCTCTATGCGGATCGGCTCGTCTGCTCCACCACATCGCAGAGTGGAGAACATGATGAGGAGGAATGAATCGGTCTCCAGATTGGGTTTCAAGATAGGACAAGAGACTGCCATGTGGCGTCGGCATCCTATTATGTATATCTCTTGACTGACTGAGATCGAGTCACCCCTCCTCAGATCCTTCCTTGATCCTTCTAGATTGTATCTTCTCGTCATCTGAATGTGGCCGTTGCTCGGAAATTCCCCTGGACAATCTCACATCAGAGCGGGGCGCATCATCCCGCCACACGCTAAGCCCGGACACTTTCGACTGTAGTGGGAGGAATGGGTGCTGCAAGTAGCAGTGGCTGCATCGGTTACGCCAGGATCCCACAGGATTGGAGCCGCATGAGGATGAAGGAAGAATCCTCCCCGCTGCAGAACGGACTGCTGTATGATTTATCAATCATGCTGTAAGGCGCACGATGCCGCCTGATCGACAAGGATTGACGAATCGTTTCAGGATGACTCAGTGGCGCCCAAAGTACATCCAGTGATGTCCACACTGTGCTCTTGGATCAAGCATAGTAGCTGACTACCATCTCTGCCCATCTCATCCAGTTGCTCAGTGGGCAGCTAATATCACCTTGCGGCTCACCGTGACTCCACGAGCATGCGCTAACATCTAACATGAGGAGGCCTGATTGCAATCAGCGGCATGAAGATAGCTCGGGGGCGATGGCGGTGGCAGTGCCAGTGCCAGTGCTCTCACCCTCGTGCACAAATCAGCGTATGCTGAGAGTTGGCAGGAGTTCGTTCCCTGTCACCATGTCTCTGCTAAGACAATCTGCAAGTCTCCCATAGGTCATAGCGTCATCTGCAGAGTATCATAGGGAGTGAGAAAGGACACTATACTACAATGGGTAAGCAATTCGTCCGGCCTGAAACCCACCAACAGTCGGGATCGTCCGGGGCGGCACCAACTGTTGTCCAAACTCCTAGACCTGACGAATAGTGGTGCGTCCGTTGGGATCCACTGTGATAGGATCGAGTACTTCAAAAGACTAGTACTCCGTACGGAGTATGTGATGTACGGAGTAATCCATTGCAAGGCCGAATTAAAGGATTTCGACTATTCCCTTTGAAGTAGGAGAGACGTAGCCCCGCCTAGTCCGTAGGGAGGTAGCCACAAGCGGTAAAGCCAGAGTTTAGGTACCTTAGGGCACGGTTATTGTCTTGGCTATCAACACTTTATCCAGACTGAATTGTCCAGTGACCATCTAGCATACCCAACAACTCTAGATCGTGATGGCTGAGATTACTCCAGCTGAGCATACAGACGAGTCAGCCAGTGAGATTGTGACCATCAGACATATCAAAAAAGCCACGTAAGACCCAGCTGAGAGTGGTGGATTGGCCCTATGCCGTGGTCATAGATGGGCGAAAATTCTGCGAACCCGTTGTTACCCCCCGTTTAGTCCGGATCCGGTATGGTCTCCGTGACTATCTCCACCTGAAGAACTGTTGATGTTACCTCTATCAAATTCACAGTTGCTCAAGGTTTTCGGGTATGTAACGTCCCTAGCTCATTCCCGTGATGATGCATGCTTCGACCTTGAAGTCTTTCTGTGATTAAGATGGCCGCAATATTTTGCATAAGCTAAACAAAGAGAATATATCTGATCACTAATAAAGAGCCAGTGAACCGGCCTAGTCGGTCAACTCCTAGGTAAATCAATACTCTCATTCGCGCATCTTAGCGCGGAGTAATATCGGTTAAGTTTGGCCCGAATATTCCCAACCTCTGGCATGTAATTGGCACTCTGGAACTCAAAATACACGAAGTAATTTAATCTGATCCAAATATTGCTAGTATGCACCGTTTCCGCCCCATCAGAGGGGTCAGGAAGTGGGGATGGGCTAAGACTCGCTAATGCAACTGCCGATTATACACAGTATGTATCAACGAGATCTATAGGTTGGTTCGGGACGGACGGGGAGTGAGTGGATCAGAATTAAGCGATATTTCCGATATCTGATGGGGTTGTAAGCTGATCTTTTGAAAGGCGTCGTCTAGGGGTTTGAGGAAGTTTTTGGTGTACGCGATAGACCATTTTAGGAGTTGTGGCAGGACTTTCACGTGGTTAAAAGGGTTCTTCGTTCGCGTCAAGGTATTGAAAAGGCGTGTTTATTGTTGCAGAGAACTAAGAACTATGAGTGAGAAAACCAACTAAGATACACCGGATTACTTTGTGTGTAAGACAGGGATGGCATGGCGAAAGTACCGACGGCTACCCTCGTACGAAATCAAGCTTCCGGAAAAGAGACAGGGTTTCTGCAGGCAGCCGTGCTGTAAAGATTTCTTCACAGCAGAGCCCGAGTTGGAGGATTAATCCATAGAGGAGTAAAAACAGAGCAACAAAAAGGATACATTCCTGACAAAAACACTATATGTATCCAAAAATGTAAAGAAAATACATACAACAGAAGGGATTCGCTGGTGGTCACCCACCCAACTACTAACCTCCCGGCGTGTGGCTTAAGTACGGCTGAGCGGACGGGAAGCCCTGTTCTCCACACCCTGTGGTCGTATGTACCATCTTTCTTCTCAGAGTAAAATATATAATACTCAAGCTAGCATTAAATTTTCACAACACAAAAAGAAATCTGACTGATGTGCAGTTTAGTCACGTGGTCACTTTCCTATCGCTTATCACGAAGTTATCACGGTGGATGTCGGCTGTCGGGGTTTGGTTGTTCCGCTTGTCATTGATTCTAGATCACCTTGTTCTTTTCTTTTCTTACCCTAATAAGTTTGATTTCATAGTGTAGGGAATTATACTGGTATCGGAGCTAGCAGAGCAGATATTGTCGTTTTAGTGTTGAAAATATGGTACTGCGCTTGGTGTGGGGATTGCCTCGGTAGTGGCATGATATATTTTGACGGGCATCGTCTGCCATTGCCCCCAAGGGCATAGATTTGGCCATATTTAAGTACCAGGTTGCATGAATTGAACCAAGCAGTGCAGCTACCAAAGACAACGTGTGCAATGAAATCTCACTACAAGGTATTCCTCCTAAAGTATTGCGCAGTACCTTCTGAGCCTCTCTATCCGGGGCGATCCAGGTTCTTGGATGGAACCAATCTAACAACATGAAGAAATGCCAAAAGAAATGCGTAGATACCGGCAGTGGAAGATATATGTATCTAGGGGCATCGCAAATCATAATTCAAGTCGGCTGTAAGCAAGTCGGAATTGTGTCTCCATCTGTGGATGGTCATCGGTCCGGTGGGAGCATACCCTTTATGTAGACTCGACACGATCGTCGAGACAATGGATCGGCAATAAAACTTTTAGACGCCGGAACAAGCCAGAAGTATCAAACCTGCGTCAGTATTTCGTTTCTACTCTTATGGTCGTCAATGCATCGCCCAGCGGGCGCATAAGTGCATTCTGTATCCGATTCACTCGTCGCTCGGTTTCACGTCGTACTCTACGTCCGTCCGAATAATATACTTGGCGCCCTTTCGGACACCCGTTCCCTCGTGCAACAAGGCCCCATTGGCCTCGCCATGAGGAAAGATAGCCACAGCGCCCATCACCGGACGCACCGGGTAGGCATTCATAGTTCCCTCCCGTTTCGCCGGGATGAAGAACGTCGTTTCTCCGCCCTCAAACTCGTCGTTCAGATAGAGCAAGAAGGTATACATCGAGCTCTGCTTCTTGTCCTCCGGCGAGGCATCGTACACGTAGGTATCATCCGGGAGAATGCCGGACGGCGGCCAGGCTCCGTCAATGTGACAGCGGTACTCGGCGCCAGGCACGTAGCGGTAGACCCGGAAGCGGCGGTTGATGCCCCGCGCGAGACGGCCGTTGATCGATTGTGGTACGTAGGCGGAGATTCGCGCCCACAGCATGTCGTGGAATGTGGTGTCGACGACCCAGTAGAAGTTGTGGGCTAGGATGCTCATGTCGCCATCCTCGCGGAGGGGCACGTCGGGTAGGAAGTTGACTGACTCGCCCGCGGCGATGATGGCCTTGCATTCAGTCTCGGAGAGGACGTTCAGGGCGAGGCCGAGACCGGGCACGGCGGGATGGGGCACGTAGGTTATAGACGGGCCGACCGGGGCCAGCGGAACGGCATTGGGAGTGGTGGTATAGAGGATGGCAGGGTGGTGGTTGGGAGGTTTGCGGAGAGGACCCGGAGTTTCGTCGATGATGCGCAGGGCAGAGGGCGACTTGGGAGCCTCGGCCAGGATCGATTTATCGAGAACGGAGGCGTAGACGGGGAGGGGGGGGGTCGAAGGGCGCAGGTCCCAGATGGACTGGAAGGCGATGGGCGAAGTCGAGTCGACGGCATCCGGGCTGTTGTCAATCGGGGTGCTGACCCGTAGGATGGCATCGAGGACGCCCAAGAGTTCCAAGTCCTCAGGGCTGCGCTCCAAAGCGGCTCGGGTGAGGGCTTCGGGCTGGGTGGACAGCCCACTGACGACGTCCAGATCGCGCACCCAGCGACACAAGGCTCCGATCTTGGGCTGCTCTCCCCGCAGTCGCATCTCGGCCAGCAGTATCTTGGCATCCAGATATTTCTTATCGGCCAGGGCCCCGGTGATCCGTGCCGTCAGGTTGGCGCCCTCTATTGAAGATTAACGGTCGTAATCCATCAGGAACAGCACAGCGTACCGGCAGTGTTCACCCCCGTGGTACAGGCCTGGCGAAAGTCATAGACGGCCACCCGAAGATCCTTGCATGCCTTGGACTTGGTCAGACTGGGGTACTGGGTGAGCGTCCTCAGTGTCTCGATGGTAATGTCCAATTCCTCCTCGTCCACCACGGTGTTCAGGTTTTTCGGCTCTCGGGTGGCGCCATCGGGCGGCGGAGTCAGGATCGAGGCTGCTTTGGGGACTTTCTGAGGAAGATCGATTTGGGCATTGCGCTTGCGCTTGGCTGCCTTGGACTTGGCCATGGTGATGGTGGGTTGAACAATGGCTGAAAATCGATCGAGACTTGAGACTGTGGGGATGGGCTTCCCACAGCGAACTTTTGCCGGCAGACTCGGATTATTAAGCCCGCAGACCCGCCCGGAATTTGGCACTAGAATGGATGGATGTCATCCAGAAGAAACTACGGACCCAGCAATTACTCCGATACCAGGAATGATTAAACGGGTTGGCTGATATAAACCGATCTACTAATGCGGTCCGGGAAGATCTGATCGTCCTGTCACGGGGAACGATTGGATGTGACTGATGCCAGAGATGCTGCAACGGAGGTCCGAGAAAAAAGTTGGCAACGACTCATAGTCCGTAACTACTCCAAAGAGTGCCCGTCTACTCTCCAAACCTGCCGACGGCGAACCACTGAACAGTAGAGGAAATTGATTTTTCGTTTTCATTTCATCAGAATACACCGATGTCAACAGATATATCCCGATCGTAGGCAAGATCCCATTGTTCGCGTCTTCCGGAACTCCCGCGTATCACTGCCATTGCCGTATGAACTAAACCTCAAAACCCATTTAAGCCGACTTGCTCTTGACGGCCTCACGACCCTTGGCGATGCGCTCCAGGATCTGCTCACGGTCCTTGTCGAGGTGGAGCTTCTTGATGACGACCTTGGAGGGGTGGAGGGGGATGGGGACGCTCTGGCCGTTGCTCTTGTCGCGGCTGATGCGCTCGACGTGGATGGCGAACTTCAGGCGGTAGACGCTGGTGACCTTGCCCTCACGGCCCTTGTTGCTGCCGCGGACCACAACGACCTTGGATGATTTAGCGGGGGGATCTGGAATAGGAATCGGCTAGCTCACCTCGTCGTCCTTGCGGATGGGGATCGAGCGGACCTAAACAAAAAAGTTAGACCATATTCCTAGTTGCATGTATTTCCCTCCATCGGCTGATTTCTGGCTTTCCCACTCCTCCAATCCCGGTATCTGCCAGACCCAATCCAAATCACTCGTGGAATCGACGTACATTGTACTTGGCGCGGAGCTCGCTCGAGAGAGGAGCCGAGAGGATGACACGGCGCTCGCTGGAGGGGGCGTTGAAGTGGGCGGCGCGCGACTTGCGGCGAGAAGAGGCGAGACCTATATCATGGTGGATTAGCATAATCCACGGGGACCGTAACAGAGGCAGCCAACGCACTGGAGTTCCGAACAGCCATTGTGAAGATGCCACCTAAAGGTCGTGGTAGAACTCGGACGGGTGTCGTGAGGGTCGTCGGGAAGGTCGTTCAGGAAGAGTCTGACGCTTTCCCGTCTGCTGTTCGTTTGTGGTCCAAAATTCCGCTGTGCGTCACATGACTCCCCGCTTCGCCTAGCGCCAGGGCCGACTACATGATTGGCTGCTGGCTTTCACCTTTACGGTCGCGCCAGATACAGAGTACTACAGATATCTGCTCAGTTTTAAGTCTTTGAATACATGCAATGTATGCTATTAATAGGTTGCTCTTCTTTATCAATGGATGTTGGAAACAATCTTGACTATATTTCGTTGTTCTGACTTATACTCCATTGCATGTTCTTCCTCCCGCAACCTGGTCTTGGCATTCGCACCTTGCCCTGCCTGCCTGCCTGCCCGCCTGCCCCTTTGCTTTTGTACTTGTCGAAGAGCCTCCCCCACGCCTCTCCCAGACTTCCCGATTCGGACAATACGCATCTATCCACAAACCTCGATCCAAATGATATTACCATCACTCCTTCGTAGGACTCGGCTGAATATTCTTTATCTTCTGAGTAAAATCATAATTAAGCCCTAGACTTGATTTAAACATTCTGCTGTCGGAAACCCCGAGGTTCAATTCTAAGATATAGTATAACGTAAATGGGATACAGCGCCTACTAGATAAGTGAAGGGTCATTCGGAGTACTATATGTCCCTGTCGCTTCGCCCAGCTGTTTCTTTGTTTTTTTCATTTTCGATATTTTGTAGACAACGGCACGGAAAGGAAAAGAAAAAAGAAAGGTATTAACAAAGATAAATCAAATTATCCAATACCTCTATACTAAGTTCTCTGACTTAAAACCCTCACCTCCACCACCGGCCCCCGATAGACCCTCCTCGCCCAACCAAAATAATACACCACCGCCAAAACCGTCGCGCCCCCCGTCAAGGCAATACTATAATTAACCTCGCGCGGACTGGGATGATTCTGCAACGGCCAACACCCAAACAGAAACATAATGACCAAACACACGATGGAAAAGATATTATTCACGATGCCGAGCCAGCCCTTTACCCGGAACGGACCCCAGGTGTATGGCTGGGCAGGGTCGAGGTCGGCTTCCTTGGGGTCGGCGATGTGGCCTTGGACTCGGCGGTAGAGGAGGAGGGAGAGGGGAATCAGGTAGGAGGAGAAAAAGGCTTGCATGATGAGGGAGAGGGTGATGTTCAGGATGTAGTTGGAGCCGACGTTGATGAGGCTGATGAGGGCGGTGGCGATCACGATGATGAAGATGCTGTGGTTGGGGAGGGAGGTGCGGGGGTGGACCTATGCCAGTTGTTTTGGGGTCAGTGGATTTACATGTGTATGCATGGAGGGTATGAGCTGTACTTGACGGATCCAGTTCCAGCCTGGAATGCCCTTCTCGCGAGAGAAAGACCACAGCATGCGGCTGCCCGAGGCCAGGGTGGATAGTCCGGCGCAGGCAGTCAGGATCGCCAGCATGCTGGAGAGGATGATTGCGGCGGTTTTGCTCTGTGTGGAATTTTCCAACACAAACATGAAGGGGTATTTGGTGTCGGAGTTGAGAAGGGCTTGGATATCGCCGGATTTGAGGAGAATGGTGATCAGGATGCCAAATCCGAGAGCTCCGTTGATCACGATGGCGAGGAGCATGGATTGGGGTACCACCATGCTGCTGTTTTCGACTTCTTCGGCCATCTGATGGTTCAGCGACTGCTTAAACAGTTGAGTGATACTCACATGAATGGCCCCGTCCATGCCTATAAGGTGAGCTCGATACTTGAAGGCATTAGATTAGGACTTACCCACAAATGCCACCGCGGTTCCTTGCAGGCCTACAAACGACGACAGGGTAATGGAATCCCAGTTGCCCAGGTCCACGAGCATAGAGAAGACAGATCGTGCATCGGTTTGCGGACCCAGAGCAATCAGAGAAAACAAGACCGCAAAAAAGCCAAAGAGGTGGATCACCAGGATCAATATCTCGATGGCGGGGAGAACCACTCCAAGGTATGTGACGACAAGCAGGGAAACCAATAAGATGCCCCAGGTGATAAATGTTACATGCCATCCTTTGGGATCATACTGGGGCCTGCCTAGCGCGACGGTACCTTGTAGAACGCTCGCGCTAATGACATAGTTGCCGACTGCCACAGTCTCCCAAGCGATGATGGTGATGGAGCCTAGCAGCATTAGCATTCACCTGTGCTATGGGTCTGCTTCGATACCGGTGATGTGACTGAGGAATGGCTTGGAGGATGCTGGAGCGAGAATACTGGTCCAATGGTATTGCCCACCGGCCTTCAAATTAGCAGACCACTGTTGCCATAGACAGAGCGCTTACCGAAGGTATCATACTGGCGAGCTCTCCCATAGCGATGAAAATGCTCAAAAAGGCGATCCAGACCCCGATGTATCCGTATATCAGCCCAGGAGGACCTCCACTGAATCCAATTAATGACTGCACCTGCAGCAATGGTCGACCATACTTTCGTAGTCCCACTCCGAATTGTCTATCTTATGTTAGATGGGCGAAGAAATATGAGGTATACAGACATCATCATCGCCTCCCATGTAATCATCAGGCTACTCGCGAATCCAACTGTGCTAGCTAGACGGAATCTTCGCTGTGCCTGTTAGCTCGGGATACTGTTGATATTAGAGGAAACTAGTACCTTCATAACCTCTTTCTTCCCCACCCGGGCCAGCTCCAGGGCATCCCGGGTGAGCAACGTCTCGCTGCTGGTTCCTGGAAAGTCATTGCCATGCGAGCATAGCTCGATCTGGCTTTGGGTTGCAGATTCGTCTGCCATTTCGGTGTGATAATGTATAGTTGAAGACCAAGAATGAGACCCTTAACGGCGTGAGAGGTCTCATACATAGACCAGAGAAAATTCAACTCTGCCAGGAGGCGGCGAAAGGCAGTGAGAAATATCAGTGCTACATCTGTAACAAACGGAGCAACTCACGAGTCTCCGTTCAAGGCTGATTAGGTGAATTATTAGCTCACGGCAGTATCTCGGATCAGGTCTGACAGGATGGAACGGAACGGCAAGGCCGAATGTTTAAATGTCAGACGTGTGGATGCCACACATCAGAGCCATGGACGGTGCATCGGATGTAACACAGCGGATGACGTGAGATTGGCAGAGGCCATGCCTGATTCATTGTAATGGGTTGTCCAGTATCTCGGGTCGTACGATTTGTGAAGATATCCCTGAAGACATGCACAGCAGATACGACGTATTCTGCCAAGCCAATCCCCCCATTCCGCCGCGGATGGTCTTTCTAGTTGATATGGTCCAGATAGCTATGATACAATATTTCGGGCCAATGTGCATACTGCATATGCTAGACGTACCAACCTTCTGCTACGAATGCAAATTACGGCTGGCCTTATCAACTGAAGGTTGATATCCATTTGGCGGGAGACTATCCAATCACAATACCATACTGCCATCATACATCGTGGCTATGAGTTTCTCCATCCAGGATCTATCCATGAACCCAAAGCCAGCTGCTGACTCGACTCCAGCATCTCAGTCGCTCAGCCTTATCGCCATTATGACCATCACCATGAGCCCACCATATATCACAATCCCTTTCACCCCCTCCACCCATCAAACCACTATCCACTAACCAACCCAAATCCAAAATGGACAACCACAGCGGCGCCATCAAAATTGCCAGCTGGTTCCTCCTGCTCACCTCCATCTCCGTAGTCACCGTCTGCTCCCTCACCCGCTGGCGTCTCTTCCGAGAAAACCTCCTCCCTTTCGCCCTCCTCCTCAGCACCCTCGTACGCATTATCCCCATCCCCCCATATCCCACCCACCAACCCTAACCCTCATGACCTAGATATCCTCAATAATCTCCGGCGCCTGCATCTCCCTCTCGGCCACCCACGGCCTCGGCACCTCCCTATCCCCCAGTACCTCCCTCCCAGGAATCCAAAAAGCCCTCTACATCTCCGACCTGTTCTACATCCTCACCCTCGGGTTCGGCAAACTCGCCGTCGTCGCCTTCTTCCATATGCTCCTCTCCGGCACCGGCCAGATCCAGATAACCATCCTCGTTCAGGGCTTTCTGATCCTCTGGACCGCGAGCATGTTCATCGCTGCGTCGCTGCAATGCAGACCCCCTGAAGTGTGGGATTTGGTTTCAGGGAGGTGTATACATACCGTATGCCCTATACCCACTCCCATACCATACCCCATACCTGCACACACACACATACTAACAAAATACAGAGAAGTTTATGGACCTACTCATCAACAAGTAACATCCTCATCGAAACCCTCCTAATCCTCGTCCCGAGTATCATCATCTTCCGGCTACATATGCCTCTCCGGAAACGGGTGCTCGTGGTGGCGTGTTTTTCTTTTCGCGCATTGTCTGTATCCCCATTCCATCCCCCTGCCCTGATTCTCCCCCCCCCCTAATCCCAACGCAAGCCAAACCATTCCTATACACACAACTAACCCCCACCATGGAATAGGGACATCCTCGTCTCATCCATTCAACTCCACTACCTACATGCATTCGACTCCCAAACCCCAGTACCCGTCGATCTCTGGCCGTGGGTGATATGCAGTCAGGTATTGCAGACCACGACGATTGTGTCCGCGTGTGTGCCGTATCTGAGGGAGTTTTTGGAGGCGTTTCCGAGTGGGATGTTGAGGCCGGCGGGGGAAGCTGGGAGTGGTGGGACGGGAGGGAATGGGGGGAGTGCAAGTGGGGAGGGGGTGAAGGGAGGCCGGTATCAGGTGTATTTTTTGAGGCAGGGGCGGGATGTGGAGTTGGAGGGGTGGGAGGGGAGGGGGGGGATGAGTTTATTCTCTAGAGATTGATCTTTTACTTTTTTTTTGTTGATCCTTTTGAGGTGAAGATAGTTATTGTTGAAGGGGTGGGCGATTAAGATGGGAAAAAGAGAGTAGGTTTAAGAGAAGCAGTCTTATTAGTTCGTTATAACCTATAATACTTATCAAGGTAATAGAGCAGATAAAAAAAAAATTACATGATGCCTACTTCGCGGTAAAACGACTCCTCGCCCGCAGCGCCGCCCCATAATAATACAGCGCAAACATCCCCCCAATACATCCCACCGTCAAGCCGGCCAACAGACTGATGCCCGGTCCAACTCCCAGATTGACATACAATGGACGTGCAAATAGTACCGCCCCACAGGCCAAGGCACTCCGCATGAGATCATTCCCTGCAAACAGACTCGCCGCGTACTGCGGATAGGTCATGGGAATGTAAATGAAGATGCACTGGATGACCATGAAGATACCGATGGTGTAGATGAGAATCCCGACCACCGAGACGATCCAGTACACCGAGGGCCGGGAGGTCCAGCCAAAGAGGAAGAGTCCGATCGGAGGGAGGAAGCAGGCGAAGAGGGCGGGGATGAGTCGTCGTTCGGGGGACCCGATGCCTTGGGTTCGGATTTCCGGCTCGAACACTTTGTTGAGGTAGATGAAGTATAGCGGGACGGCGATGGCCAGGGCGACGGCGATGCTGAGGAAGACGAGGCCCATTTGTCCTAGATTGAAGTGGTACATGTCGATGTAAACGAGGGGGAACACCTCGAAGAAGGAGTAGTAGATGCCGTAGATGAGGCTGGTGTAGACGTTGACGAAGAGGATGGCGGGATCGAGGACGACGATTTGGAACGGGCGATAGAGCGCCTCCATGGCCACGGCGGTGACGGTAAGCTGCTTCTGGTTGATTTCTGACTGGGAGAGGAGCTTGTTGTTGCCGGTAATTCGACGCAGACGCTGGGCGCGGCGCAGGAGGATGGTGTCTGGGAACGTCTCCGGGAGCAAGAAGAACATCAGCACGAGGATCGGGGCGGACATCCAGACCGTCTCCCAGATGGACCAGCGCCAGCCCTTGACCGGGACGCTGAAGCCGGAGATGACCGGTCCCAAAGCCGGACCGAGAGTGGCAAACGCCGCCCAGGTGGTGAGGCCGTACGGGAGCTTGAGCAGGCTGTACACATCCCCGATGCTCGCACCGCCGGTCGCAAGACATGGACTACCAAAGAAGCCCTGGAGGAAGCGGAGCACGAGAAGTCCCCCGAAGGTGTCGACGACCGCAGCGCCAATGCTAAACACGATGAAAAGAGTAAAGGTGATGATGTACGGCGGGTTGCGTCCGACGCTGGGAATTTCGCTGAGGGGTGAAAAGAGCATGGGCCCGAAGCCATATCCCAGGACATACAGGGCCAGACCCAAGGAGGCGGCCGTCTCGGAGACGCCGAAACGGGCTTGAATCTGGGGAGCGCTGGGGGTGTAAATGGACGAGCCCATGTAGACGACTAGCGTGTAGAGATAAATTTGCGCGACGGTGAGCAGCTTCTTGCCCGAGGACCAGTTCTGTGGATTCTCGGGATCATGCGTGGTATACCAGTCGACCAGGATAGTGCCATCGGCGGTCTTGGTGGGCGCAATGGGTCGACTGGGTGCCGCCTGTAGGGCTTCGGTCTGCGTGGCCACCGAATAGAGACGCGCCAGATCCGATTGCGAGCGAACCTTTTCCACGTCTCCCATCGAAGGCACTCGACTCAGCTCTCGGTCCAGGGCTTCCGATCTGGAGGCATTCTCCGCCACGCCTTCGCTTTCTTCGTCTGCCTCTGCATCCGATTCGGGCTTCGAGGTCGGTTCACCGTCTGCTTCGTGGGTGAAGAGGGTCGGGGAGACGGCCCGATCAGCGTAGCATTGAGGGCATTGGAAACCCGGTTGCTCTTCCGGGTATGGTAAGACTTTGTTTCTGGTGATCCAGCGCAGCAATTGGCCGGCTGTGCTATTGCGGAAGAGGCCCTCCATTGGATAAGCGTGTCTTTCCGGTGAGAATGAGCTGGGATGCAGGAAGTATGATCATTGACCTGGTGAGTGACATTCCGCCGATTTATAGCTATACGAAGCTCTGCAGTTTGCTCATCAGCTCCGACAAAGGACGACATGGCATCCATGGGTATGCCATCCAGCATTACTCAGCGTATTGGTGGTTGCGATGAGGTGCTGTTGATTAGTGATCGTAGCCCAAGCCACGCGATCATTGATCGTGTCTGACACGAGCTGTGATGAAGTAAGCGTTCCATCGTTTTTGTTGGGCTGATAAGCATATCTCTTCGGGTTCCCACATTAATAATCGTCGTGTTGGATTCGGAGCAGTTGACAGAACAGGTCGGAAGATGCCAGCACTCTCATGGATTGATAATCGGGCGATTTTCATCGCCGCAAGTCAGGTGACCGTGGAGTGTCTGGGTTTCTGTACCTCTCCCCAAGTCCCACCATCTGGTATCACCCAGTCATCGCAACTCATCGGTTCATCCGCATTCATCGAAACAAGTGTCCGTCATGCTAGCAGTCAGCTCATTCCATCATCGATCTCCATGTGGATGAGCGTGGTTGACAAAGCACCCCATCCCAGTCGACTGTCTGCGAGAATTTGACCATCAAGGCCATATCGCAACTGTCAGCGGCATTCCAGTGAATTCCGGAGCAAGATATGGACGAGAAATGTGTCCGAGCCAGACGGTCGCGGAGACAATCGGGGGGAATTCCTCCGTGTCGGCCTGAGGCAGGACGATTAGCGCTGATTGGTGCCTGCTGATGGCCAATCAGAGGCAGGTAATCTGATGATATGTCCGACGCTTGGACCACCTCGGGCATATCTGGACATTTTGGAGCCTCGCTGGGGAGTCCGTGATGATACATTCATCCGGGTCGGAGATTTTATGCCTCGCAGTGACCAAGCATCGAATTCCCTCGCATATTTATACCTCTGCACCAGTTCTCATCATGTCCCGCCAAAGCAATTCGTTCTCATCCAGCGGTCCAAGGGCAACACCATGGCAACACTGCGTCAGTATCTCAGTCTGCGAGACGCCACCAGGGCCGATCTGGCCAAAATCCACTCCTATGACAGCTCCTCAGGCACATCGACCCCGGACGAAAAGGAATCGTCCCTCGTGCCCGGGGTTCAGATTTCACGTCCCGCAGAACACGACGGCTCCGTCACTTTCCTGGTCGGCTGGGCAGACGGCGATTTTCACAACCCTCAGAATTGGAGCCGTTCCAAGAAATGGTTCTGCACCATAGCAATCTGCCTGATTGCCTTGGCCATTAGTATTCCCGGAACCATTGATGCCCCGGTTTCGGAGGCCTTCAACGAACACTATGGCGTGGGTCCAATTGCAGGATCCATGACCACCGGTAAGTTGGCCAGAAGACAGGGTTCACTTCAAGACTGACTGGGATCCCGGCAGGCATGTATCTCATCGGGGTGGGCGTAGGCTCGCTGTTTGCCGGTCCTATCTCGGAAACCTTTGGACGCAATTTCGTCTACTTTACCAACCTGCTGGTCTTCATGTTGTTCATCTTGGCCAAAGCACTAGCCCCGAATTATGGCGCCGCCATTGTCTTTCGCTTCCTGACCGGCTTTTTCGGGGCTGCCCCGATGACGGTTGCCGGCGGCACCGTTGGGGATCTCTGGAGCCCGCTTGAACTCACTTTTAGCCTACCGTCGGTGACCCTGGCATCGTATTCCGGGCCCATCCTTGGCCCCATCATTGGTGCTTACATCCCAAAGTCCGCCTTTAATTGGACCGACTGGATTTCACTCATCATTGCCGGGACGGTATTTATCTTTGTGGCCGTGTTTCAGCCGGAAACCTACGGTCCGTTGCTGCTGCAATGGCGGGCCAAGCATCTGCGGGATCAGACGGGAGATGCCCGCTACCAGGTCGACGAGCAAGCATCCACCAGCGCTCTGGGTAGTCGGCTAGTTATCAATGTCTACCGCCCCTTCCAGATGACCTACACGGAGCCCATCATCCTAGTCTTTTCATTCTACCTGGTCCTCCTGTACATTGTCTTGTTCACCTTTCTCAACGGGTTCCCCTTCATCTTTACCGACACGTACGGAATCTCCACGTCGCTCACCTACATCATCTTCGTGGCCATGCTGGCTGGCGATGCCATTGCCCTCATGCTCGTTCCGATCATCTACCGCTGGACCAAGCAGGCAGCGGTCAAGGCTGCCGCCGAAGGAGGGGTCTTACAGGCAGAGGTATCCCTGTATTGGGCAATGGTCGGAGGCTCGATTCTCATGCCAATTTCGTTGTTCTGGATGGGATGGACTTGCTATGTAAGTGCTCTGCCTCCTTTACCGAAGCATTACTGACCATGACAGCCCGGAGTCAGCATCTGGTCCCCGATTCTTAGCACGTTCGCCTTTGGGTACTCTCTGGTCACCATCTTCACCGCGACGTACCTGTACATCTGCTTCGTCTACACGGTCTACGCGGGCTCAGCGCTGTCCTTCATGACGTTCAGTCGCTATGTCGTTTCTGGGGCGTTACTGCCGGCCTCCGTCCCGATGTATCAGCACATGACTCCGCACTGGGTCCTCACCATGGTGGGTATCCTGGCGACGATCATGGCACCGTTGCCGTTCTTGCTCTACCGCTATGGCCACCGAATCCGGGCCATGAGCAAGCATGTTCAAAATAAGGCTTAAAAGGCGATTCTCGACGCATGTGCATGGAATAAACGGTTAGATGTGGAGGCTTAATGCCAGTTGTCTGTTATATGATAATGTGATAGGACAAAAGTGGTTCATTTGAGACGAGCGATGTTGAACCATTATGACCAAGATAGATTTCTTTTCATATCTTAATTTCTGTTTCCTTCCAATCCCCCTATTTTTCTCATCCCTGTCAGGGACTCGATGGCTCCACCACGATCCTGCGGGGCATTAGCGTGGCGACTAGTGGCGGGACACATGCGCCCACTTTCAACCTCACTTGCAGCTGTCATCTCACCCTTGCGCCATCTCTCCATGCCTGGTCTTGCTGCGTGGTAAGCGATGCAACCGGTCGAATGGCTTCAACGACCAACAGCACCACGGCGGAGTCAACCGACGCCAGGGACGAGTCGCCCCAGGATGACACCTATGCCGCTCCCTACGGCAGTTCCTGCGTCAACTGCTCGCAGGCCAAGTGCAAGTGTATCTACTCCAAAGCTGGCGGACGCTGCCAACGGTGGGTATATACCCCTATCTCAAGCCCGGTAATAACAATTGTATAGGTGCCAGCGCTTGGACAAGGACTGTCGTCCGTCCGCCACCCGACGCTTAACCACACGGAAGTCGAATGTCTCCAAAAATGCTCCCAAGACAAGTCGGCTGGAGGACAAGCTAGAGGATCTGGTATCGCTGCTCCGGGCGGGTGTACAACCTGGGAACATCTCTACGACCATGTTGAAACATCTGGCGCAACCCTCGGAGACCCACAAATCCCCCAGCAATGCCGCATCGCCCTTGGGCCTGTCCGACTCTTCCATGACTAGTTCACGACCTAGCTCAGTTTGTCCCCCCCGTAGTCATGGTGCCGCCTCGACCCCGGAAGCGAGCATCGTGGACGGGGGCTCTGTATCTTCAGGACCATCAGCTGAGACGGAGGAACCGACGGGCGTCCAGGCGGAAGAATCCCTTACCTTTTTCATCACTCAGATGCTGCCGTTCTTTCCGTGCATGTATATCCCGCCAGGTACTACTTCACAGAAGCTCCATCGAGACCGACCGTTTTCGTGGCTATGTATCATGGCCGTGTCTTCCAAGATTAGCGCACAACGTCGTCTGCTGTTCGACCGGATCAAACAGATCGCGGCGCAGAGACTGGTACATGAGTACTCCTGTCGTGACCTGGATATTCTCCAAGGTCTCCTGATATACCTTGGATGGTACGTCCCCGCTCCGAGCGTCCTGGCATCGACTGACCTGTCAGGTCCAACCAACAAGTCTACAACAAGGCCAACATTTACGTGTTCGCCCAGCTGGCCACGGGTATCGTCTACGAGATGGGTCTGTTCAATCCCGAGGCAAAGGGAAAGCATATGCTGTTGTGCGTTCATACCGAGCCACACGAGAACCGTTCGGCACCTCCGCGCCACATTATGGAAGAGCGCCGGGCGGTCCTAGGGTGCTTTCTCCTGACATCCATGTAAGCCTGTTCCTAGTCACAATGGGACTTTTCTAACTCGTCAGCATCGCTACGTTTCTCCAGCAGAGTGATTCCCTGCGCTGGACATCCCATATGGACGAATGTCTTCGCCAGGTCGACGAGCAACAAGAATGCATTAACGATGGAATTCTGGTTCAGCAAGTCCGACTGCAATTGGTCATGGACAAGCTCAGCTTGGGACGCTGGTACGGGGGGTCCTCCAAATCCCTCGAGTCGATGCGACCATCGCCGGCCGTCTATCTTCGACCGATGCAGACCCAACTGCAGTCACAACTGCAAGTCATCATGAGCCGACTCAGCTCACATTCCAAGGGATATAGTGGGTGCTATTACACCACTACCAGACCATCCACTAATATGGCTTAGAGATCGTTCTTCTGCACCACTACAACACCTCGTTGAGTCTCCACGAGTCCGCTCTCACCAAGGGTTCCATTGCCTCCCTGAGCAACGTGACCTTCGAGCACCTGGACTACCTGTACGGATGTCTGGACGCCACCAAGTCATGGTTCGATGTGTTTTTGAGCATCCCGCCGATGGAATACATCGGGTTTCCCTTTGCAGTCTTCTCCCAGATGGTCCAAAACCTCGCCACACTCTACCAGCTATCCACCCTGGAAAGTCCCCTCTGGGATACAGCTAATGTCCGACGGACAGCAGATGTCTTGCAGATTCTGGATACGATCGTTGCCAACATGGGTCAGGTTGCCGCCCTCAATGGTCTGGTTGGTGAGCCTGGCGGCGATATCTTCTCGACTATCGCCCAGATGTATCATGCTGTGCGCGTTGGATGGGAGACGAGCCTAGGGTCAGATGCAGGGTCTAGTGCGACAAACTTGATTCCGTCGCTCTCTATCCCATCGCTTCCTGGAACGGACCCGTTGGCGGATGCGTTTCCTCTGATGGATGATAATGACTGGTTAACGGATATGCTGAATACGATGGATCCGCCGAACAATGGATGATCTTCTGCGGCAAATTAGTGCAGATCGTGCGAGCGGTTGATGTATCTGCCCTACAGTCCTCAACGACAGCACCTGAATGATGAGTCTCTCGGGCATTCGTCTCAAGTGGACCGCCGAGTCACACTTCGATATCATACGAACTCCCAAACTGAATGTTCCACAATTCCTTACATTAGTCCAAAACCCATACAGCATAACGCTAAACCAACCAATTACACATGCAACTACCCCGCCACCCTCAACACCGCCGCGGTCATCACCCCACCCAACCTCCGCCTCAACTCCCCCTCCAAAATCAAACACACCTGCTGGTTTCCACCCCCCACCGCTCCCTCCCGACAATACCCCCTCGCAAACACCTCGATCAATGCCCGCACCTGGTCCAACTCATTCACCACCTGCACCACTCTCCGTCGCCGATCAATCTCATCCCCCTCAGTCCCCTGCATCCTCCCCATCCCCACCGTCGGATCCGGATCATCCAAAACACCCCGATACCCATCCAGGATCTGCAGCAGCACCTGGGCGATGACCAGACCAAAGCTGGATGACAGCGCACAGGGACATCCCAGTACCAAAGTAATGGTATTCATTGCGTTTTGATTCAGCGGGACGATAGAGTCCACAGTCCGTGGTAGGACTGTGCTCTGTCGATGCAGACATGTCTCGGATGGCGGATGCAGCGATTGCAATATACTTAACAGCATACTCATGCACGATTGGTCGTGTATGATTGCACCCGAGGCTGGAGATACCCCCGACGATAAGGAAGGTGATGTCGAGGATGGTATCGCCACGATTTCGTACTCTGGCTGCTGGGTAACACCGCTCGGCGGAGGGGCAACATCGAAGAATTGATCGAGATTCTGGTTCAGAGTTTGCCAGTTCTGCACTGTCTCTCCCTCTGCTGTCTCAGGCTGACTAGCTGGTGCTGGTGCTGGTATATCCCCAACCCCATCAACCCCAGAAACACCAAGACAACCCTCCCCAGGAGACCCCGGAGAACTCTCCCCACCCGACCCCTCCACCTCCACACCCACCAACCTCCCCCGCGGCCTCCCCCTCGGCCGCAGCAACCCATACCGACACAACAGCCCCCTCGCCACACACCGCTCACAACTCGGACGTTGCTTGCTGCATCGAATTTTGGCTTTGGCGCAGGCGTCGCAGGTCTCTCGCGTTCGGGGGAGCGCTATGTATGAGGGTCTGGATGGGGTAGGTGGAGTGGTACTCGGTGTGTTGTTCATGAGTGGCATGGTGGGTGGGGATGTTGATGAGGAGTGGGGGGTCATGTTCATGATCATGTTCATTATTTGATGGTGAGGTATATGTATCAAGTAGGTAGTGAGAATGAATATGGTTTCAAAGCTGGAATGTACCATACTAGTAATAGTAATATGAAAATAGAGGGCGTAGGTCCCTCACGAATCCCGTCTGAAACCCCTTCCAGGTAAATGCCAATCCCGACATACTATAACTCAACCAGGACCTATCTACCCACAGACAAATCCCTACTCCCATTCCAATCCCATCGCACCATGCAAGAAACATCCCGCCAAGACTGAATCCCGGCGCGCGGAATCGAATCCCGTTCGAATCCCGGCGGTGAGGGGATACTGCCATACTTTACGGCATTGGGTAAGTGGGATGATTAGTGCTGCACGTGATTTATGCTTTGCAGTGCTTATGCACATGTATGCACATTAAGCAGTGGCTGGAATTATGATGTTTTTGGGTATTGCGTGGATCTTGGATTGGGTTGGTGGATGTGGAAAGCAGCGTAGGGATGTACTTATGAGTTTATACAATAGCTGTAGGGGTTGGTTTGGCTGTTGACTGCCTATTCTCGGTTATCAAGGTATCGATGTGGTTGGAGGCGCAACTACTCCGTATGGAGGGGTTAAAGGAGGTGATATGCGCAGAAGGTGGAGATTGGCTGGAATTGAAGGATCTGAGTACCTCGCAATATTGTCGTCAGAGCATGGTTTTGCTTGGATCTATCACGACGGTGTATGATATCTGAAGATTAGGGCAAGAATGCCTGTGGTGGTGTCCTGGTTTCGTCTGAGGTAATTACGTGTCCAAGTATCTGACCATCCTAGTAATAATGCCAGATCATAAGCTGCTTTTAGCCTTGGGGCATTCCTTCCGGTTGACTTTATCCCGGTGAGTATATTCATAGCAAAGTGATATGATGTCAGAAGCTCTAACTCTACGTGGGTGATTTACTAAAGTAATAGCAAAGTGATCTGCAAAGGCCTAGCTGCAATAGGCCTCGGCATGATAAAATAGTCCAATTGTGTCTGGCATAGTCTAGTCATCATCCGAGTCGGCATGATATTGGGGCTGCCCCCCGTGCCACCCTGCTGGGGAGGGAGTATGGCCCGCCAACACACGACTAGGCGTCGGGGATTGCGGCGTCCCATACGCCATATTCATAGCCTGGGAGCCCCATCTCGACGACGCTCCAGACTCCATCGGGAACTGCGGTGGCTGCGGGGGGAGAGAATTCGAATGCGGCGATTGAAAGCCCGGATGGAGGTGCGTCCCCCCATACGGTCCGTACGGTGGAGCAGACATGGGCGGGCCCGCAGCATGCCCACCCGTCCAACCCGGGCGGGCTCCATCCATGACCGGAGTGACCGGCCGGGGCGGCAGACTGCGGGGGACATCCGGACCCAGCGTGCTGTGGTCCTTTTCGGGCTTGCCGTGAGGGGAGAGGATGTAATCCGCGCGGGTCCCTTGCAGAAAGGCGGCTTCGCCATCACTCTTGCCCTTGACTTCCTGGAGATACCGTTCGAAGCCGAAGCCCGCTTCGACGACGGTCTTGAAGTGGCTGGCGTGGAGATCGAACGGCTTCGGGGCCTGCGACCCGAGACCCTTTTCAAACCGAGCGAGGGCGGACGCAATGAGAAAGGCATTGCGGATTTGTCGCCCATTCCAGACCCCCTTCCCACTGTCTTTGCCTGTCCGGTAGTGGTCTTTGGCGAAATCTAAGATTCCCGAGTGATCGACCGTCATGGGAGGCTGGCCGGTGATGCGACTCTGCTCGGCTTCAATCTCATGCAGCCGTTTGAGATTCATCTGCCAGATTCGCTCCGTTTGGGTTCGTTTCAGATGCGGATAGTATAGGCTCACATGCAGCCGGGATTTGAAGGCTTCGTCGATCGTCCCGACCCGGTTCGTGGTCAGAAACAACACGCCCGCGTAGTAGTCCAACACGCGGAGAAAGACTACCCTCGGAATTAGCACGCCATCTGGGAATGGAGAATCCACGTACCTGATACGAGGGCGTTCCGGTTCAAATCCGACGGGATCCGCTCCGTCAGAAAGACATCTGCCTCGTCCAGCAGCAAAACGCAATCCCAGAGCTGAGCCAGACGAAACATCTCCTTGAGGGATTGCTCGACCGTGGCCGGATCCAGGCCCAGATCCCCACAGGTAATAGGCAGCAGGGGCTTTTGAAACTCGCTGGCAAATGTCTCGGCCGTCGAGGTCTTGCCCACCCCGGGCACGCCATGCAGGAGAATGATCAGGCCCCGTCCCTTGTTGTGCACAATATCTTGGGTCGTCATGTGGTTGCCCGCCAGGTTGTAGATCTCCTTGCGACTGAAGTGCGACTGGATGAGCGCGCGGAGCATTTTCTCGTGGCCCTGGTTGATGATCAGGCTCTCAAACCTGGACTCCCCATACTCGATCAGGTTCAGGTTATCCACGTCGACGGCCACGAAGCGTCGGTCTTGGAGGGAGTACGCGAAGAGTCTCCGGGGAAGCAAGTAGATGTCCTCGTTGTTGAGACGATATTGTCCCTGCCTCCCGTGGATGAGATGGGCGAGAAAGGCATCCTGCTCCGAACAGTACTCCTTCTCCTGTTGAGACTGGGGATACACGCCGGTGTACCAGGTCAGCTTTTCTCTCGACTTGGCCATCTCCTCCCCATCGGCCCAACACAGCACCAGCTCGTCTTCAAAGTCCGCCTGGTCTGCCGGGACTTTTTCGAAATCAGGGAGTTGGGAGGTGGGCTTGCCCTCCGGATGCGCTTTGAAGGTCTCGGTGAAGTCGACGACCACATCGCCCGTGATGTATCGCAGCGTGGGATCCGACGGATTGGGTTCCGATGCCCAGCCCTTGTGAGTGACGAGCTTGGTGTCGATGAACGTCTGGAATGCCTCTCCCCGGTTCTTGGCGTCGTCGAGCAGGGTCTGCATATTACTGGCACACCGAATGGGAAAGACCGGCAAACTCGCGACGCTGGCAGTTCCGTCAAAGCGCGGGATGGTAAAGGCGTGCTGGATGCAGACGTACGCAAAGCCATCGTAGTCGATGCAGTATGCCTTCACCACGAATTGGTCGCTCCCGACCAGCGACCATCGGGAATACACGCGCCACAACAACTGATCGCCCCGATTGCTGCGCGTGGCCATTTCATGATTGGCAGCAGCTCCCGGGTAGACAATGATGTCTCCGGGCTGAAAGAGATGATAGAGATCGTCGAATCCCACCTCCCAGGGGTCCAAGGCGGAGAGGTTCGTCAACAGAGCGGCAAAGGGCATGATCTCCTGCTCCATGAAGTGCACGTAGAGACGCAACTGCTCCAGCAGACTCGGCCGGTTGGCCGGTTGCGAAGGGTCTTCCCCTGGATCGCCAGGATCCGGTTCCCCCTGAGCCTCCATTCCCACCAGCTTGTTTTTGACCTCCTCGAAAAAGAAGATTGGATCGGCAAAGGGACGATACAAGAGGGTCTGGCCCGTCCCGACATCGGATTCAAACAAGAGGTCTAGCAGGTTCTGCAACGGCTTGGACGTAACGCGCCAGGCCGCGACGTGGGCCCTGTTGAACTCGCCCGGCGTGGCATGAGCCTCTCGGATCATCTCCACAGCCCTCTGCGGCCTGGCACTTTCCAGCATGCGGGAAAACTGATCCCGTTCCTCGGTCGCTTTCTTCCGACCGTTGGGAAAGTAGAGGACTTCGATGAGGGGCTGACTGTCGGCGGGGAGGGCATGATAGGTAAATGGGATGTAGGACAGTTTCTGGACTTTGAGCTCAATGGGAGGCAGCGGTGGCCGTGAATCCTTCTGGCCGTCCTCGCTCTCCGCCACGGCATCCTTGTCTTTGGATTCCTTCACGGCTTGCTCCTCCTCCTCCGCGCCCTCCGCTAGATCGGTACTGGCGGCTGGGCCATCGGATCCCGCAGCCTTGCTCGCATTCTCCAGGCTCTGGAGTTTGCTCTCCACTTGGGCCAGACGCTTCTCCAGCTCCCGGATGTAGTTCTCGGTCGCCATGTCCAGGGTAGGGGGGAAGGTTGGAGATGATCAGAAGGGGATCCAGCGGAAGCACTTTCTCTGTCAGCGTTGATGCTTCTCTCCGCAGTCTGTCTTGGCAGATTCGCCAGGAGTCGCGGCGTGGGGACAACAACCAGGGCAACCCCTTCCCCTCTCTTTCGATGAATCAGAAGGCGACACGGCAGGATGGCGCCCAAGAGCCAAGGCACGCTAGCGACGGCGGAAGTCAGCTCAGCCTCGTCTTACCCTCCTGCTCCAGGATGAAGGCCGGATCTTCCCCGACACATGGAGGCGGCATTCTTTCCAGTCTACGATCATGGACGCGCTCCGGGGAACTGCAAAAGACCACAAGAAACAACTGGTGACCGTCTTTGTCCGGGAGAGGGCATCCGAATACCACGATGCCTTTGGCATTGCGTCCCCTACAACCAGCAGTGTAGGGCTGGAGGAGACAACCCTACCCGCATCCAGGTTAGCAAGGCCCGGTTCCGGGCTAATCCGGATCGCTAATACACCCCAGAGACCTGGAGGAGGCGCTCGAGGCCTACAATGCGACCGCGGACCCAGAGAGTAGATTCGATGTCCATCACTGCACCTGGGAGCGTGTCGTGGACGAACTCAATGGCGCGGAGGAGCGATACGTGCAGCAAGGCCAAGGATACCTTCATTTTGTCCGCAAGGGATTCCGAATTGCGGGGGACTATTCCAGTGCGATCACCCCATGGCTGGGATTAATTCCTTCCAGTAATGGGCTGGAGCTCCTGAGTGCCGGATTGACGGTCATCTTTAGCGTAGGACAAGATGCTCTCCATAGCGAGGACCGATGGCTGATCGACACAGATTGCCAAACAGAATTCCGACAATCGGGGCAAGATTCTCAATGCATTCCACAGCATCCCGGCCATCATCCTGCGCACCGAAGAGCAACAAAACCAGTTCGCAACGGTCCAGGTCTTAAGGGAGAAGGCGGTTGATCTGTACCGCGTCCTGATCCGGGCATTGGCGGAACTGATCTTTCTCTTTGGTGGCAACCGGGCGGGAGCGTCGTTGAAAACCCGCGCAAAGAGGATGGGGAAACGACTTATCGCTCCGGCATATACTGCCAGTCAGATCGACGAGATTCTGAGCACGGTGCAGCGCAGTACGGAGGAATTCGAGGCGTGTCGAGATATGGTCAAATCCCAAGTCCTCATTGATATCCACCACAGTACCACAGCCCTGCAGGCACAAACGGAATCCATCCACGATCGCACCCAGCAGATTTCATATGGAGTGGACGATCTCAATTATTCGGCACAACAGACCCATATCCAACTCGACGGCGTGCAGGGCCAACTGTCCGACCTGGTTGCGCAAGTCGAGGCGGTTCGTGCGGAGCAGTACAGCATGTACCAGCCAGGAATGGATGCTCAAGCCGCCTTGTGCCATTTCTTGCTGCATGATTTTCCTGGTATGTGTTGCCTGACCGTCCCTGGCCCATGCTGACTCGTGATGCTCAAGGCTTCTGGAATGCCATCACATCAGGGAGTATCCCGATGCCTCAATCGCAGTCTTTCCTGTCGAGGATGGAATTATTCCACTGCATGGGGGTTTCTCCCCGAGGCGCCCTAGATGACATCAACGTCGTGTTGAAGCAACACAGCGCATGTACTCCCGAGGTCCAGGCACAAAGCCAACAACTACTGTCCTCCGACGAGTTCTCCCGGTGGATGCAGTCCACCCATGCCGAAACGTTGTTCGTGCAAGGAAACGCCTCTACGATCGGACCTGGTCGGGTTTCGCCTTTGTCAGCCCTCTGTGCCACTCTGTCTCTGAATTTCTCCCGGAATTCCAATGCAATTGTGCTTCATTTCTTCTGTGGGGTTCACGATGCCCCCTATGATCCCGTTGCTGGACCCAAGGGATTGATTCGAAGTCTGATCGCTCAGCTACTTCTCACCCGCTCGATGTTCAATCTGGATTTTATCAACACTCGGTCCTTCAAGGAACTCATCGAGTCCCATTCCCTATTTGAGCTGTGCCACACATTCCGTCAGCTCGTCGAGCAACTACCCACGACCGCCACGGTGGTCTGCATCATCGACGGGGTGGCGCAGTTTGAATCTGCTGCCTGGCTGGCGGATCTCCTGGAGGTCATTCACACGATGAACCAAACCATCCATAATCCCGCCTTGCACCCCATCGTTAAACTGCTGATAACCACGCCATTCGTCCAGAGTGGACATACGGGGGGCGCCATCATGGCCCACTATTGGGTGACGCTTCGTAATCTTGGTGGGACACGGCCAATCATGTCGGACCGATCGCTCCTGTCGAATATGGGCCGGTTGGAGGAATATCGGATGAAGATGCAGAATAGTCGCCGGGGAGGGGAGGCGGAGGATGACTCCGATGATGATTTCTAGTTCTAGACGACTGACTCTGTATTCGCGATTCAGCCGGCATGTAATGACTCACGGGTATTTTTGGACACCACGCACACGGAAGGCACGGCCCGAGGCAGTCCTAAATGACTATTGGCCGAGCCTATGATCGCTAAGTCTAGTGGTATTTGAAAAGAACCAATGACAGACTCTGACAAGCCCTGAATGACCACGTCAGCAAGGGATGCATCGTGACCAGGACGCTGTATACACCGTTTCCTGGAGGATACGCCCACTTGCGTGGATTGTAATCTACTGGTGCAGGCCATCGAGGCCATCCATCCAGGTTGGAGTCGGCTACTGTCGAAATTATCTAGGATATCAGCAGCCACCATAATCGTCATGTCTTTTGCCCAGCAGCATCGTGGGCCTTGTAACTGGATCCAATCAAGCCGGTAGAATCATCGCAACAGGATAGTCAGGCCATGTTCCAAAACATACATGAATCACTGCTCCATAATCTTTGTCCCATCCGAAACACCAAGCAAGTCGGCTGGATGGTGTAGTTGGTTATCACGTATGCTTCACACGCATAAGGTCCTGGGATCGAGCCCCAGTCTAGTCACTTCTTTTTGCTTCCTTTTTTTATGTTCCCGCCCGCTAGCCGGAATCGCTTCCTAGCAGAAAACTACTCAGAGATCCCGGGGTTGGAAGTATCAATTTTGTCCTTTTCAATAAGATATACGGGATCTTGGTCTCTGTCATGGGCACGGGAATGTTACTATCGACCAACGACGATGGACTTGATCTCTGCCATATCAGCATGCCCTGCAGTGCGACTTACTGGATTGGAGGTAGTATCCACTCCTGAAATATATTTTCGTTAGGCTGATGAGCAATCATCCAGTTGCAGACACACCCACGCATGGTCAACCCTACTCTCACACAACCTATCAAGTATCCCAAAAACCATCTGCGATGTAAAATTCCCCTTCTATTACTCCGAGGGACATGTTTACCCATGAGAGGCTTTCTTCAGCAAAGAAGACCTTCTCTGACGGAACCCTGGGTTACAGCTGTCTTATCTTCTCCGCCGTCTTACCGAAGAAAGGGTCTACTCTGAACTCAAGACGATCAAACGTATCAATTCCCCTCCATCATCATCAAAATACTATAGTAACGTAGCCCCCAAAGCCATCATGTATATTCAACAACCCGCCAAAAAAAAAACAGGATAAATCCCATCCAACATGCATTCTCCCAAGCACATCCCTCAATACGAAATCAAAGTCGTCAACGCCTCCGGCTGCTCTAACAGCAACAACGGCCCCGCAAGCACACTCTCCTTCGTCGGCGCGCCCGTCTCATTCGCAATCGCCAACGCCACGATTCCCGCCCCTTTATCAAAACTGGCCGGGACGGTCGTTTGATTCGTGTGAATATCAAACGGCACACTCACCGTCTGCACCCCATGAAAGAACACCGCATAGTATTCCGTTCCCTCAACGAACTCCGGCTCCCCGTCGAAACTCAACTGCAGGGTTGACTCGGGCTGGCCGGTCGTGGTACTCGTGTTGAAGCTAATAACGGGTAAACCCTGACTTGGGGATGGATAAGCCGGGTTTTCACGAGGACAGCTCCCCTCGACGACGAGCGCGTTGGTCAGGTCGAGGATTTGGTTCGCGTAGGGATACACCGTATCCGAGGGACCGGAGAAGGGAATCACGTTCCAGATATCGATGAGCGACCAGGTATTATGACGGCTCTCGACCTGGCCGATCGCGACGAGCGCGGATCGGGTACTCAGGGTATTGGCCTGACGGACGAGGCCGGTGAGGAAGGCCATGCTGTTGACTTCGATGTAGACCTGCAAGGCGAGGAATGTCTCCAGGTCATTGTTGAAGTCGTATTGATATTTGCAGGGTCCGGGGATGACGGAGGTGTTGGAAATTTCGTCCTGAAAGATGCGGATGTGGCCGGCTTCGTTGTCGCGGATTTGGGCGATTCGGTCGTAGGTGGTGTTGGGGTAGCCGAGGGAGGTGAAGTTCTCTGGGGTGAAGGCTTCCACGCCTTGTTGGTAGAAGTTGTAGATGATCCATTCGGCGCTGAGGAGGTTTTGGAAGAGTTGGTCGTCGGGGCCCGGGGGGCCCGTGGCGGTGGGAGGGATGACTCGGGTGTAGTTGGCTGGGAGGGGGGTTTGTTTGCCGGTGTAGGTTGCGAAGAGGGAGGATTCGCCGGGGATGGGGTTGGGGTTGAGTTGGGATCGGGGCTTGGGTAGGGCTAGAGTGGTCCCCATGAGGGTAAAGGTGAGGATGTTGCTGAGAGACAGCATTTTGCGTGGAGGTGACAGGATATGGAAGTGAGAAGAAACTGATGCTGCAGATGACAAGCTGATAGACTCTGCTTGGTGACAATGCTATTGTTCTAAACAGGCGAGCAATTCATGGGCTTTTATGTCCACCGTGTACCCTCTGTTGTCACCTCACCTTGCTGCGCCTCTGTTCAATTAAGCTTGCACAGGCTCTCTGGCCGCCATCGTTGGGTTCACACACGTCATACATGAGATCCTACCGAATGCGCCATTCCGATGCTGTTCCGGCCTGCACGATCAACATCATCCACGGTCAGTGCCAGGCATCAGTCCTGTTCACGCTAAACCTAATATGGGAATTGAGTAGTAGGTGCGAAACAAATCCCCGATCGGGAGATTATCCGCGATGATCGGGTCAAGGCGGACCCACCACGTGGACTCGGATCTGTCAGAAACCAACCCACATAAGCCTACTGACTGCCCATGGAACTGCTGTTCAAAGGGATCAAATGGGCCTAAGCTTTATTGAAATAAGAGTTTTCGGGGCGGAGGTTGCATCGACCCGAAGGCCAGGCCTGAAGCCTGTATCGTGCACTAACCGAAAGTGGTAATGCGTTTCGTAGATGCTGAGACTTCATGAAGTGGTGAAAGAAAAGCCATCAGGTGGCAGAATTGTATGACAGAGTATCATATATAAGCCGCCGTAAACACGCTGAGATGGTGACCGCTATTCACATTTGTCGATTTCAAGAGCTTCATAAGCCAAAGCTCAGAATCAAACCCTCTTTCTTTGTTGCGCACTCTACAACCCGAAATGACTGTTACAGTCAAAGGTGTTGCGATCGCCGAGCTGGTCGTCTACATACCCACGGCGCTTGTCACCCTCCTCATCGTCCTGCGTCATGGATTCCACAGACAGCTAGGATGGGTCTATCTCTTCATCTTCAGCGGTATCCGGATCGTAGGGGCCGTGATAGAGATTATCAGCGAAGGGCATCCTGACAACTCCAGCGACGTGGAATGGGCGACCATATTGCAATCAGTGGGGTTGTCGCCATTGTTGCTTTCGAGTCTTGGGCTGTTGAAGAGAGTGTATGTCGGATCTCTAACTCAGTCTGAACACACTTTACTCACGCGTGACAGCTTCGATGAAATCTGTCAACATGGGCCATCCGATCCAGGCTCTCGACACAATGTGCTATTGCACGAGTTGAGTTCAGTGAGCGGCATTGCCAGAAAGCTGTAAGCATCCGTATGTAGATGATAAACAGAATCTGACATGCAAACCAGCGTGGGGATATACTCCCAAAAAGCGACTGCCATTTCAGGTCGCAGCAAAGTCGTCCAGCTCCTTCATATTCCGTGCCTGACCGCCTTGATCCTCTCAATCATCGGCGGCACAGACCAAGCCTCGTCAAATCCGTCCGATCAAGCCGGAGGCAAGACTGAAACCCGCGTTGGGATCATCATATTCCTTGCGGTATATATCGTGCTTTGCATACTCTGGATAACGACCATCAAGGATCTGTCCCGGATGGTATCGAGCCAAAAGCGCATCGTTGCTGTGATGCTCATGGCATTGCCCTTGATCGCTTGTCGCCTGTTGTACAGTCTGATCAGCGACTTCAGCCACGACCGTCGATTCTCACTTGTCTCTGGAGATGTCACCATCCGGCTGTGCATGGCCACCATAGAGGAATTTTTGGTAGTGTTGATGTACACCGTGCTTGGGATAATCACCCCTCGATATGATGCCAACGCCCCTTCAAGCCCTCAACAATGGCCACATAGCGCCGAGGACACAGAGTCCCAGGCTGCACCTGGTGGTTCTCGCGGTGCTTGTGATCATCAGAAGTATGCTCATGTGGGACATGAACACAACGGCCTTCCGCGGTGATATTATCCGCAGCATGCTGCCATCGTGGTAGTCGAGATGGTTGACATCGAGCATCAAATTGATGAAACCGATTGAAAGAATCCACCATGTCATCGAGTGTGCACTAGAAGGACGCAACAATAGGAAAATTCATCGTTGTTTCTCGCGATTCAAGGTCATGTGAGAGTGGTTCCATACATAGAATGGCGTTATGGAGTTAATGGAAATCTTCTGGAATCTCCAGATTTGAATGCGTCGGGCTTGTCCCACCTACTCTGCTTCAGCTTCATCAATCGTTCCGCTGTACTCCTGACCACTCACGGCCGGTCTATACCTGGAAGATAACCAAGCTCGTGAATCTACACCGTCTTGCAGCAGTTGCGCCATCGCCAGAGCTTGGCGGATCCCCATGGAATGGCCAATCTTCGCCAGACAATCCGTAATCCATTGCCGACGTTGCTTCGAGGCGTAACCGGAGTTCGCGGCAATCAACAACGGCCACATGATGGTAAAACCGCCCGCCGCTGGAACCCCAAATGGGGAAGATGCGGATGAGAGAAAAGGGGATCCAAATTCGTGATGATTATCCGGAAATGGTGAGCTTTCTGTAGCAGTATTACTAAAGAGTTTGCTCAGGTGACTGTCGTCTACCATCGTACCGAGGTGAAATGGCACGCTGGCACATATATCGTCGACCAATCGGCGCGAGATTTCGCGGCTTTCGCTCACCAATTTGTCCGCTTCTTGGCCGTTGGTATCATCCGAAGACAGCTCTTTGATGCTGCCGGCCGCCTCAACGATCAACTCGCGGAGCACTAACCTAGCAGATCGATAGTTATTCCAAAAGCTGCTCACAGTCAAGTTCCTGTAAGTATGGTGCTGAGCCCCCCAGATAGAGTCAACTGTAGGCTCTCCACGAGCTAGGGCAACGTTGACAGTTTCGTAGTTCCATGAAGCGGGTATGGTGGACATGATCGACATGAACTCTGCATCCAGCTGTAGTGCAGCGCGTAGAATCTCAGCAGGCTGGTTGATTGTTCCATCTTTGATGGCTGCACATAGATTGCCGAGCTGAATAGTTACGCTGCTAAGCCGGTCCACAGTGGCGTCGTCTCCAGAGCGATATGTTGCTGCCTCCATGCTCAGTTGACCAATAATTGGCGAGGTGTACTTTTGTCGATAGATATGACTAAGGATCTAATGTCTGTTATTAACTATCCCCTCTTCGCGCTGATTCATATAGGAGGAAAGACTCACAATCTGAGCGCGTAATTGACTGAATAATTCTAGCCCTTCTGGACGAGTCAATTGCTCTGGGCCCCGAGCTTCAATCAAGGTGGCTGCGCCATCGAGGTGTTTCATCCACCGAGTGAGAAACAGCTCATCACTACATGTCATCAACTGGAATCCAGAGATATTAGTAGAAAACTTATTCTACGTGGAAAGTGTCTACCCACCTCGAACATACCCAGGAGTACGACTGCGGCCAACGTCCCGTCCTTCTTGCACAGGGTCGCGGTACGGAGGGTGCGGCCAGTCTGCGACAACGCCGACATATAATACTTACGAGCGGTAGACATCAACTGGGGGGACATATAAATGTTTGACAAGGCTGCCATGCCGGCCGCTGAGAGAGCATCATTCACTGCCAAGTTCTCCAGATGCTTGATCAAAGTTGACAGATAGGGCATATATGCCCCTCTATTGCCTCGAGAGATGTAATTAGTAAAGATATAGCCCCTGGCCAGTTCTTCCATTGGATGCGAGAGGGTTGACGAAAGTGCCCGTGAGTCAGCATCTAAGAAGCGAGTGCCATTAGTCGGCCTCTTGTGAATAATGGCTTCAGACTCTTTTTGTGCTTGACGCTGCGCCTTGCGGATAACATCTTGACTTTGATCACGGAAATTGTACTCGAGCGCGCTGCGATACCCTGGACACTCGACTTTGGCCCGGATACACTGAGAGCATGATGGTTTCACTTGGTCACACTAGTTACATCCATGCTTAGTCAGTCTGGATTCACGCCCACGACACACTGCGTCCTCGCGGAGTCCAGATATCTTCGATATGCGGAGCAAGAAGCCTCACAAGAAAGACGTGATTATACCTTCAAGCGCCGCGGGCGACAGCGTTCGCAGGCAAGACTTGGTTTCCCGCGGTACACCATCCTCGCGAAGGATGTCAAGTAGGATCCTAAACGACTATACCCGTAAATGGATGATTAGATGTTGGTTCACCGCGTTGATGAGCCTTCTGTCGTCGAATGATGGATGGACTTGGATGGTGGAATGAGAAAGGCCGAGCTGCTATCGGGCAACAAGGCGGACACATCATGTGACTCCCATCTGGCTTCTGCCTATCACAGCGCCCAGTCATGTGATCTTTGCCTTGGTAGTCATGTTCCTTGCGCGATATCGACCATCCATCCTCCATATAATGTAACATCAATGTCGTGACCATGAAGCTTCTTCGTTTATCGTATCTTTGTCGCCGTGCCACTGCCCCGCCAACCACCAAGCTTTATTCTACCAGTTTCGCGGGCATGACGTCCACGGGGGTACCTGCGCTATTTAGATGCCTGGAAGATGGTTCAGGTAAGTTCTCCTTCATAGACCTAGATTGCACTAATCGATAGAATAGAAACACGCATTGAAGCGGACGATCTATACAAATACCAGCGGTACCGATGGCTGTACGTATCTCACCTCAAGCCCGCGCAGATAGCTCCTGACTTGATCCAGGAAGGGAGAATCCAAACGGCTAGAGGCACGATATCGTAAATTCCACCTAGGTAACCTGCTTGGCGCGGCAATCCAAGCAACGAGCCATGAAGGCATACGATGTGAGAGCCACGTGATTGGCGCAGTAACGACTTCTAACCATCATCAACAGGTCTCAAAGTCGTCAAGTGTGTGGAAGGCCAATACAACAAAGCTTTCATCTTGACCATGAGTAATGGCCACGAACTTGTGGCGCGATTGCCGAGCCCCAACGCGGGCCCTGCATTCTATACAACAGCATCGGAAGTAGCAACCCGTCATTTTGTGAGTGTGCTCGTCCGATATCTGCATGGTATCGCTGACAATACGATAGGTCCGCGAGGTCTTAGGAATCCCTGTCCCAAAGACCTATACCTGGTCAGCAGATGCGTCGAATCCGGTTGGGTGTGAGTACATCATCGAGGAAGGGTTACAGGAGCACCTCTCGGCAATATCTGGAATCAGATGTCAATAGCATCGCAACTTGAAATCATCGACCAGGTCGTCGACATGGAGAAGAAACTTGCGTCTGTATCTTTTCCAACTCATGGATGTCTCTACTACACATCCGATCTGAATTTGAGGGACCCTGTAGACGGACTTGATACCATGCTCGACAACACGTTGCTGCCAAACGGGCGACATCACAGCGAGCTGTCCCAATTTACCATAGGACCATCAAACGATCGAAAGCTATGGCAAGGCGAGAGACATTCGATGACACTGGATAGGGGACCATGTAAGTTTCATATGGCTAAAGTCTTTATCCACATCAGCTGAGCTAACCTCAACAAAGGGACCAACGCCGCAGATTTCGCGACTGCCATCGGGACAAACGAACTTGCATGGGCAGAAACCCACGCAGAGCCACGACACAATTTCTACCGCTCAAAAGACCAGCCAGAAAGCCCGGAAGAGTACAGATCGCTTATTCAAAAGTATTTGAAAGTTGCCCCTGATCTCATCCCCAACCAACCAATTAAAGAACACAACAATACGCTCTCCCATCCAGATCTACACCTCGACAATATCTTCATCGACCCGGAAACACACCAGATCAATGGGATTATTGACTGGCAACTGGCTGCCGTAACACCTATATGCCTACAACGGCCTCATCCCCAGATGCTAGAACTCTCGCACAGCCCTCGCACCGATGAACAGAAGGATCGAGAGGAGGAGCTTCTCCATTATTACTACAAATCACGCGAGAGAGCCAAGCTCCCTCAGTCAAAAGCTTTGACAGACCCACACTTGTCCATCAGAATAAACCCCATAACCCTAGTACCCGGGTGTTGGGAGCGAGAGGACACCTTCTCACTACGAGAGGCATTAATAAAACTAGCTGCTTACTGGGACCAAATTTACCCCGACCACATACCATGCCCGATTGATTTTACCGAGGAAGAGCTGACCGCGCATCAATGCGAGAGAGAGACCTTATTGAAGGGGTTTCGACGATTGTTGAGCAGTTGGAAAGGGAAGGACTGATTCCTATTGGGGGAATGGTCCGGCCGGAAGAGTATGATCATGCCAGGATGGTGAGCGACTATTTTAAGAAGGAATTCATGGATTTGGCAGAGGATGAGCAACAAAGAGAGGTACATGCCAAGGTGTGGCCATATTAACATTGAATCAAATATGTATCATATAGCTTGCTAGTGAATATCAGATAACATTTTCGAAAGACACTGTCTCCTCCCTTCTCCTAGTATATTGCCTGTAGCTCGTACATCATGCGAACCCCTTACCCCGAGCTATCAGACTCAGGTTATCAACAATTGTGCGTGATGACGTTGAATATTCAAACAGTAGTTGTGAATGAAGTTGAGGGCACGATTAGCACTTTCTACTAAGATCCTTTCTATTTTTTAGACATTTATTACTGATCATCTCTTGTTACAGAGCCGGTCTACTCACCAAAGAGCAGTAGCAAAGAGGATCCATAGGCAAGTTGCTATGCCACTGTAGATAATCCTATGTGCTGATTCGTCCCAGTGTATTGACAAGAAAGATGTTGTCACATTGATATCTCCACGCCAAGACGAAAAATACACATATGACGTCATATTAGAATTCACGACTTTGCAAGTGCGGGGCAACATCAACTCTCACTGTCAAGACAACGCTCCACAACACACACTCTCCCTATTCACATAAACGCTCTTGCACCTCTCTTTTGCTTACTAGCAATTTTCTACATAAGTAGTTCACCACCATGACAAAAACAATCATCGCAACAGGCATCTCCTCCGGCCTAGTGAGCCCCCATCCATCCCCTCATTTCTTGACTCTAACAAGAATACAGGGCTTCGAAGCAATCAAACAACTGCTCCAGCTGTCCGAGCCCTACAATTTCATTTTGGGGGCACGGGACACGGCCAAGGTCCAGGCTGAATACGATAACCTCAACTATGACACTACCAAGCACACGATCACCATTTACCCACTGGACCTCTTATCCCTGAAAAGTGTCCAGTCATTCGCAGAGAAGGTGCTTTCGAAATTGGGCTCCAAGCAGCTGGCTTATCTCTTTCTCTGCGCGGGTACTTTGGATAATGCAGAAGGCCCTGGGCCGAATGGATCGCAGTGGTGCGAGGGATATGTGGTTAATCATTTGGGTATGTGCAGCGACCTTACTTTAAGGTAAGAACGAAGGGCTGACAATGGAACAGCGCAGCATTATTTGATCCATTTGCTCCGTGATGCGCTGTCGGCCTCGCAGTCGCGGATTGTTGTCGTTTCTTCAGGCGCGATTCGCAATGTTAGGGGACAGGATCCGGGTCAGTTGAATCACTGTCGCTTATACGGCGTATATTAACTTTTATGCCTAGCAACCCTTGACGTAGATCTAAAAGCCCACTCCAAAGCGGGCTATCGAGCAGTGTACAGCGGTTCAAAGTTTGTACAGCTGCTTGGCGCGTTCTACTGGCGCCGTGAATTGCCCTCGTGCAAGGTCATTGCTGTTTCGCCGGGTCTTATTCCTAGTACCAAGCTTGCTACGAACATGGGTCTGACTATGGATATGCCTGATGCTAAGACTATTCCGGAGGGTAAGCTTTTCATCTATCGTTGTGCAGAGAAGCTTTCTAACATTTTTATAGGAGCACAGAATCTTCTGCGCGCATTCTCTGTGAACGACTTCCCGTCTGATCCTGAGCAGATCTTCCTGACCAGTTGGGGCGAGTGGTGGTCAAAGGATGTGTATGCGCTGGCTCTTGATGCTGATCTGCAGAAGAAGTGGTGCTTGAGCAGGGAGGAGATTGAAAAGGCTGAAAAGCTTTCTTGAGGGACCTCGATATTGACTTGAATATAGACATGTGCTAGATAGGCGTATGTTATAGATTGATACCTGGTTCTGAGATGGACCTTCGTATCAAACCCTGGAGTGTAAAGTGGTGTGCTGGAAATACAAGAATTGTTTCGATGTACTTGCGGTTTCAATGTCAGTCCTACCATATGATGGGGTTCGTTCGCTACCAAAGGTGTGTGATAAAACATCCGTGGGCTTGTTCAAATCCATGTTATCTAAACGTATACAATGGTCGTCTTACAATGGGATCGACGGCGTGTTTGGATTGCGAGGGCGTATATGAAAGTTATGGCACGAGAAACGACCAGAATTGGGACACTCGTTCGCGAATTATAGGGCTATGCAATCATACGGTTACTGTGAAGTTGCCACAAGAGAATAATTTAGAATGAAGTACCAGTTAACTATCTCTTTCCCTGTATCTAAGACATATGTTTGAAATTGTTAAAAAAAATCACAAAGGTAGAATAAATGCCCCTCAGGAGTCAAGCATGCTTTTCACAAAGATTCCAAGCATCATGTAACAGTCTTCTCAATCAGCATAGTCTGGTGGCTTGATCTTGCTATGACAACCTGAATTCCACTCTTCCTCCCTTGGAGCCCTTGAATAGCAACTATTCGGGCAACATCTTATCCGTTTGTTACATGTTTCCATCACAGAAAGTATACTAGCTTATGCAAACTACCCAATGCGGAGACGGCTTGGTGGACTATTATGGCCTAAGTCTGCTATCACTTCCCCGTGTCAACACAGGCTGAGTGTACATTGATCTTTAAGATGCGGTGCTATAGACCCAGAACGCTCGCTTGTTGATAGCCAAGCCCAGGCGGCATCAATTGATATTGGAAGGACGGCTAGCTTCAGTGCCCTTTCAACAGGCACCTTCACCATCCTCTGTTCATTTGTCTGCAGATACAGTCTGTCAATGAGAATGCGAAACAGTAAGTCATAGCGTAATGAGATTTAGACGCCTGAGGAAATCTGCTCTTACCCGCAGCGTCTAAGAAAACGCCCTGTCGTGGGGTGTCCACATCCCATTCAATAAAAGGCATGCACATTTTATGCCCCCAGCTGCAACTGCGTTAAGGTAACTGACACCGACCCCATTCATATCCGCGGTGGCTATCACAAATGGGCACTCTCCATGCCTTTCCTGGATAAAACCCGAAACCATCCGTTTCTTCGTCGCCCCATCCTCTGTGGACTGAACCAAAGATTTCAGCAACACAACAATCACTAGAGGACGACAAAATATAGTCCAGGTGCGGCAATCCACATCTACCTGTCTGGAGATAGCACTATGCCGCACTAGACCGTCTTGCTCTGACGCATTGGACTGGACTCTATCTTGATAGGTCTCGTTCGGCGATGGTAACGCTGCGGCTGAGCACAAACATGAGTCTTTCCGTGTTGTCCAACTCCACGTATGGACATGCTCAAATATACTCCCAAACGCCCTTCGTGTTTTTCCAATACTTGATCGGCAATCAGGAGGACCGTTTTCAAGCTGAACTGGTCGCCACAGTAGTGAAACAGGTCGAGGAGATTGGGTCCGAGAAGAGGCAATGCCAGGATGGCGTACTCGTCTAATTGTTCGGAGAAGAAGAGGACTTGGAGCATGCCGGTGCTTCTTCGCTGCGTGGGGCGTATCTAGACGATCTGGCGTTGACAGCATGGTTGTGCTATAACCCCTGGCGGGCACAGGCAAGCATTTACCAGCTGCCAAAAAGGAAGAACGGAAAAAGTGGTGGGAATCGCACGTATTGCCTGCATCGAGTCAAGCAAGACATCCGCTAGTACCCTGTCTCAATCACCGAACTCAGCCTTCTTCTAGGCCTTCCAATTTACATCTTCAATCAAATGATCCGCAGTGTATATATTCATTCTTGTTCTTACAGACCTCGTGAACTGGACTGTGTATAATTTTCTGCTCCAAGATTCGTATGCCGCTAGCACTTCACGCTGAATTGATTAGCTCAGTCATATTCTCGATAGTATTTGCTCACTCCTCGTGGTCTTGTAGGTACGTCGCGAAGCGGACTGGATGTCTTCCCCGAGGCTCTGTTGCTTAAGATTTCGGGTGAGTACCATCTTCGCTATAGCCAGCCCTGTGTAACACCGTGAGACAAGGGGAATATCTTCCGCCTTGATCTGGTCTTCATTCCGTCTGAAGCTCCTGCCATCCGGTTACTCCTAATACAGCGGAGCTCCCAGTACTCAGGTCTATGCCACCACGACCACCAGCGTCTCTTCACTTTGCCGAGATCCTCCAGAGTTGAGATTATTCCACTTATTGTACCCCAGAGAGGTTGTTCCATCGTATGAAAGCCTAGCAGCTGAGACCACGTGTCCCACTGCAACCCGTGCCTCGTCCATCTCCTATTTTCGACTGGTCTATATGCCATTCAACTCGACTCCTCTCAATTTCAGCCTTCTTCTTTTCTTCCCAATGACCCTATCATGTGAGTCCATTCGCCTGATACGCTATTCGCCGCATGTATTCCAGAGATCCAATTCTCCCTCGAGCATAATCGCAGATTCACAATCGTGGAATCAAACCAAAATACCAAGACAACCAATACATGATTCGGTTGAGCTGCTAACAGGGCCCAAGGTACTCCCCACGGCCATCACAATGATCAAGACATCGATAGGTCCAATCCCAACCACCGCCCACGAACCCGACTCAGCCCATCAAACTCTCGTATGCCCTGTTGTCGCGACGTGTTTAGACCAGAGCTCACACCTCACAATGAGAGGTTGGATTGGTAGTATATAGTGGGTGAGCCATTCGCGACCATGGTACCATGGGTTTGTGTCGACCTTCGAATAATTCCTAGCCATTTAACACCATCAGACCAGAACGAGCCGCTAAATTTCACGGCAATTAGCGGTGTATTTCCAGACCAGCAACATCTGGATAACCCAAGACCGGTCCCTAATAACCTGCAGGAAAGCCCACCTCTATCAGACAGGATGGTCTGTGGTGCAGAGGGGAGACTTGAGATTGATGTTCCGAGCTTGATAATTTGTTATACTTGTTTGGGATTGCTGCACTCTCGTTGCTGGGATTCACAGAAGCCGCTGAGATCGATCTAGCCAGATGGCCCGGATGGATGTGCATCTAGTATATAGAGATTGTGTAGTCCATCATCTTGGATGATGAAGGTTCATGCCCAGGACTGGATTCACTGAGTTGGTGATGGTGAATGGTTGGATGACTTGCTAATGTGCTTGGTTGGGACCTTTATATAGGCAACAATATGTGCCTGACCCTCGCATGGTTCCTGCAAATGGCATGCAGAATCCGCTGCCATTATCCAAGGTATCGGTGTTTTCCATTTTATTCCCTAGAATAGTGTTCACTACGAGCAATTAAGTCCGGATCTATCACCAGGGAGAAGCCCTGATCACTTACAGAAGTCACTTCGATATTCACACTAGCCTTCCTCTTCCAAGCCGGCCCACTTTTTCAGTAGTCCATCCCTCCTCTATTTCTCCTCTACTACCATCCCAAATACAGTCACCTCATCCTGAAAACCCCTACGTTTATTTTTCCTTCGTTGCAAGTCCCGCCTCCTACCATATCACCGTTATTCATGATCAGATTCCACATATAGTTGAAAGGTACCCAACACACTTCATCCCCACACCGAGCAACCCACAGAAGACTAATATCCAAAATCCCCCCTGCATTCATTCCAAGGCAAGCAGACATTACCAAAATGCGAGTCAGTCAGTGCAAAAATGGGTAACTGAAACCCTAATTAAATGAGTGTGGATGTTATACACCGACGACAACCCCCGGGTGATACAATAACCACAAAGCCATAGACCCTATAGCTACTGAACCCATCCCTACTAACCCCATTCCACAACAATCAACAGAGATGAAATCCTATTCCACGGGTGTCGCTACCACGATACACAAAGAAGAATATCTTCTCCATCAGCTGCAGATATGTGAAAGCCCTAGGGCTGACCCACTTGTCCGCCATCATCACAATGAGATGAACAATTGGCTGGAATATCCCTCATTGCTAACCTTGACGTGACTTGATATCTCGGATCAGAGTTACTGCCCTCTTCATCGCTGCTCGGAGGCTGGATGAATGCCATTAGATAGAAAACCCCATGGCTGGACCCGCTACCCAGATTTGGCATCCAGCATCAAGGCTAAGATGGGGCATGATCAACCGGATCATCGTGCGGATGCTGCGGTGGGTGTTGGTAAGGCATGGGAAACGAGTCTGTTCAGATCCATATCAATTTCTGATATACGGATCCAACCGAGGATATAAACACTATGCCTTGTCAAAGCTGGCCCAGCACTGCAAGGGATACAATAACCCAAAGAACTACTACCGCGGCATACTGTCTATCAGACATAACGATAATTGCCTGACGTATTCTCCAGTATCTAGCCCTATACCAACATCAACACATTCAGTCCTGCCATTCAAAGGGGGCCACTGACATATCCACTTGATTTGATAGATACTTTGAAACCAATGCTAGAGGGCCGTCCCAACAACCCAAAACGAGATAGAACTCCGACTATGTCCAACACCGTGCTATAACCGCCAGGACAACCCTCTCTCACACACGCAGCTACGAAGCTAGCCACTAACTGGTATACTCTAAGTTGATCAATTCCTTACGAGTAAACCTAGGTACTAAATGCAGTGCATTGCAAAGAAGATATGAAAATCCAGTCGACGCGGTCATCTAGATATATCTATCTTGTGGATCATGGCCATTCTTCCGTTCCTGGTTGGACTGGATAAAGCCCGCGAATATAGTGTGTCGGACCCAGTTCAATATATCTCCCAGGAAGTAGCATCTTTTATTCTGGGTCTCCGGAATTGATGCAGCTCGGGTAGTTCGTCGGGTACTATCTGATCAAATGGTCGAATACAATCCTGACGGGTTTATACTCAGAACAAGACGCTTTTGCTCCGTGGTATCTGGTACTTTCAATACCTTCATACGCATCATTATTCAACAACCAGCCAATCCTCATCAGTGTCGAAACCCAGCCGATCTATACACCAGAGGAAAACGGATGAAGGGTATTGTATCTTGCACCTGCAGCTTTGTCCCCCTGTCTAGATGAAGAAATCATTGACCAGGGTAATCAGCATAAACTTAAGAAGAACCGGAAACGGGGTACTTTGATTCCGATTATCAGATTACTCTTTTTCCAGCCCTTAGAGTAATAACGAATCTCAGGCTCGACGGGTGTCGATATCATTACAAAGATGATCAAAGAGAATGGGAGCATGGTTAACTATTTTAGGACTGATGGATGAGTATCGGAAGATACAATGGGAGATTCTTGACTTGTTTGAGATTGTCTTTGTTCTGTTAGATTATTCCAAGGTAGCTGTCTGGAAAAGTACAAGTTATCGTCGTGATTTGACAGCCTTTGTGGAATCAGTTCATATTCAACTCGAAAAAAGGATGAATCTGCCATGGGTCGCGATCTGGAGAATACCTCATATCAGGGACAGTCCCGGAGATTATAATTAAGATAGGGCTGATCATCGATAGAATGATGGTTTCAGCAACTGAACAGCTAACTGGGTCTATGAGATCAAAGAGAGATATCATTCTGTATTCAAGACATATGCAACAAGGTTTCTAGACACTTAGTTTCCTACTGTACCTAGTAAACTCCTCGAGTGACCTATAAGGGCGGTAAGAAGGCAGAGGATCAAAAGAATTGATCAACGTTGAAAGTTAGGTTCATTTGATTGAAGGCTCAGTAGTTGGATAAGCCTTTTCGAGCGTCGGTAACTGGTCTAAAACAAGAGATGAAGTCCAATCAAGATGTCCTATAAATCAAACAATATAGGAATACTTTGAAGTGGGGCACCAGATTGTTGATTATTGCACCGATCGGGTCTAGATTCAGCATCCGGCCAATGGGATGCACTACGGGGATCTCCGGGTGCAGTCAAGAAAAGAACAAGAAATCTGGAGAATCAAGCTATCTTGGCTGCAGATTCGGAAGTAGGCAAAGCAAACCCACAACATACATATCTGCAACGGCATATTTGCTTCCAGTTGACTGCAAAAATAAATTAAGAATGTAAAATAAATTCTTATGCGGTCCAGTTATTCCAATCCTCACATGACCATCGCATTCCATGAAGATATCAGTGCCACCCATATTAACCAATATATCATGATATCAGAACGGAAAATCTCATCAATCCAGCTCGTACCGCTCTACCTCGGCCGACGCCATCATCTCCTGTGGCTGCGTATGCCGCTTCGTATCCAATTCCTTCGCCGCTTCGCTATGTTGTCCGCCCGGGAGCTCTGCAAACCCGCGATACACCGTCTTTCCATCATCGGTAGCAGCCTGACCGGCGCGACGTCGACGGAGAAGAATCGCGCCCCAGACCCCCGCAGCAATGACAATCGCTCCACCTACGCCTACCCCAACACCGATGCCCACCTTGGCTCCGGAAGACAGGCCACTATGAGAACTAGTCGAGTTGGAGCCTTCAACACCCCAGTACTGGGCCCAGCTCTCTTCCCAGGTGTAGTTGGATCCGGAAATTGTACTGTCGCTTAGGGTGATGGTGGTAATGTCAGCAGCGGCATGATCGGGCCCTGGTGCTTGTCCGAGGAACCACGTCCCTGTGTTGTTCCCGTTGAACCAGTTGACCCCGACAAAGGCGGACTGGAGAAAAGCGCGACCAAACACTGGGGTGGAGTCGGAGAGGAAGCAGGGGAAGTAGGTCGTGTTTTGGTCGACGAGCGGTTCTTGCAGGGTCAAATTCAGCAGGGAGAAGGGGACCTTGATGGTGAAGTTCTGGTTGTTCACACCATCCTTGTTGAAGATGAAGGAGAGATACGCCGCGGAGGAGGTAATATTCAAGTAGTCGCTGCTGGTCGTGTCCCAGAAATACAGCCCCAAGCTGGAATTGAACGAGATCGGGAGCGACGCGGTAATGGCATCGCACGTCGACTGCGGCAAATACATGTAGGGTTTGGTCGGATCAATCTGAACCGTCTTGGCCAGCACCGACCCACTGCTCTGCTGAAACAAACCACTCTCGTTGGTGAAGCTGAACGGAGAGGCACCCGCAGCCACCCCGATGCCAATGTCCTTCAACTCGATCTCCAGGGTGCCACTCGACGCGGAATTCAAATCCACAGTCTGGGCACTCACATCCCCCAAGACCCGGCTCTTATCATAACCCCCCAAGACCATCGAGCCCGCGACCGCAGGACTCACGGACCCAATGTGCATGCCATACGAGTAGGACGGAATGTCGTCATTCGAGTAGAGCCACCCGGCCAGCAAGTTGAGGGTGGTGGTGTTGGAGACCTCATTGCTCAAGTATGGAGCCCCCACGGCGAGATTGCCGACCGAGACGGGATAAGCTTTGCCGTTGGGATAGGTCTGGTAGGTCTGGTAGATGGCCTCGAAGCTGACATTGGGGACCGTCGCCGAGCCCAGTGTGACCTCGTCGCCGAGCACGGCTTCGACGGCGCCGCCTTCCACGCTCCAGTAGACGGTTTCCCACGCGCTGGGGGTGGTGGTGTAGGCGGTGGTGGACTCGTTCTGGTTGAACGTGCCGGCCTGAGCGGCGTAACAGGTGGAGGAGAGGGTTTTGTTCGTGCACAAGGTGTCCATCAAGATGATACTGGCATAGTTGGCTCCGGGGTACAGCGCGACGGTCTGTTGGGCGCTGCCAATCGCAATGGATACGGCCTGCCATGGGCCGTCGGGCCCGTAGGACTGGGCCGACCAGTCCATGACATACGGCGTGGCAGCATGGGAGACTCCCACCAGTGCTCCCAACAGGGGGAGAATGAGTAGGTGCATCATACCATCCAGCGTTTCGTAGGCATTGAACCGTTGTGAGGTGAAAGAAAGGAGGCGGAGAAAGAAGATGGATGCTGACGGATAATGAAACCAACTCGGCGGGCGGACGCAAGGTGTAATTGCAACTGGCACGGTGCGTGTTGGGCCCCGCTGACATGCAGTAGTGGCGTCCAAAGGGGCAAGCGGCGTGTCCATCGATGGGATCGGCCCCTGGAAGACTCTGCAGAGTTCAGCTGGCCGGCAGCTCGGACCCAGAGCGGGATAATCTGACAGCGCACTGCCTGTTGACCTGGCCTTCCTGAGGGATCTGTTAGACTTGGAATTAGGGGAATCTAATGATCTCGCCAACCGAGACGCTCCCAGACACCCTCAGATTGGCCGATGGAGTGCCGAGCAGGGTGGGGCCAAATTGCCTCGGAAGCAGAGCGGGTTCCACGGGCCAGTAGGAAATAAGCATCCCTTGGCCCCCACCTTGAGCCCCGTGGCTGCCTTACTTTATTCTTCAGTTCCCCAGGCCTTCCATCCATATCCTCACTTTCATACGACTCTTTCAGATGTTCAGATGTTCAGCCAGAATGCCTTCAGACACCAGACAACATTTCCACGATTCTTTAGCATAGAGCATCCACACGGTCAGCTCCAACCCCAACAAATGGTAGACGCACGGCTGCGGTGGGACGCCTGACAGCAGCCCCCTTACCCCATCGGGCCTAATCAAACCTTGAGCGAGTAAGCAGAAAAGGTCGATAGTTAGGTCATCGCGGTCATATCCTAAGGCGGTATCTCGGGCGCAAGTTCCTCTTTCGGCTCGCTGCCTCCACTGCATCTGTCCGGGTCTCCATCCCCGAGGATACTGGCCCGCCATAGGCCCAGATCGACGATCAGGCCGTCTCGCCGGATGTCGATCTATCACAGGGAAGTGTCTAGACCGGCAAGCGTTGAGTGATAGATTGGGTGCCATTTCTACCAGATGTTGGGGTAGTGGGATGGTTTACTGTGTTTGGGAGACTGGTTTGATTTTTTCCACATGGTCTGTGTGTGGGTTTAGGTGCCGAGGCGGAGTTCTTTGATAATAAGCTATTGATCTATTTTGCTAACTGTGGTATCTTTAATGTTCCAATGTTTATGCCTCTCATATTCCGCCTTATCTCATCCCGCAGCTCAGATTCATTGTACTGTGGTGGATATGCATTTGTCATGGCGAGATAGCACCACAGTAACCTAATCACGATTGACACAATCCACCCAGAACGTCATCATTCATTCGGTAGAAATTTAAAGCATGTTACCCTTGAAAAAGGAAAACGGACAGGCCCACGATGTCTCGTTTTGGGCATTGCAGTGGGAAGATGTCCGTGCCTATACGGCTTTACGACTATTGTATGGTATAGATTCCTGCACTCCCCGACAGACCACAATGCTACAGGATCAAGACATCTAGTATATCTCCCACCCCCGGGCTTACGGACAATACTCTACATCCCCCTCACTCCCCGTCCACTCGAAATGCACCACATCCAACTCCGCCCTCGTCATCCCAACCGAGGGCCCCTCCTCCCCGAGCGTCCCAAACTCCTCCAACGCCGCTACCAATTCCTCATATCCTCGTCTATCATCCCCAGATCCATATTTACATTTCCCATACCGCGTCACCTCCCGAATCTGCCCACTCACCTCACACACCTTGTGATGCGAGCTCATCACCGCCCAGTTACAAAACGCCATCACGACCACCGCGCATGTGGTATTCATCTGCACTGTCACGCTCACAGTCTTTAGACAGTCACATACCATTCGATCTAGATACTTACATAGGTTGCCCCTCCCCCCGCGTAAGACCACATTCTCTCGCTGTTTCCGTGAACCATCACTCCGCAAATCCACCAGATCATGAATCAGCGTACAGGCAATACTCAACACCGTATACTCCGCCTCATTGATCTGCTCCCCCGTCCAGACCTGCGCAGCCGCAACCGCAAAGAATAACCCCAGGTCGATGTATCGATGGGCAGTGAGATCGGTCATGCGACTCCCGTAGATCCCATCCGGGAGACGGAGTCTGACATGGTCACGATAATACCCCAACACCCGGAAGTGAAGCATCGAGGCCATCATGTTGTTGCCCAGGAGGAGAATAGACCCGCTAGAACGCAGAGTTTGAGGAAGGAGACGGCCGCGGCGCCGGTTTGTTGGAGGAGATGCAGCGTGGACGGGTCCGCGACCTCGCAGTAATCGGCGATTAGGATGTCGTTTCCGGCGTCGGCGATGGCGCGGATGAGGCCGTCGTGGGTCGGGGAGCTGGGAATGGCGGCGGAGACGAAGTAGTGTTTGGCGTCGATGCAGAATTGGATGGTTTCGGTGGTGGGGTAGAGTTGTTGGTGCATGGAGGGGTGAGTGTCGCTGTGGGGGTTGGGACGGCGGTCTGTAGGGCTGCAATGGTCTTGTGGATTGCGATGCAGTTGGACTGGTTGGCGATCGAGGGGATGCCCGTTGTGTCTGCTGAGACTGGGTATAGACCGGCGCAGGTGCAGATGGAATTGGGACTGTAGGTCCCTGATGCGAGGTCTGTCTCGGTGCAGGTGTGAGCATCTCTCCCACCGAGGGAGACCTGTTAGAGATTGGTGATAATGATCAACCCACCAGGTGTGGACCGACATTATCTAGGAGGTATGCCACCAAACTAGCCGAGTCGGGTGGGCACATGAATGATACCTTGAATGACTCTGGGAAACAGGACCAACATTGCTCATATAAAAAGCCAGTCACCCTCGATCTGGCCAATATTGAAAATCCATCGAAATGAGCATATTGTGCCGCATTCGTCCTGCTTCCAGAACTGTCGTAAAAGATTTGCCGCATTGACCACATTGATGCACTTGGTCTCAAACCAGAATCTCTCAAGGTAGTTGATCACAGACTGTCGTTGAGTCTCCCCCGCGATTCCAAGCCCGCGACAAACATGGGCCAGAGTATACATTTGAACAGTGCATCGTCGCTTTTCAGTGCGTCAATAGTATCAATCAATTCATGAAGTACATCTTCTAGGGAAGTGGTACTTCCGGTTAGTGCATCAAGGACTCGTGTGCCGTAGATCAAAGACCCGAGTTTGTATGATTGCGCCAACTTGCCAAGCATCACAGATCGTATTGATGACTGATCGGGATGAGGTAAACCGGCTGCCCAGGCATAGCCATCAAAGTTCCGCGTAGACTCGAGCGCAATTCTTACTTTCTCAGCGTCGGGATACATTTCAGCATTTTCAATGGACTTTGAACTCGCCATGACATCTCTAGAAGTTGAGAATAACCGCAGGGCGTCTAGCAAATCATCAGGACATCCGAGATACGCCTTGTCGACTCTCATTTGAAGCGGCTTGACTGACTGCGGCAGAGTCGTCCTGGATAATAGTCTCGGACGCGTGCAGGTTGCTCCAAGGGTGTCAATTCTGTGGTTGTACATCTCTCGTCAGTAAGTTGTTCCGAAAGGATCTTCTCTGCCAGACATACAGATACATCTGTCTGACAATGAAGTCACGCAGTTCCTGGACAGTAGCTTCCATGCCGTGCTGGGCTGTATGTGGTCCCTCGGATTGGGAAATCGAGTTGATTAAACTTTTGATACCTTCCAGATGAAAGTTCCAGTTATCGCTTCCTGATTCCAAGAGATCCAGAAAGATCAGAAGGAATGCGCTCGCAACCGTGAGATCTCGCCGGCATAGTCTCGCATCATTCACCGCGCGTGAGAGTCCTTGTATGGCCTGGTACTTGTAGTGAAGAGCACTGTGATGAGCGTCGGCAGACTCAGCCCCAACATATGTTGCACCGTCCGAGCTATAGAACCGTCGGGCAGTGTTTGCCATGTGCTGTGCTGAAAGTGCCACAACCGACATCAACAGAACCGGCTCTTCTAGGGCAGCAGGTATCAATTTTCGCAAAGGGTTTCTGTTGCTATCGTACATAATAAACAACTTGCACACGCATTTGCTATCTGCTGCCGTCAGCATGGACCAGTCCTTATGAATTGTACCTGATACCCACAATAATACAAGTAATATCTCGAGGTTTTATCTAGCCTGTTTATGGAAGGGTCATCTAGACCGGACGGTATGCCGAGGACATCGAACGGACCTGCATCATGCGCATCCCTTAGTAATCCCAGAAGCCCAATAACCACTATGAATAAGAGTCAACATTACCTTCGTGATTATCAGTCCCCGTTTCGTCTGCACGAGTCAATGTTGCAGTAAGGATATTCCCATTGCTGCCCAACGGCGACTTGTCCGTTGCCGTCGAAGACACCAAAGTAATCTTGGCTGAAGCGGGTTTCGGCTTCCCCCGAAAAGCTGAACCCTCGACCCATCTGAGGGGTCTTTTTTGGAAGCACTCTAGCCCAGCCTTTGTGCATTTGCTGCAAGGCGGCTGAGACATGTCACATTCAACGCGCCTCCGGCGGCAAGTGTAACAAGAGCGGGACATGAGGCTGCTCAGGGGATGGCTCGGTCTAGATTAGGACTATTGGGGCTGGCTTCCAGCCAAGACTTAGTTCCTAGCACTGGGAATGTTGAAACAATCTTCAGCAGGCGAACATGGTTCATGCTTTGGCTCCCACATATCTCGAAGTTGAGACGTGCAATGGAAGAGGCCATGCGGGGGTGGGGAACCCAGGCAGTCAATCAGCGAGTCATGTGATCAGACTTGCTGCTGTCCGAAACAGGCATGACCCTGGAGCCACGTGATCAAGCTCCATCAGCAGCCGAACCTGCAGTTGAATTCACCAATCAGAGCACCCTCTGTTTCAGCAACCGCCAATTGAATTTGCTCGGCTGACGCGATGGTGTCGCCCCGCATTGTCTATCATCAGAAGCTCTCTAGTCAGCATCTACTCTGCTTCAAATACAAGCCGCTAAAAGATCCATCTATAAAGATAATACCAGGCACTACGCTAAAACTCGGTGAGCAGCAGACTAGTAAATAGGGCGAAGCCGACCTTGACAGGAACATGGTGCGCCACGAGCACGATGAAGGCCACTGGGCCGTTGCAGTCGGCCACGATCAAGCTTCCGGTTACTTCATCAGCGTTTATGACCGCCGTCTGGAGATTGAGGACAGTACTGGCGATGACTTTGAGCGTCTGGCCTACAGTATCGCCCCTGACGGAACCGGTTGTTATCTCAACGCTTATACTGGAAGCTTCGGAATGGGCCAAAAAGTCAGTTTGAAGACGATGGAGCGGTTGTGGAGGATGTATGGGGCGCCGAAGAACGATATGGACTTGCTTCGTCATAACCTTCCGAGTGCGTAACCCGGTGGATGGAATATGTGCGCCATACTACAGCCCAGCTCATGATGGTCTCTCGAGATCGAACAACATCTAGTATAGTGGTCAATTTGTTCCCTCCGGGGCCGAATAACCAACTCGTTCAGTTTCTCTAATTCAGGCCCAAGCTCAGTGACACACACTTGTCAGTGCAAAATTAAAGTTTCTATAACCATACTCTGGGCCAGATACTTGCCACGAACACAGGGGTAAAGGAACTCGTTATGTCGTGATACACTATACAATTCACGCCTAGCATATCTCGACATATTTGTTCGGTCAAGCCCATTGCAACCAGAGCATAGCGTTCACTTGTTGCCTGGCCTATCTGAAAGCCACAGGATGTGAATTCACACCAAGGAATGCAAAGTTACTGTGACTAGCTTTCCCGACGATGCGATGCGATGGTTAGCCTACATGGGTTTACCTGTGCTTGGAAGCACAGGGTTGCTCGCCCTGGTCCATACTCAGCAACTGTGCTGGTAACAACAAGTCGCTTGCTTTTCTCCATTTGAGCAATTGGTTGTCTGGACATCGTGCAATTCTCTCCCCTCCTCTCAATTTTTTTTTTTTTTTTTTTTTTCTGTCTGCAGTAATGTCCCTAGCAGATTTGAAGCTCCACGGCCTCTACGTCGTCCTGCACATCAGGAATGATCCGCCAGTCCCCAATGACTTCCATTGGTGATTTTACTTCCACAAATATCCCAAGGATGGTGGTACGAAGTACCATGTACGGGAAGAAGGCAGTGGTGGCTAGATTGCGGACCATGGACCTACGGCTGGAGTCATGAAATCGGTCCTCCTCGTCGGTTTATTCAGAATAGCCGATGTTCCAGCGAGATGTGAAACCCTCCTGGATGTGACGATGCGGACTTATGACAACCGCCTGAACATACCAGGATTAGGTGCTCCGCTTGGGTCCAGTGGACCCTGGCCCTGCTACGAAAGGGAACCGATAGGGAGAAGATCCTCAAGTGTGACGATCTGGAAGCTCTCGTGACGGAGATCAAGGCGTGGGGAAACTCCCACGCCATGAATGCAGCAGGCAATCTTCAACCAAGGCCAGTGGCAGCTTCAGCATTGTGCGAACTGTAAATGGTTCGCTATTGCTCCAATAGTCCCCGGACTTGGATCGTTGCTGACCACTTGATGCTTACAGCAGAAACCTCATAATGCGTGGGCCATGCTGCTTTACCTCTTCTAGTTCGATTATTTGCAGTTAGATCGACTGCTACTGATGTTTGTGTTGTTTGCTTGAGGGCGGCTTGGGAACTGCTACAGCCCCTCTCCTTCCTCACTACAACACCCACGATGGAATCAATCACTCAATCATCTCGTTTTGTCATGAATCTCTTTTGCATTGATTGTTGTTGCTGGAGGATCTAGTCCAACCTTTGTCCGCCTCTTCCCATCCTCAGATGCATCTTCGTACTCATGGGCCGGTGAAGAGAGCCTTGACCTGCATCAGGCTAACCCGGGTGAGCTTCGATCTTTCCTCCTTGTCTATGAGCCTGACTGATAGGTGACTGGTGGATTCTTTATAGCATGGTGCTGCCTAAAACCCTTTCATGCTTGACTGCCCTTCCCTCGTCGGTCACCAAATCCTCCACCGTCACCTTTTGTATGGGAAAAATTTGCTGACAGATGGTGACTGCAACATAACAGCGAAAGCAAATGAGAGGTATACGATAGCAACATTGCTGGACTGCGGTTATCGATTCTGAGATGAAGTTATCTGGTCACGCCTGGTGCCCACCCCTGGGATCTATCAGCTCGGTTGCAATAAGGAATGAGTTCAACCCACTCAATGTTTTCTGGAGTATGTCGTTGTTTTGTTCTTCACCCTCGTTCAAGTTCGTCTTTAGTTGAAGCCGGGTTTCTGTCCGTACACGACCTGTCTTCGAGAAGTCAGAAAGTGCCAACATAGTTTTGATCCTCACGAACATCTGCAAAACCCCCTTGATCCCTTTCCGCAGCGCCTCACGGGCGGACGCACACAAGAGGATGGTCTCAAGATAGCCCTTTCCAAGATGCTTCTCCATCAGTGCTAGGCTGTATGCTTCCAGTCCTGCAGCCCAGTTCCGAACTATCCCGCGCATCAGCTGGTCGCAGCCTTCGGTGCACAGAGGAATCAGGTAGCTATGTGCGGTGACGTTGACGAACCCGTGTTGAGCGAGTTCGGTTCCGAAGTGGAGGGGAGGATTTAACTGGCGCCCGTCTCGGGCGTAGGCCGTCGCTATATCCCGAAAGAAACCGTGGAAGGGGCTGTTTTCGCCGGACTCCTCTAACTGCACGCTCATGTCACAGATCTCAACCCATCCGCCAGGGATGCAGCAGCTAAAGTTATTAGTTCAGCGGTGTTGGATTCCTCATCTATCTGGTTGGACAGATGGTTACCTATAGGACCCTTCCAGCAGGAGCGATAACAGCTGACGGTCACCGTGGATTTGGCTGATATGGATGAATTCCATGTCCTTATAGTGAGTATGCCAGCCCGGCTGACAGATGTCGTCGATGAAAAACTCGCAATTCGGTGGCACCCTGTCTGATTAGCCCGGCATCAATCAACCATGGCTGTCAAAAGTTTACCATTCATGTTGCATCTTCACCAGGTCAACTCCGCAGACCTACTTGGTCAATTCCTTCTCGATCCAGCATGAAACCTCCGGTGCTCTTACAGTGGAAGCAGGATGTCTGTCCGCTGTATAGAGTTAGTATCGTCGGTCGCATACCACCTTAAAAACTGGGTATTTACCACACTCTATAGCCCAGCAGCCAGTGCCAGTCTTGATGTCCAGGACACTCCGCGGACTCTCTATCGGGGCAAGGAACAGCCTACCCCGGAAAAGCTCACAGAGCAAGATGGATTGTTCCTCTGTCGCCTGGTTAGCTACCGTCATCTAACCACAGAAGTCCTATTACCTAATCGATCTTGCTCCAACTTTGAACCGTTAGCTGCAGTCACCGAGAAAGGAGGGATGCCTACCTCGTCAATTGGCCATGGATGCTGATCTCGATGGATCACAGAATAGAGGCGGCCAAATCGATACACACTTTGGTGAAGGGCAAGATCGAAGCTTCTGGTGGATCTGTTTCGGTCAACCGATGAGGGTATATTTGTTAAGGGGGTGCGTACGCTTCCTCGATATCATCTAGTGGATCTGAGTCCGAGGCATCTTCCAGTGGTGTGGCTAGAGGCAGTGTGTCGTTCATCTTGTGTGTGACAGACGGTGTATGGGTGTCTTTCTGACACCGGATCCAGATGTTATTTAGGCTTTGAGACAGCCGTGCGACACGTACTTTGAATCTGTCATCTGAAGGAAGAAGGTTTAGGCACGAATCGCGGAAGTGGATCCGTTCCCGCCAAAGCCAAAACACCCGGGATCTGCCTCGGCTTTTGAGTAGCCATACTGTGGACGTTCGAGCACCGGCAGATGACTTCCGCCTCATCAGCTAGCCAGGTCTATGGGCTCGACTGCGTCTACAAGCACAGGCTTGTGGCGTGGTGACGAGGCCTTGGTCACGGGACGCCAAAGGAAGGGGCACGGCTCGAGCAATACGACTCACGGCCTATCTCGGTGCTGATGAGGCAATTTGGCTCTGCGGTATTGTTAACCTAGCCTGCATTGGGCAATTAGGTTAGGGGCAGCAGATCAAGCGGCTGCAAACCTTACTGGGTTCTGAGATCGTGAGTGATTGCATGCTACTAAACTATTGAATGGGCTGTGATTCTTGCAGACCAAGAGGGCAGCCCCAGTTCCGTTGGAGCGAGGTATAATACGCGTTATATAAGGCGGCAGTTGGAACCTGGTTGGCGCTATTGAAGTGGCGCTAATGTTGTTCGATCGGTAAAACTGGGCAGGCCAAGCTCAGAGCATAAGTGGATCAAGCAGGTTTTACTCTGCATCCCCGGCAATGTCCTCAACGAGGCATGTACCATACATCCAGTGGGTCGTGACCTGTATCTCCCGAGATGAAGTCCGAGAATTCTCCAGAATAGCCGACGCTTATCAGCACCGATCGACTGCACCACGCAACAAAGGACAGGGAACCCGACCCGGAGAACATCTATCAATCTTGATCTGGGCTCTGCCGCACACACCCAGATATTATTGGCGGAACAAATAGCCGGAGGATTCGCGTGTTGCATTAGCCACAATAATCCTTGCGCGTATGCTATTCTAGAAAGGGGAAAAGGTATTCGGTGAAGGAGACCGTCTCACTGATCGATCTTTTCCGGGAAAGCTGCATAATGGGAACCGAAGCTATGATCGTGAGCTAGTCGGAGGATTTGCAACGCCTAAGGCTATCACACGCTGATGCACCAATGTCTCCCGCTGAATGGTTTGTTTTCGTCATCTTTCATTCAATGGCAAGAGGGGAAGCTATTCCCACTGCAGTTGTCCCACCGCTCATGATATTACCACTTTGGATACCGGCACTTCTGAAGAGGGCTGCGTGAGTATCGAATGTTGGTTATACACCTGGCTCGGGTTGGCCTATCTTCGCGGCCCTATGACTCTTCATTGAAACGTTGCCTTGATCATCTTCACACGTGATCGAGTCTTAATCTCATACAGTCGAAGTCCAATAAGAGCCTCCCTAATCCATCCTCGACATCAGTGGAATCAAAAACATGAGAACTACTGGTCCAAATCATCCTATGTTTCCAACCATGTCAATGAGGAAGTAATTTGTGATCGCAAAATCCCATCATGTAGCCAGTCTTCACAGGACACGAGCAACCGATACCGCCAGACCCGCGATAGAAGTTGAGCGATAGCGACATGCGTCAACCTTGCAACTCAAATTGCAACTCAAATGCTTACTCCTCGTACTCATGACCGGTTGCAGCTGGAAACGCCTGTCGGAATCATCCCGGCTACCGTGAGGGGACCGTGAGGGGACCGTGTCCTCGTCAGGCTTGTGCACGAGCCGCCGCAGTGACAGCCTGGTAGTACATTAGTGCGTTTGAGCTGGGGAATGATTTGTTGGTTCCTAGGTGTGTATACACCTGTCTCGATCGATTGATTGAAGGCTTACCCCGATTCCTTTCCCTTTGGGGTTCTTCTCGGGGTGCTGACGGCTCACGGCTGCAGAACTAAATACCAGGTATCTTATTACGTGCCTTGCAATGCTAAAAATGCTTATGTGGCGTTCCTTTAACCTTCTCCATCCATTATCCTCTTTTGGCATACTAATGAAGCCACCTTGTTCTGTGATAATCAGCCCTAATAAGATTATTCGACCACTGCCTCTAGTTCGTCCGCATACACTTTATGCTTGGATTCCAAATATCCGACGCCGCTTCGTATACGAAGCCACCGCTAACATCCTGCTTTCTACCTGCGATTTCCCATTTTATCATTGCGATCATTCCAAATCGCCGTATTTTATCAAGAGCGGGCTTTCTAGAATCTAGGACCCTTAACCAGGACCATGCTCCCTAGCCTTTCCTCCTGAGAACTGTGTCTTGAACTGGACATCCTCTCAGATATATCTCATCACCGCTGAAGTTCCTTTGTTTTCTTCACGGGTCTGGCCATCCAGCAGACCCGGTAACTATCTGCCCAATATGACTCATGGAATGAGCCGAGTTCATATGTGCAGAGGTTCCGGCTCGCGCGAGTTATAGTTGAAGATTTGTTCAGTGCTGGTTCACACTTGCAAATGTGTGTGTTTATACCATCCGCAGCGATGTTGGTCTTGTCCTTTTGATCATATTTCTATACAGCGGTAATACTTCCAATAGATATGAAATCCTCTACATTCGAGCCACATCTGATTGAGAAATGCATCTCAACTTCGTCGTCTTCTTCCCTGTCCGGTAATAACAGATTATGGTACCTGCGTGGATGTGGTCCGATAGATGGAGTACATGTCCTTGAACTCATGTGTCGATTCTGATTATCCTTTGTTCAGGGAGCAGGTCTGGTTATGTGAATTGGGGTCCAACCGGCTTGGATGTGGTGACTAGGCAAAACAGTAGTTCCTACCTCGCTGGGAATGCGGGAAAATCTCTATTTCCGGTCCCTGCACTGAACTGCCGGCTGATCCTAGAAATGTCCAAGGAGTCGTTCCACCAACCATCCATATCCTCACTCGCTTTGGTTCTCATACATTGCCACAGATTGACTCGTCATGACCACACACAGGAGCAGCGGTTGGTTTGACAGCAAATGGCTGCCACAAACCATACAACCAGAAAGAGATATCTGTGGTCGGACCTCGCAAGAAATCGAAGCCCTTGTAGCCCTGACAAAGACTGAATGTCCATGTACTCCTAAATATTATGCATCGAAGCATACAAACCAGAGTTCCGACGGCTGGGTCCCTGGTGGCTTTCTCGACTACATTGTGATGGAGAAACTCGAAGGAGTGACCCTCTCCGACGAATATCTCAGTGACTTACCACGGAGAGAGCAGCAAGAACTACGAAATGCGTTCAAATCATCAGACGTGTGAGTCACTGTTAGAGTCCCTTGTATACGGAGGATGTGGCATATATCCATACCGCATTAGGGAATGTCAGGAGCGGGGCTTTTACCATCTGGATGCGAGTCTCTCGAATCTTATTTGGAATAAGCTGAAGATGAAATGGTCAGTGTTTCTGATGGTTTCTAATCAGTTGTATAGACGGTCCATACTTATTTGCTATTATAGTTATATTGTTGACTGGGAAGCGCGGGTTCGAAAGGCCTATCCGTGGGACGACGATGAGTATCTGAGGTGGGGTCTGCTATGATTGGATGGGTTCCAATGGTTTGACAGGGAGTTGCTCGGTGTGTTTTTTACATAGTTATCGTTGAGCGTTCTGATCGGATATATGACACATGGCAGAATACTGATTTTGATGGGGCCTCCAAAGGCCATTCAGGCACTTGATAAGGCATCCACATTGTCCTTAGCCTGAGGCTATTGATTCTTGCCTTAGGCAGTAATATCAGGCCTCAGGCACGAATTAAAGGCCTCGAGTCTGATGTTCATTGAAGTTGTCAGTAGACCTGTATCGCATGCTATATCAGGCACGGCAGCCTGATCCCGCCTTAAATCAAGAAGACTGGGACTGTCTATAAGGCATTTCCTATGATTCTAATAGTGTAACTCAGCACAGACAGAGAGGGGGAATTAAGGAAATATAGATTCTAATAGATGAGGATGAGAATTGACATCATCTCTAACTAATCTGACAACTCTAGTCTGTCTATCTTGAATAGTAGAGTAGTTTCATCGAGAGAAGACTACTTAAGTAACTCAAGGCAAACTTTCTTTATACGAACCTCCATCTAAGCAGTCAAGATGTCAATCCAGGAAAATCTGCAGTTATGGTTCTAAATTCCCGTCGCACCAAAGCGAGAAATCCCCAGGGTCGAGTTTCAGACCCCTGATTCATCATCGGGGTGGCAGTTAGCTTCTACAGCAACCTGTCTAGACATGAATAACTTCCAATGCATGGCCAGGCACAGAGCTGTGAGATATTCGATGTACCACAAATGACTCGTGCGAATACTAGAGCCATCGAGGTATATCTTCGTATCTTTTCCAAGTGCAAGCAGCAATTGACGGCTCAGCGACGTACTGCCAAAAGTTCTCGTCTCTGATAATGTGGCCTCTTCTAGAGCCTTTGCCATGGCGGAAACACTATCTCCAGTAGCTTGATTAAGCATCCTCCCAAAAGGTCGGACGAAAGGAGACTTTTATTGCGTCAAACCACGCCATTTGAACGGTCAAAGGAATGTTCACAGCCATAAATTGGTATATTTTACCGACTGAACTGGTTCTAGATGCGTCTTGTTGCGCTGTACACTTACTGTGTTCTTTCCTGCCGCATATAGATGATATGGATTGTCAATGGTGAGGATCTTGATAGCCCCGTAGATCGCAACAGGTTGCCAGAAATTAAGGATGTTACTCCGCTTTAGCCCCTGTGGTTCGACCTTTCAGCTTCTCATCTGCTTCGTGGCTCCTGCCTCGTTGAGACTTCATGTCTATTGTTCCTCGGCGCTTGAAGGTATATGTCCCTTGAGACATGATATGCTTCAGTCGGACAGGAACCCGCACTAGTAGTGCACACTGAGCCTTTACGTGCCATGTGCAATTGCCACAGGCTCCAAACAGTCATACCATTCGCTAAAGCAGTCAAGTATGTTTAAAAGATGCCTTCGCATTGGGTGCACGAACGTACTTTGTCGGACCTTTTGGCGGAGAAGAACATGCTTGATGCCAGCAGTCCATCCTCACTGTTCAGGTCCCATACGTAGATAGTTTCTTTTAGTCGGATCGATGCTGTTCTATAGAGAAAGCATCGACCCTGTAGATGAACCACATTCATTGATAGATCGTACCTTAGGCGAAAAGCTACATTGAATAGCAACTTCTTAGTACCATTTCTCAGCAAGATAAGGTATCGCTTGCTTACCTGTCGTGGTATGGTCTTGAACCGCAAGCTCGGCATTTGTCACCTTCCCTCATACCTAGATGCTCGGTGAAGACATCCTAGGGGATTTCGCAACGAAACAGTACCATTGGCTCTTACCAGGTACTGAACCCATTGTCCCAGAGAGTCTCATAGCAGACAGGACAGGCCTGAGAATATGGCAACCACCCCGGAGGCTTACATCGGTGTCAGTTAGTTGTCTGGCAGTGTGTTATGGAGAACCCATGGTCCCCTCATCTTTGTCGGGCCCCTCGCTGGTACTGTATGTAGAAAAAAAAAAGTTGGTATCTAAATTATAACGAAGCTGTGAGGATGCGTCTTACCCATACTATCTCGAAATCCTGTACTGAAAACAATCGCTTGACTCTTGTTTCCATATCGTGTTCCGATGGCAATAAGTGGTCTGAGCTCCGGATTCGCATCACTGAGAACCCATCTGTCTGCCTCCAGAAATGATACGGTTGTTGCATACCAATGTATCCAAGTCTTCCCATGACCCACGCAAAGATCTATCATCGAAATGTCGTTGTATAAATCCTACCAAGTCACTGTTCAGTATTGTCTTGTATGATAATCGATCCCTCCATTCTTGGCGTTATCTCTGTCTTTTGTAAACAGGAGAGTCAGGAACATTGTTATTTGGCAGCACCAAATCATATATACCGGGAATAAATGAGGATATCCCCAACTGTTATTCTCCTTGTCCCTAAGGCAGCATGTATAAGCCCCGTTAACGGGATGTCAATCCAGCAAAACAATTAGTATATCCATCTGTCACTCTCTGCCCACTCTGTGGGGCAGTTTGGGTCAGTTAGACGGTGGCTCTCCGATAGCCCGGATATCAGGGTTTCTCTGTCTGTTTTTTCCCGCTTATAGACGAGCTCTGGGCAGGGCCAATTTACTCCGGCCACTCCACTTACCATGAGCGGTAGCTTAATTGACCGCCCCATCGCTCCAGGCACAGCGATACACGATCTGGAAGTGCAGATGTTAGGGCACAAGCATGCTAACATTCGGCTGTCTGGAGACCCTTTCCAACTCAGTAATGTTTGTTATGGTGGGTGCATAATCGATAGCCATCACCTCCATGGAAAACTGCATCTGCTATTCTCCTGCTCATTCTTCTTCTCCGTCTAATAAAGGAGTCATTCCTTTTATGCGGGGTTTCTCTCATGCTGTTAAGCAACGCCATTTTAGATATCCTTCTAAGAAAAGCGCATGACCTTTCTTGATATGACAAGTGAAACGAACAAACCCTCGTGTTTCGAATCTTCACGGCATATCCTAGCATCTTATCACCACAAACAACTTAGGGTTCTACCCGTGGTGGAGATACCAACAGACAACAACCGTAGCTCTCGAGGCATTTTTTGCTTCAACCTTCACCAGGTCTTCTAGCCTTTCTAAACCTTCTTTTTTTTTCCCTGGTTGCGTCATTGCTGGGAACTTGAGCGCAGGTCTAACGTATCGCTACGCCGATAGTCTGCCTTCACGACAGCATCCGCAAAGGGGAGATGCTCAACATCTCACGGTAGTGGCGCATCATGAACAAGAGAACACATGCAGAACCCAACATGTTGTCAGCTGCTGTTTTGCGTGGTGAAGAAGAGGATGCAAGATGACACCTGCGTATTATCTCCAATCGACGCGCTCACTGGAACAGGACAAACAAAGTGCTCCAGATGTCTGAGATTGCTTATCGTTTTGTTTGTTTTGCTTTGCCAGCGGTAATGGAATATATGTGCTACTTCAACTGGTATAGCTGCTTTGATGACTGCTGTCCTTCATCGTAGGGTAGACGCATCTCTTTTTCGGTGCTTGCACAGAAAACCCATTTCGTTTGCTATCAGTGTGGAATGCATGGGACGAATCATAACAACAGTCGAGAATGATTTTGATCAGATCATTTGGAGGCTTTCCGTCTCAGCCTCAACTTCTTATCCTCAGGTCCTCCAGCAAAACTCCTGCAGTCTACTGACTAGCCGTAAGCAGCATGGATGAGGGTTACTGAAGCAGGATCGGGCCCATGATTACCTTTCGTCAGGACAACCAGTTTTCGAGACTTTTGGTATGGACCCCTTTTCATTCAGAATGTCATAGATTGCGGCCGGCTTCGTACTGTACTGGATGACCTGCTCAGGACCAGTTGCCTGTGAGATCATTTCGCTCCCTGGTGAGCGGCATCGTGAAAACCTAAGGCCTGGACGCGTAGTATCCAATGGATGAGGTTGCGTATGTCTGTGTCTCTGCGTAGAAATCACTCATAACCAAGCCCAAAGGCCAGCGGCTGAAACTTATAAACGATAATCAGACAGCAAAATCATTTGCTTCTGTCTGGATATCTTGTCTTGCGACATGGACCAGCCATCCAGCATAGGCTTATCGAGAATCTTCCCAGTATGTCAATGCTGTAGATATTGTGCGTTAATGCTCTTGTCAACCGAACATGATTTCTGTTCCTATCCACTGCATTCGACCAGACATCTTGAACCTATCGATCTTGTCTGTCTCATGCTTCATATAATCCATCTCGTCCCCTAGTTTAGGGCGTGACTACCAGATCCCAGTAACGCGTGCTTGAGCAACTTGGCATGAGTTGTCCTTCGATACTCTAGGCAATGAGACCTGGCCGGAGCCATGGGCCGCGCCATCTCCTGATTCAAGGACATTGCTACATGTCGGGCCATGAAACCGGGCTTTGCCACACCACGCAGACGAGAGGGCGGGAAGGCTGGTTTATCAGTACCATCTGGAAAAGCCGAGCATTCTAGTTCGATAATTACCTTGGTTTTATGAGCTTAAGCCCAATATGTATCCGAGATGGCTAGTATAGTTGATGTTCGCCAAATCATGGACATAACTGTAGTCGTCGCCTTCATGCATCGTCAGTTGTTGTCCTGTTCTGCAGGTTATGTATATTTCCCCGAATCTTCCTATAAGAGTTCATTCTATAGAACAGTTAAATACTCGTCAATTCCAAAATCATAGCTCAATGAAAAGAGTCTCTCACTCACATTCCCACCCACCCCAGGGGCATTTTGATCCATGCCGCCATCTCAGCACTCCCATATATGGGTAGCTGAAGTATCGCTTGAACGCCGGTGTCTTTTGCATATAATAAACATGTTAATCACCAGAACATTCATGCAGTAGCCGTTCGTTAGCCACCCCGAAAGTCTGGTTCGACCTCTAGTAACTTATTCATCTGCGTCGGTGTCGGTGTCTGTGTCTGTGTCCGTAGCAATTCCTCTTGCCCACGCACGGCATTTAACCAGTATACCTATGATATAAATCGATAAACTCGTTCTTGTTCAGGTTAAGCTGTCGATACGCCCCGGGTTAGAATTATCAAGCAGAGACTAGGAGTCTTCGGAGGTTCCATCCTTCAGTGAACTCGACGAGATATTTCCGATAAAACGGTAAGTTATACTTTGTAGGGGATTGAGCCTGGATCTAAGTTAGTGTCTATTTTTCAAATGGTAGAGGGCTTACTCACTGCACGCTCATGTCAGCTGGTAACTATTGGGTAGATCCGTACTTATCTGGATTAATTGTGGCCACGTATTCGTGTAGCCAGCATGGTAGCAGCTGATGAAACCACTCAGGTAAACTGACTAATGGAGAATAGAGTAAATTTCTGTCCCAATCCGTGCAGTTGATCATCAAGAAGGGTTTATCCGAGGTCTCGCTATGCAGGATCGAGACGCAGTTCTGAGCTCCGTAGATGACTGTCGAAGAAATGAAATACCAGTAGAAATAGCAGTGGGACGGTACTGTCGCTTGTATAAATGCGAACGAGGTATAATTCCATAGTAGGCTAGCCTGGAATGTTGGTTGATAACCTCCAGATGGGATTTGGTGCAGTGGGATAGTCGATATGGTGTTTGGGATATGTACAGAGAAAGAGGGGAAAGATTGGGGGGGGGAGGAGAGGATTTTATGGCTTCGAGGTTCTATGACTGGGAATCAAGCATATTCAATTCGGTATTCAATAGTGGCTTGTATATTTCACTATGTGATCTGGGACTGATTAGGTGGTGTACGAGTCATTCCCACGATGTAGTCACCAAGAATATTCAATGCAGTACAAGCAGAATAATGCTTCGGCATAGGTAATTGCCGGTCGGTCACTTGGGACCTCGACACGATTTGCTCTGGGCAGTGCAGTATATTACGCGAATTCAAATGTTATGATAGAGCAGTAATGGAATCGATCAGATAGAAAATAAATTAGTATCGTGGCGATTTAATCCATCGCGTAACGCCATTATATGGTATCGCGAGTCATGTAGTTGGCATCTGACATCACATGTAGAAAAAGACCGAATCATCATCAAAATAATATACACGTCGAAAAGAAAGTCTATCCAATAATCACTCGGTATGACTTATGCGGCATCGCTCTTGGCCGGATAGAACCTGGGAACATTAGTATAACATTCAACAACACTCACAGATGACTTACCAAGCAGCCACAGCAATGATGAGGTACATCATCATCAGCAACACCCCCTCCAGCCAATGGGACTTCCCGTCGGCGATCAGATAGTTGACCAGGAGAACGGCCACAAACAGAAGGATCACCTGGAAAGCATCAAAGTACAGCGTCATGTCGTCGTTGCCCATGCCCCATCCAATCACAATGATCAACGGCAGCACCAACAACGCAATCTGCATGCTAGATCCAACGGCAACACCAATCGCCAGATCCATCTTGTCCTTGCATGCCACAGTCACGGCCGTGGCATGCTCGGCTGCATTACCCACAATAGGCAAAAGGATCAATCCGACAAATGTCTCCGAGATATGTCCTTGAGTCGTGAGGGCATCAATGGAATCCACCATGAACTCAGCGCAGAGAGCAACAAAAACGGTCGAGATGACGAGCGTCAACACCGCCACCGTGACACTCAACTGGGGCTCCTCGGCATCATCCTCTGGCTCTTGCAACTCGACCTTTTGCGCGTGTTCGCCCGCCATGGAGGCCGACATCTTGCCGATCTGCGCGATGCCACGGCTGGCGTCGCCCTCGTTGATCTTCTGTCGTCTCTTTTCCACCTTGGGGCTGGGCGCGTTGTAAATCTCAGTGTGCGACTTGAGCTGGAAAAACAGGTAGCATCCGTACACAACCAGCAGAATGACACTGGTGCCTGCAATGTGTGAGCTTACGGTTTACTTGTGACTTCGAACGGCTTACCTCGTGACAAAGGAGCAACTCCCGCATCGCCAGCTGGAACGGTTAGCTGCGTCAGACAAATGACTCGGGAGACTTACCATCAGACCAAGCGTGGAATGCCGTAGGAATAATCAGACTTCCCACTGCCAATGCCAACAGACTGGCCGCGGTCTGAGCGACGACGGGGTTGAAATGTTGCTCCAGACGGTCGATACCTCCGAAGAAAAAGCACATGCCCATGACCAGGAGCAAATTCGAGAGCATACTTCCGATCAAGGACGTCTGGACGATGGTCACTTCGTTGTCGACCAACGCGATAATCGCAACGATAAGTTCGACAGCGTTACTGCACATGATTAGACCAGAAGCATAGAGAAAAGACAGACAACCTACCCGAATGTGGCATTGAGCAGACCACCGATCGTCTCGCCCGTCCTGCAATTATTAGAGAAGTCCTATCAACAACAAGAGTAGTCATACCGCATGGCAATCTCTTCCGTCGCATAACTCAGCATGGCAGCCAGAGGACTATTCACGTTAGCGGCGATCGCGTAGAGTATCAATGGACATACATGATGGCAATAAAATTGACCACAAAGACAGCCACCGGGCTAACGTTGACGTAATTCAGAGCAACTATCCCAGTCAGTCATGTTCCTGATAATCCATCGAATACTCACTTCCGACAGGTGCGGCGAAGAGCAGAACGTTGATCCAAGAATTGAAAATGGTGGCCTTCAACTGCCCCATCACCGTGAACTTTCGCTTCTCTGGAATCGGCTTGCCCAAGTCACTCGTCAACCGGTCATCCAGTCTGGACATATTGCTCATGAAGGTCCTCCTCTTGCGCGGGCCCTGCATGTCTTCCGGCTCATCCTGGCGCGGAACATTGATGGGAACTTGACTATGCATAGATGGATCGGTGCCGGCTTTGTCGCCGCTGTCCGTTCGCGCCACCAGATCGGTGCCTGCGGACTGGGGAGGGAAGCTGTCTGCATGCTCTGGCCCGACTAGTCCGTCGGTCATGTCCCTCCGTCGCCGGCGCTCCTCCGACAAGCGCACTTCACCCTCTGACATGATCGGAGTCAGTCGATTCTCCAGCTGAATGGAATTAGTGCGTCGCGGCTGTCGGCGGAATTTCTTGAAGGGGTTATGAGAGGAAGGTTCGCCTTCCTGGTCATACCAGGCCAGCTTTCTGGCATGTCGTTTGTAGATATCTGATGCCAAGACGCGGTTAGCCGATGTCGCGGGTCCAAAAAGGGGTACATACGCATGTTTCCAGGTGTTTGTCAATTAGTAACCAACAAAAGAAGAATCTGGTTCTGTGGTATATGTACTGGAGAAGAGTTAGGCACCAGGTCAAAGATATAGGCAGGACAATTTTAAAATTCGGCAAGCGACTGTGCCGCATTGAGGCACATGGCGTCCCAACCGCACGGTACAGCTGTCATCGCCGTTCGGTCCAATGAGCAACGCAAGAAAGGAATAAACTCACTGACGTGGAAAAGCTTCCTGATCGATAGCAGAGCAGTTGAAGCCTCACGGTGTGGCTGAAGTGGATTCGCGATACTCCGCCTCAGTGGCCACCAGAACAATCCGGAGGGGTTCGGCCTCAACAAAAGCGCGCGGATGGGTCCGGCGGTGATAAGATCAGATGAAAAGGGAAACACGAGCAGAAGCAGCAGAAAGCACGAAGGAGGGTGATGATATAGGACTGCCGCCACCGTGCAACCGGGCCAGGACAGCAATAACGAGCGACAGAAACCAGGAAAGAAACGAAAGATGCCTCCGAGCGCGAGGGCAGCGTCACCCACAATGGCAGAGAATGAAAGGAGACAGCCGAAATCAGTTCCAGGTTGATTGTCAACACATCTCATTATTCGGGTTGGGTTGCTGCAGCATTCAACACAGCCACACAGCTACCGCTAGTCTCCGCTGGGGGAAAGAGTCTCATTGGGTCGCTGAACAGATCGATATTTGATAACCCCCAACTTCCCATCGGTAGCAGCGAAATGCCGGGCGCTCAGTGGCTGCCAGGCTGGTGGGGCGGATTTTGACTTCTGCGATTCAAGCCCCTGGCGCTTCCCGACAGAGAATGAAGTGACAATGCTGAGCAGGAGGACGTCGACTACGGAACGCCAAGGCCCAGATTGCCTCCGACTAACGAAGTTTGGCCTCGCTTTGGCCGGCGGAGTACAGAATTCATCATCATGATGTCTGGACTCTTGGCTGTCCAGGGGAGGACGGGTGAAGAAATTTCACACCTCGATCAATCCTTGGGTTGTCTTCAGCTTGTGGACGCCTGTCCCAGCCGTCAGGCAGGAGTTTTATATTGGGCAGCACTATGGCTCGGTATCATGGTTGTTGCAAAGCTTCTTTGACATCGAGACGACAATGAATGGCTTAGAAGATGGCCAAGCGACTTGACTGTCGTCATCCAAAGTCAAACTCGGACGAAGCATTCCAGCCCCTGGCTTGTTTCGTGCCGCCCCATGTGGTGGGCGGTCATTGGTCGGTCCCCGACCAGTGCTGATATAAGCGGGTGTCTCTTTTCCGCCACAAGTGTGGCTCGTGAAGATGACTGTGCCACAGAGGTGCCACACATACAAGCCACAGCCACAGCAGTTCGGCATGGCTTCAAGGCTGTTGAAACTACTCCATAATTGCATCACATGCCGTCAGGCTGATTCAAGTCACTTTCGATGGAGATTCCATTCCCCCACCACTGACTTCACCGCTTTGAAGTCGTGCAGATGTTGTCCTACCAGCTGACATTCTGACCAACCGTCCACCCACCCCCGACGATCGGACAATGCAGCTCCAACCGAAGCAGGAGAACAACAAACAGAGGGCGGTGCTACAAGGAATATCGTGCAGTTGTAAACACACCGCGACAACAAGGCACCGGCGGTTGAAGAGGCAACGGTCTAGCCATCCGCGAGGTCGTACCACATAACACTGGCTGTCTGCTGCGATCGTGGCGCCTACAAGCTTAAACAGCGCAAGCCATCATGACGTCGGATGGTGGATCACCGGTTGGCCGGTGAGACTGCTCTGCCCCTTTATACGGAGGAGACAGTTGGAGAATCCCTTGCTTGAGGGGTTGGGGGCTGGGACTGAGATGATTCTGCGATGATGACCATGTTGGCAGGTGCGTGGTCGGGCTGGATAAAAGGAGAGGACCAAAGTCAGTGGTTGGGCTATTGATAGACTAGGATGCCGCTCGCTGGATGATCTCTCAAAGCTTGGTATCCCGTGTCTTGTTTCGGCAGCCGATCACACGGGTGTCCCGGTCTTTGTGCGGTCTGCCATCTCCTTGTCTCCTGAGTTTGCGGCATTTCCGGTCTGACTGACTCCAGTACAGAGAAGGGTAGGGGCAAGTCAGACACCTGCTTGATAGTGTGGGAGATTGTCTGGGATGACGGAGGTTTATTTAAGCGGCCGGCGTAAACAAGCATTTCATCAATGTCAAACACTATAAATAAACACGGCTGATACAGAAGAATGATGAAGAGGATGTAACATGGAGCCGATGCAGAACAACCACAATCATGAATGAATAATAATAATTCCTATTCGGTGTGGTGTTTCATTCATGGGGATGGTGTGGAGCGATTTCTTACCACAAAGTTACTGGGCCTTACATCGATTTACACTTTACGGACCCTTGGGCGACCGCAGACCCTGAAACCCTGCGCAGGGTCACAGGGTCTTCCGGTATTACACGGTGGTACGATGTATGGTTAAATTACCGCCCAGCAGGTTGCGCTCTTGGCATCTTGGCGGAGGCCCGCCGGCTCCGGTAGGCTGCATCCCATTCGTTATGTATTATGGCTGCCATCCGGGATGATTCAGGGATGGAGCGCCGTCTGAGAAGAGACCGACGTAGCAGGGTTCCAATAGCGAAACAGATGAGACCAACAATGTGAACAAGGACATCTTCCGGGTGCATCGACCCGGGGATGCGCGCATCGAGTGAGCCGTCCATGAGAATCGCAATAAGCAGACGCCCCACCCCTCTGACCGGAAGCGCCCGTGAGAGGTCAAAACGGCAGCGGCAAGACGGAAATGGTGAGGATGTACCAGGGAGTTGCCCTGTTGGTTCGGGTCAGGAACAAGGAACCCGTCTCGGCAGGAGTCTGGACCCGTCACAGTGCTGTAAGATACCCGTACCAAACAACCCGCCAGGGTCCTGGGCCAATCATCCCGCAGGGTCCTGGGGCAAGTTACCCTGTTTCAGCCCGCAGCCACGGCCATACGTACCATACCTGCTTTTCTGTTCCTGTTCCTCTCCCATTCTTTCCAGCGGGATGGTTCCATCCACGCACGATGCTGCTCGGAAGAAAGGCTTGTCTAGAGACCAAGACGATCGGTGGCACTGCCACATGGTGTCGACCGGAGAAGGTGAAGGATAATTGAGAAGGATGAAGGGCCGCCCCATGTCAGTCAGGTCATACAACTGAATCAACTGGGATCAACAGCGGAACCTGCTATTTTTACGGCGGAGGCGTCGTAATCGGCCCTCGATCCAGCCGACAGGCAGGGGCCGGGGCCACTCGCTCCCCCCGTCATTCGCCTCCGGCTCCTAAGTACTCCGGACCCCCTCCCTCCGTCGTCTTCTTCTTCTTCCTTCTCTTCCTCTCGTCATCTCTTTCTTTCTCTCTTTCCCAGCCACTTCTCCCCAACCACCCAACTATATCGACGGCCCAGTGTGTCGGCCGTCAGTCACTCGTTGTATACTTCTTGACGCTTCTTCCCTTGGCTATCGATTCTCCTGCGGGCAGTTGATATCACCGGGATTACATTAGAACCCGCTTTGCATTTCGACTTTCGTTTCAAACCAAACCACCTTTCACATTATGAAGCTTTCCGCTACTACCCTGGCCGGAGCCTCGCTCCTGCTGGGCCGCGCCATTGCCGCCGACCTGCCCGCTATTGAGGCTAAGGTATGTTTCGCATCTGGTGATACCAGGCAAGTCTAACTGGTTGGTTGGCAATAGAGCAACAAGTTCTTCTACTCCAACAATGGCACCCAATTGTAAGTGAATCATCCTATACTATCTCCTTAGCATCCTGACTGACCTTTTAGTTTCATCCGTGGTGTTGCCTATCAGCGTATGTAGCTCATCTGGTGATGCGATACACCGCTAACCTTCGCAGAGGACTATACTGCCACCAACGGCTCCTCGTCCACTGAGGACTACACCGATCCCCTGGCCGATGCCACCAGCTGTAAGCGGGATATTCCCTACCTTCAGCAGCTGCGCACCAACGTGATCCGTACCTACGCCGTGGACCCCACCAAGGATCACACCGAGTGCATGCAGGCGCTGCAGGATGCGGGCATCTACCTCATCACCGATCTGTCGACCCCCTCGACCTCCATCAACCGGGCCGACCCCGAGTGGAACACCGAGCTCTACTCGCGCTACACCAGCGTCATCGATGCTTTTGCCAACTACACCAACGTCATCGGTTTCTTCGCTGGTAATGAGGTCGCCAACAGCGGCAACAACACCAACTCCATTGCCTACGTCAAGGCCGCCGTGCGCGACATGAAGGCGTACATCAAGGCTAAGAACTACCGTTCTTCCCTGGGTGTCGGCTATGCCACCGACGACGACGCCTCCATCCGTGACGACCTGAAGAGCTACCTTGCCTGCGGCGACTCGGCCGACACCATCGACTTCTTCGGTTACAACATCTACGAGTGGTGCGGTGACTCTTCCTTCAAGACCTCTGGTTACCAGGCGCGTACCGAAGAGTTCAAGGACTACCCCGTGCCCGCGTTCTTCTCCGAGTATGGCTGCAACAACCCCTCTCCCCGTACCTTCACCGACGTCCCCGTCCTCTTCGGTGACGACATGAACGACGTCTGGAGCGGTGGTATCGTCTACATGTACTTCCAGGAGGACAACGACTACGGCTTGGTGTCGGTGGACGGCACCAGCGTCAGCACCCTCAAGGATTTCTCCAACCTGTCGTCCCAGATGCAGAAGGTGACCGCCACCGGTGTGAACAGCAACAGCTGGTCTGCGAGCAACACCGCCACGCCCACCTGCCCCAGCGTCAACACCGCCTGGGAGGCCAGCAGCACCCTGCCCCCGTCCCCCAACGAGGAGCTCTGCTCCTGCATGGAGGAGTCCCTGTCTTGCGTCGTCAAGGACTCGGTCAAGGAGAGCAAGTACGGTGACCTGTTCGACTACATCTGCGCCAAGGGCGACTACTGCGCAGGCATGTCGAGCAACTCGACCAGCGGCTCGTACGGCTCGTACAGCGTGTGCTCGACCAAGCAGCAGCTCAGCTTCGTCATGAACCAGTACTACGAGCAGCAGAGCATCAAGGCCAGCGCCTGTGACTTCAGCGGCGACGGCACCACCACCTCTTCCAGCGCTGCCACGGGTACTTGCTCGGCTCTGCTCAAGGAGGCCGGTACCGCGGGTACTGGCAGCGTGACCTCTTCTCCCACTGGCGGCTCGGTGGCCAGCGCCAGCTCCAGCTCCTCCGAGGGAGCTGCCGCTGGTGTTGCTGCCCCTGGTGCCGTCCGGGTTGGCAACTGGCAGCTGGGTGCGTATGCAGTGACCGCTGTTGGCGCTGCTCTTGGCATGATCCTGCTGTAAGTGTGAGGGATTGGATTAGCCGTACATAATTGAATCCGTTCTACTTTGTGATGATTATCAGTAGCATTTAATGCACATATTGTCTTTCTCATCTGTTGTGTACTCTGTAGTAGTAGATACTTTACCTGTCAAGTGTGTCGTATCTCCTGACTACTTGTCGTGCCTGTCCACTGCACGCGAGCAATTGCCCGCTGCGGCCCTGTGCTGTCAATGTGCGTGTCGGCGGGCAAAATCCGAGGTCGGCGAGAACCCCGGCGTGACCGAGCGAGCAGTCGGCCACACAACCGGCAAGCCGAGCGTCGGAAACAAGTCCGCAGCTATAAGATGGATAAGACGCGCAAAGAAGGAAGCGATGAATCCGACAGACATTCATTTCGATCATCACGATGAAGGGCCCCATGCCGGCCATGGCGCCCGATGTCGAATGCCAACCCGCAGCCCATCCTGAGGCCACCACCACCACCAGCCCGAGCGAGAAAACCCTTCCCATCGCCGACAAAAAGGCCTCGGAAATCACCAATGGCTACGACCTCCCCTTCTGGCGCAAATCCATCATCCTCTTCGTCGTCTCCTGGATGACCCTCGCCGTGACCTTCAACAGCACCTCACTCCTCCCCGCCACGCCCGAAATCGCCACCCAATTCGACACCACCCAGGAAATCCTCAATGTCACCAATGCCGGCGTGCTGCTGGCCATGGGCTTCTCCTCGCTGATCTGGGGGCCCATGGGCCAGTTGATTGGCCGTCGGATGGCGTATAATATCGCCATTTTGGTGCTGTGTGGTTGCTCGGCGGGCACCGCCGCAGCCACCAATATGCAGATGTTCACGGCGTTTCGCATTCTAGGCGGGTTGACGGGTACGTCGTTTATGGTGATGGGGCAGACGATCCTCGCGGATATTTTTGAGCCGGTATTCCTCCTCCTTCTTCCAGAACCATTTTATGTCGGAGGATATGATGTTGATAAGAATAGGTCGTCCGAGGCACCGCCGTGGGCTTCTTCATGACCGGTACCGTCACGGGACCCGCCATTGGTAACCCCTCTATATTGCACCCATTGACAGAACATTACTGAGTACTAGATAGGCCCTTGTATCGGCGGCATCATCGTCACCTGGGCCAGCTGGCGCAACATCTTCTGGGTGCAAGTCGCCATGACGGGCTTCGGATTGATCCTGTCGCTGTGCTTCGTGCCGGAGATACCTTCGGCGGATACGAAGATCACTGCCGCTGATAGCCCTACTTCACGAACAAAGATGATGAATATCATATCGACATTCAATCCGACTCGGATCTTCCGACTTTGGATATACCCGAATATCTTCCTCGCTGTATGCATATATACCCCCTCTCAACTCTCCCCTACCCAACCCAGCCCTACACCATATTAACCCAAAAAAAGGACTTCACATGTGGCCTCCTCTCCACCTTCCAATACAGCCTCCTCACCTCCGCCCGCTCCATCTTCAACCCCCGCTTCCACCTCACCTCCGCCCTCGTCTCCGGCCTCTTCTACCTCTCCCCGGGCGCCGGCTTCCTCGTCGGCTCCATCCTCGGCGGCCGTCTCTCCGACCGCATGGTCCGGAAATGGATCGTGAAGCGCAACGGTACTCGTCTGCCCCAGGACCGACTGAACAGCGGCCTGATCACGCTCTTCCTAGTCCTGCCCGCCGCGGCGTTAGTGTATGGCTGGACCTTGCAGGAGGGGAGGGGAGGCATGGTGGTGCCCATTATTGCGGCTTTTTGGGGAGGGGTGGGGTTGATGGGGACTTTTAATGGGTTGAATACGTATGCTGCTGGTACGTCTTCCATTCTTACTACTTTCTTGGGGGGAAAGGCGGGTGAGGGGGTGAAACATGGCTAAAATATATCCCGGGAATGGGATGTGTAGAAGCTCTCCCTCATCGGCGCTCAGAAGTCATCTCCGGGAAATACATCATCCAGTATTTATTCTCGGCGGGGAGTAGTGCCGCTGTGGATCCGTTGATTGGGGCGATTGGGGTGGGGTGGACGTTTACTATCTGTAAGTTTCTTTTTCTTTCTTCTTTTCTTCTTCTTTTCTTTATTTGTGATGGTTTGGAGGGGAGGTTGTTGAAGGATTCCTGACGAAGGGATAGGTGTATTCTTTTCTCTCATTGGAGGGGTGCTGGTCGTGATTATCACGCGTAAAGGGTTGGATATGCAGCGGTGGGTGGAGAGGAGGTTTGGGTTGGTGGGGAAGGGGGGATATTAACATACCTCCAGTAGGGGTGTTGTGCTTGGCTGATGGGTTGAGATGATTGAGTGATGCTGATGCTGATGGCTGATGATTTTGATGTGACCATGCCGGTGATATAGATCGATAGATTTGGTTGTGTTTTGTTGGTTTGTTGGGGAGGATGGGTGATAGATGTGCTTTTATATACCCGTTGTTTAGATTTCAATTTATTGATTTATCTATTTAGGTTGGGGCGGACATATCTACATTTTATAAAAATCATCTAGATCAACGATATTAAAATGCAATATATATATTGAATATCCTTAGTGCACCTTGGTACACTGGTTAACTATACCCCATCGCATAACTCTCATCATTCATAAACGTATCCACCGGATGCAACATCCCCAGATCAAAATCACTCTGCGCCAGAAAATCCTGCATCGTCGGCTCCATAAACGCCATCGCCGTGGTAAACCCGCTCGTCGCGTCCCGTACCACGCCCTCCACCACCGTCGGATGCAGCCCAAAGTCCGCTGGTATCGGTCCCTCCGTTAACGCATGCGGTGGCGGTGCCGTGCTCGATGTCGGAGTGGCTGTCGCAGCTGCAGACGCGGCCGCATCGCTGGCAGACACGGTCCCCGGGCCAATGGCTGCGGCGGCGTTGCGGCGACTACGTGAATCGCGTCGTCGCTCGCTCAGATACCGGTCTAGACAGAATTTGACCTGCTCTAGGTTTTGGTAGAATTCGGTGGCCGCCAGGTTACCGTTCTCGCTCATCGATCGCAGCACCTCCATGCCCGTTTCAAAGGCCCCTAGGTCTGCTGGGCTGCCGACCGGGGTGAAGCTGGACATGGCTAGCACCAGGGCCGATGAGAAGAGATAATGGGCGTGGAAGAAGCCAAAGGTCGGGAGCGTGCCGTTGATCCACCGCGTCAGGATGATCGAGTGCGAGTGGCGCGCGGCATGGATGCATGCTTCACCGAGGGTGAGTACCGGTTGGGAAATCTCCTCAATGTCCTCGTATCGGGTGCCGTCAGCCTCGCTAAGCTTGATGAGGATATGCAGAAGGGTCGGTCGGGTGGTGAGAATCACACACTAACTCATTAGAATCCTTGTCATGCAAAGGGATGGGGGGGGGGGGGGGGGGGGGGGGAAGCACCTGGTTGAACGACAGATGCAGCGAGCCCACCGGGGTCCGACTCATCTCCGGCTCTACTTGGTCGAGGCGCAGATGCTCCGGCAGCGTCTCCACCCAGTTCTTTAGCGCCTTTAGCAGCTTCTGAACGCGCTGTAGGAAGGTCTCACTGTACTTGCGTCGACTGTACAGCTTGGCAATCGTCTCGCCTACGATCCGCGCCAAGCTGATATTGGCTTTCAGATACTCCGTGTCCGAGAACTGCTCCTCGTGCAACTGCGTCGGCGTCATGTTGGACGGCATGTCGAGGTGAATGTCGTCGTCGAGAATCTGCGACGGTAAACCCATCTTCGATCCCCACATGCGGTCGAAAATATAGATCGTCCACCAGATGCGCACGCGGTGCTGCCGTTCAATTGGATCAATGATCTGCGACTCAGGAACGTTGTGGTTCATCCCGATGGACAGCCCCAGGCGCATGGCGCTGCCGATCAAGACATAGGCAGAGTGTCGTCGGTTCAGATAGTACGAGAATAGGGACTATATAATTCAGTATGAACCTCACAAGGATTATGACCGCACATACCAATAGCAGCAGCGTCTCCAAGTGTGTGATACTCGTTCTTTCCGGCAGTACCTGCACCAAGCTCAGTGCACGCGCAAAGTACTTAGTCCCCGGCACTCTGGACCCCGAGGCTGGCTCATTTCGCATCGAATAGGCCTCGCCAAACGCAAACAGCGCAAAGAACTTGCACTGATTGACCTTGCACTCAAAGTCACCCGTCTGATAGATCTCTTCAAGCTTCTCCAGGGTCGGCTTGCGCAGCACCAAGTGATAGATGAAGCCAATCTGACGCAGGGCAATCTTCAACAACAGCCGTGCCTGATGCAGACTCGGCCACGAGATATCGCCCGCATTGGCAGCAGCGATATTCTCATCCCGAACATACTGCGTCCGTGTAATATGCGCGGTCGCATTGCTGCCAGTCAAGAAACGCCGGAAGCGCGTCGCAAATGCCGTGCACGCGGCCTCGCCCACGAAAAGAGGCGGCGCCGAGGGATCGTACGGGTGGAACCAGGCCCGGTCTCCGATCAGAGGATTGCGCACGTTGGGGTTGCTTTCATCAGGCGCCTCAGCCGCTCGCGACGGGCCGCGGCCGCCATCGGTGTCGGCGTCCGCCTCGGTCGGGTTGACCGAGGGTGTCGGTTGTTCTCGCAGGCGCTGGTTCTCGGCCTGCAGTTGTCGCAGATAACTTGGAACGGAAATCGATCAGTCGAATGCCAATCAGACAGCGCATACCCCGTGAGTCAGAAGCAAACAGTTGTAGCACCCACCTTTCGCTCACTCGGACCTGCCGATCGCGCGGCGCGTATTGACACTCATCGGCACAACCGACCTGGCGACATTTGGCGCAGGGCTGGTCTCCAGAGCATTTGATTTTATGGGCGTGACACCGTTGGCAGCTGGAGATTCGTCGGATGATCAGTTGTTCTGTAGAAAGATGATGCTAATCATGGAACGCTCACTGGAGACGTACGCGACAAACTTTCTTCGTTTCGGACATTCGACCTCGTCGGTCGTTCGGGGATGCTTTCTACGGTTCATGAGTCATGACGATACAGGGTATCACGTCAGGTACAACCACGAACGACGTGGATGGGGGTGCTGGTTCTCCGGTGGATGGATGGAGAGAGTTGGAGTTGGCGTCGGCGTCGAGATCGGCCTCGTCGGCGGGCGGGCGGATTTGCCGAGCCCAGCCGAGATCGCCATCCACGATCCAGCACAAACTTTGACGGGCGGAATTTGGGCATGGCTACATCGACAGCCCTACAGGATTAATTTATAGTAATACTAGTGCAGCGTGGCAATGATCGCATTATGTATCCAATTGTATCTAAATGCTCCGTAGGGGTGGCTAGATTGCCTCTACCCACTGACGGATACTATCCCTACAAAGACACTAGCTCGGGTTCCACCCACTGCCGTGCCTTGTCCATCTAATATCTACATCTAATTCTATACCTTGAATGGAGGCACCCGGGCACCAGGAATCGGACCGGCTCAGGTGTTTCATGTTCCAACCAACTGACTGGCATGTCGCACAGCAAGCACCCTGCAGCAAACACGTGCTGACCATAGCTTAAAACCGCCATTTCGATCTCCGCGGAGTGGCTGCAGTGAAAGCGCGTCGCACAGGCCGCCCCAAGCCTTGAAGAGCCCTCCAGACCTTGCTGGATGCCATTGGCCACTTGGTATTCCCTAATCTGTCACTCTCCGTTGTTTCCATTTATGATACCGCCACCGGACCGATTGGCTGCCACTGGTTTGGTTGGCGATACAGCACTGGCCTGCTGAGAACAACTGACCACTGGCTTCCAACCGGATTATCACGCATGTAGATCGTTTTGTCACGAGCGCTACCCCCATCAGTTGGAGTTCCTGGACGTGTCACATCGCGCGAGGGTGCGAGAGACGGCGCGAGAGACCGTTGGGCTAGCGAAGCCTCGTGGGTGCGGAATCAGTCCCCCGTTGTCCGAGTGGACGGTCAGGAAGCGAAGAAAATGTGTCGGGCAGGAGGGTTTGAGGAGTTTCTGCGGGATAGATTAGTGGGCAGTCTGGGAGCTGAGGTCACCGGGGAGGCGCGCTAACGCGGATCTACTATGTATGTGAGCGCCACCGGTACCTCGGGCAACGCGACTTTACCAGTGAGTTCGCGCCATAGAGCCATCGATGAAAGGGCCGAGAGCAAGGGGGAAGGGTGGAGGATGTCAGTTCCACTCCCGCAGCCGAGTCGGAGTCGGTTGTTCCCCTGCCTGAGTCATGAGGTAGATCATGGCCGGTTGCGAGGGAGCAGGTAGACAGGTACTCCGTAGGTAAATCGGTACGGAGTAGATAGACAGATAGTGTCTGGACTACTGGGAGCCCGACCCAGTTGGCGCGCCGGCGAGGGGAATATCCGGGATTTGCGTGCCGGGGCCAATGGGAGCCAGGACATCATGGTTCGAGGACTGGCGATTCTGCCAGAATAGCTGAGATCTGCTCAACCCCTTCTCCTCGCCACCTCCTCTCTTCCGATCCAGCGGAAGATCGAGATGGATCTGGCAGCCTGATCGTCCGATCGCGCCTCCCGATGGCCCTTACTGCTGTCTCTCTCTGCTGAGCTTGACTGGGTTTGCCAGAACTTGCTGGGCAAAGAGGCGACCAGGAGGAAAAACAGACGGTCCGCGCCCAGGGAAAGTGGGAAGGAAGTGGAACGGCGAAGGCGCGAAAGCGCAACGAAAGAGGGTCAGTCAGCCACTTCCCCATGCGGAACCTTTTTCCTCACCAATCGAGCCCGCCGCGCCTCCTCGAGAACTAAGGCTCGGCCGTGGAACAGAGCATATTTGAACGGGCTCTCGCCCACCATCGTCAAAGTCACTTGGCACGTTGTGCAACCCTGCCAGCGGAGCCTTGGGGTTGGCTCGGCTGGTGAGGCTGCCTAACACCTTCTCAGCTCCCCTTTCCACTCGTTCCCCCGCCTAGGCCGAAAGATCACCATCTCATTCATCTCCATCACCACCCCGGGTTTGAATGTCTCCTCGTCCCTTCGCGGTGTCCAGATACGGGGGGTCTATTGCAATGGGCCTACTGGATCCCTTTTAAGCACGGATTCGGGATTAATCGCAGGGCCGGCACCAGCGTGCGCTACGCCGAGCCCGGGTTGTCAGCGGACGCGAAGTCTGCTGCTACCTGCAATGTAAAGCTATGCTCCAGGTCTCTTGGCCCGTTGGCTAATCTCTGTTTGTCTCCAGCACGACCTGACCCTCGCAGATCCATCGTCCCCGAATGGCCGCTTGAGCCTACTCACCAACACGCACCCCTCGAACAACCCGTCTCTAGTACCGACCGTATGGCACGGCGCGTGATACGTCGCACCTCGGTCCCCTTGGAATCCCCAGAACCAGGCAGAATCTGGCGTCGGAAGTTGTGCTGGCCAATCTTCTTCGTCGCCCCTTGCTATGGGTGACCCGGAAAGGTGGACCGGCAAATGGTTATCCGGACCAAGTCGGTGCCATGGTCGGTCCCTCGTCCACAATCTGTGCTGAACCCAAGAGCCCGTTTAAGTTCTATGCTCCAGATCCATAAGGTTTGACCATGTCGTCAATTGTCAGCGGGTTTTGCACCTCCAGATGTCACGGCCTTGTCACAAGGCCAATGCCTTCACCACTTTCGCCGCAGCATTCACAAATCTCCAGTGATCCCCGCTTTCGAATCCCGGTGCTTCCGCATCCGGTTTCGATGACTGGTAGGTGCACTGTCAGTATTGCTGATCTAGGTCGATCATTTTTGAAATTGAAAAAAAAAAAAAAAAACACCTTTGCGCCTATCATGTGTAAGGATAGCGGTGATCTGAGCAGCGCGATACTCCCTGCATATCTTCTGCTCCATGTCCCCAAGGATTCTAAAGCTACCATTGAAGACCCGCCTGGTACATACGGCCAGTCGTGTTGCAAAGCGCACCGGGAAACACCAAATGCCGCGCATGTGATAAATGGATGACCTCCACCTTGTTGAGAGCCATATCGTCATGCCATAACGCCAACCATAATGTGGATAGCGGCCAAGGAGAAATTCAAGCCGGCAGACATGTGACCACAACGACCTGGATGTCGTGCAACCTTCGCCGCTGCCCCATGTTCTTCGGACACATAGCCCCTCTAAACCTCAAGAGCAGTAGATGTATAGTCCATTCAGTCGCCAGTCGAGATTTACGAAAAATCCTGCCAAGTCCGAGTTTTCTATGGCCGTCAATAATCGAGAACGGGAAAAGAGGCTGGCCTGGTTGATTGTGGAAATGTTCCTTCGAATTTTGCAGTCGCTCAGTTGGTCTGGCTAAGGAGCTGGAAATGAGTCAACAATGAGGAGAAAGGCTATCAAAAACCAGTAAATAGAGACGAGAGTGGCCTCATGGGGAATAAGTTGCATATGATGACTGCTCACCTTGAACAGGCAGCAGGCACCCAGGATCGGGGCGACAATCAGTGTTGAGCATCGTCGCGAGCCCCCTCTTTGATCCCAAGGAAAGAGGAGCGTGTTCCACCACCGTCGTCGATGCCAGTGCCCCCCAGACGAAGCACTGAACTTGGTCCCCATGTGCCCCTGGGTGTCAACGGGGCGGGGTTGTTGTTTTCTCCCCGGTGATATGATGGGCTCCCTCAGGGTTACGCCTTATCCGTTTCGATTTGTTTCTGCGCCACTGGTGAACGTCAGGCCAGGCAGACGACTGGCAGACAGCATGTTGAGGTAGGGCGCCACGGATACGATGGTGACGCTGGTTGTTCGCGTCGATGGGAGGCCCAAAATTCTCCCCGTCTCCCGGCAAGCCTGGGGGCTGCAAGGCAGCGAGCGAGCCATCTGGTCCGAAGGATTGCTGGGCTAGAGGATGGGGAGGGAAAGGGGAAAGGACACCAGCAGGGTTAGACGGGAGGCTCCGACTTCCAGCTTCGCCCCGACATCCGCCTCACAAACATTGGCGCGGGCTTGCTGTCATGCGGCGTCCCAAGGTTCCGGTCGACCCTCCCGAGCTGGATCACAAGCGAGCTTTTCTGCCTTTTCTTTCCTCCCCAACCTTCGAAAAATCGCCGTGGGAGGGTGGATAGCTCCTCAGATGGGCTATCAAACGGTGCGGAGATGGGGGCGCCGGTTCCATGGTTGGGAGTTCAACCACGATGGGCGCCTCTGGGCCGATGGGCTTGGTGTTCCGGAGACGCGAGCCGATTTCCGCCCAACTGTGGCGAGACCAGCCGGCAGAGACCTCCAGCCTACCACACGTCGCCCTCGTCCGGCTCTGGGTCCCTCCCGGCCAACAAGCGTCGAGCGGCCGGTATGAAACTGTGACACCCAAACCAAGCCTTGTCCACTATTATTGTTCTTTCCCTAGTCTATAGTGCCACCCTATCCCCAGCGCTCGCTCCTGATTAGCGATTGCTCGTGTTTGCTGTTGCTGGGTTTGTCCGTGCTATTGAGGGCTGGGACCAAAGGGGGCTGACAAGTTTTCTCGCCTGGTCTCGTCTTTTCTTTGACAATGAGCGACAACAACAACCGGCCCCCTCCTTTCTCTTATGCCTCATTCACCTCGTCTTCTTCCTCGGACCTGCCGGGTAATGATCCCAAGTACCATTCCTGGCCGGCCCCCCAGTATCCGCACCAGTCTTCCTTTGGCCCTCCTCCTGCCTCTTACGAGCCCGTCCCGTCCAGTCATGCTGAGAACCCCGCTGCTGGCAGCTCCCGGAGCGCCCCTGGGGACCGCACTGCGAATTCCAAGGTGGCCATCCCCCGGACCGTGAGTACCAGCACCTGGACCAGCAGTGGACGGGTCAGCCGGGCCTGTGAGAACTGTCGGGACCAGAAGGCCAAATGCAGCGGCCACCGCCCAACCTGCCAGCGGTGCCAGGAGTCGGGAATCCGCTGCTCGTATGGGGACCGGAAGCGAGAAAAGATGGCCAAGTGCGTGTTGTGTGACTGCTCATGGAATCGGTGTCGAAAAGTTCTGACGGTGGGTTACTAGGCAGCTCAGTGATTTGACGACCCAGGTCCAGGTATATGAAACCCTTTTGCGAGAGCTTTCCCCCAAGCTGGATTCTCAGACGGCACAGTACGTCGACCAGATTTTGAACGATGTAAGAAGCTTTTTTCCACTGCCTCCCGGAAAGCCCCATGCTGCCGTTATCTCGTCTTCCTCTCACCCTTCCCAGCCCTGTTTAACAAACCACGTCACAGCAAAGGGACGATAATGAACAGCTCGCTGGTCTCCATGCGTCGGCGTCCTTATCGGCCTCCAAAGCAGCCGATATGGCCCTGCTGTCGAATGCTTCCCCGGGTTCTTCACTGGCAGCCCTGGACTATACCAACGAGGATTTTAACCGGGACGAAAAGATACAAGCCATGGGCTTCGTCGGTGAACATTCCGAGATCGCATGGATGTACCGGTTGAAGCGCCTTCTGGAACGGTCCAACTCCGTCTCCCCCCGAGAAACGTGGGATCGTCAATCGGTCTCCTCCGTAAATTTCTTCCTGGACGACTCGGATATCCCGGTTATTGATGATGTCGACCCATCTCAACGGCCGCCGGTCACCGTTGCTGACCAGCTGGTCGATAGCTATTTCTACGCCGTACATCCAACTTTTCCGATTGTGGGCAAGATGATCTTTCTGGCACAGTACAAGTCCTTCTATTCGGCACCCTACGTACGGCCGGGAAAACGATGGCTTGCGATCCTCAACCTAATATTCGCCGTCGCGGCACGACACGTCCGCCATTTTTATAACGAGGCCGAAAATGGGCTGGATGACAGCCTGGTCTACTTCTCGCGGGCCTGGAAGTTGAGCATGAGTGACACAGCGCTGCTCGAGCACCCGAATCTGCAGCAAGTCCAAGTGGAAGGACTGACTTCGTTCTATCTCATGACGATAGGACAAGTAAACAGGTACGCTTCCTTTCAGCATCCATCTCTCGGTCTCCCGGGGGCTAGTCCTTCCATTTTTCGTCCCCTCCTCTGATACATGGGTCATTTAGGTCCTGGAGAATTTGTGGAATCTCGATCCGCTCCGCTGTTACCATGGGGCTGAATCTACGAAGCGAAAGCAATTCGATTGTCCATGTCTCCAAGGAGACCCGGTATCGGGTCTGGTGGTCACTTTATATGCTGGACAACTCTCTCTGCGTGATGACGGGCCGACCACCGAGCACTAGTGACGATTTCTTCACCACCCCGCTGCCTGTGCCATTTCGCGAGGAGGAGTTCATGGATAACAAGGTAGTTCAACTCATTGCTGACCACGACGCGCGGAACATCTTCATGGAGACCTTTTGTCTCCGAGGCCCTGGGAAAGCGGTGGACAGTGGCGGAACGCCCGATTCCTTCCGCTTACCGATGCCGACGGGGGGCAAACAGAGTGAGCAGATTGTGGCCGGCGCCATCGAAGCGCTCACACCCAACACCTCGCTCTACTTCCTCTACCATATTGACCTAGCACTGGTCATGCGCGAGTCGGTTGACCTGTTGTATGCGCCAGGAGCCGTTCGGAAATCGTGGCGGGAGATTGAAGTGAACATCTCCATGCTGCATGGTAAGGCAGAAGCGTGGCTTTCCCGGCTCCCCCCTGCGTTTCACTTCACCCAAGGCGCGCCGTCCTTCGAAAGGCAAAGGGTGAGCCTCGCCTTTCGCTTCTTCAGCACCAAGTTGCTCATCACGCAGCCTTGCCTAAGCCGTCTCGCCCAGCAAAATTACGGCAATGACCCACCAGGCCGTTTCTGTGAGACCATGGCGGGGGTGTGTGTTGAGCATGCAAGTCAGATGCTCGACCTACTGCCTGACCCCCCTGACCTCCCTTGGGTCTACCGGATCTCGCCCTGGTGGTGCATCCTACACTATCTCATGCAGTCGACCACGGTTCTCATCATCGAGTTGTTGCTTATGGTCAAACCCGGGACTGCCAAGTTCCGAAAAGTGGCCGGGCAGGTTTCCAAGGCGACCTGCTGGTTGGCGGAGATGTCGACGAAAGACCCATCTTGCCAACGGGCCTGGCTGGTGTGTAAGGATCTTATCTCCGAGCACGCCCCCGAACTTGGTTCTATCGCAGGCCCCGCCAACCGCGGCAAAACCTGACTGCTCGAAGGGTGTGAACGGTGACCTGGAAACATGCCCTGATCTCCCATCAACCTTGCATTTCCGGAATAAGACCGAGCATCCACCGAGGACCCCTGTCCAGAGATGGCTTGTGCTAACCCCTTGTAGTGGTCGCCTTCCCCCCGGCCGTGACCACTAAGACTGTCCTGCCCAGATGTACTTGGGATGAGGGAATTTGGAATCTTTTCCCTGCCCCGTCTATTATTGTCATTTGGCCGCATTGGTACTGGAGTAGGTCTCATTCACATTTCCACTTTCTGTTTCTATTCCTGCCCCATGGCCCCTCTTCAGGTTGGATGAGGCTTCATGATTTTCAATAGATGTAGACGTCACCGACTCTTTGCCCCGTGAAATTCGGGAGTGGATCTACATAGCGCGCGTGCGCGCCTTGTCTTAAGTCGCAACCCGTCAGGGCGTCCTTCCCCGAATGGGTCTTTGCCTTTTTTGCAGCTTTCCACGGCGCCCCTGTCTTCACCATGCCAAAGTAGATCTGATCGCCGACCAACGACTAGGTTGGCGCGGTCAGGCTACCGGGTATCATCACTGATAGGGACCGTTCCGGTGCTCCCTTTGCGCCACCCCTATTGGGCATCGAGGCGACCTTGGGAGGAAAACCGCATTAAAACGTTCAACCAATCGTTGCACCAGGTCCTTGGATTTCTCTGTGTTTCATTTCTTTTTCTTCTCCCCACTTATTATTTACTTTACTTTTTCTCTTTCTTTTACTGTTTTGGTTGAGGAGAAAAAAAAAAAGAGAAAGGACGGAAAAGAGGGAAGAAAAATCATTCTTCGATGTGGGTGCTTCTGGCGGGAATGCGGCTGCCTTGGTCGCCAGGCATTCGCCGTGGGCCCCCCGTTGGATCTGATTACAGCGCCACTGCAGTCCAGCGACGAGCACAAAGACAAGGTAAGAACTAAAACGATGGGCGGGCACTTATGCAGCTCGCTCCCCCATCACTTCCACCCACCCACTCTTTGCCCTCCGTACCGCTTGATAGGAATCCACTCCTTGCGTTTCAATGATGGGCGGATCCTCAGCAACGCGGGCTGCTGTCATTTGCTGGCAGACACTTCCGTTGCAGTGCAAAACAGTAGTTTATTGATTCCTAGTATCTACAAAGTTGGCTCCCGTTGGGGCTAGCTAACTCCTGTTCCTCATCTCCTACAGCTTGAGCTTACTCCAGGAAGCGTTCCGTGGTTGATGGCCCTGTCAGCCGTGGTCCAGGTCTTCATGGCGTCAGATCCGTGCCGCTGAATCACACTCCCATGATCCCATCAGAGACCCCATCGACGAAGAGGGGAGGAGTCCGAGATAGAGAGAGAAAAGGGCCCGATGGACTGACGTCAGAAGGATGGAGAGACCCATGGCTAGTGGTGCGTGAGGCTAGGAGCCAGTACGGATTGGGGAATCTTTGGGCAACGGCCCTCGCGCTTCTACGATCAGGTCCGGATCGTGGCCCGCTTAGTATTTCCGCTCCTGGCCGTGGTGACTTTCGCGACTTGTTATAGGCCAGAGTTGGGCACTCGGTCAAATGTCAAATGGAAGTGAGTCTAGGGCGAAGGATCCTCGATCTCGAGAAATCGCTGGGATTGTCATGAACGATGGATGGGCTAGCCCCGATAGTGCCCCGATGTTTCATTCGACTATTGCTGATCCCTGGGGGGGGGGGTGCTACGAAGGGAGCCACGGGGCTAGAAGGACCAAATAATGGAGGCGTCTTGGGGAGGGGGAGTTCGTTTGATTTTCGAAGCACCGAAGAAGGTGCGGCTAAGCTAATCAACATTCTCTCCACCGGGGGCTTACGCATGGCCCCAGCGTACCCAAACTCCCAAATAGGGTCCAGATCCCGGTGTCAAGTCAAATCCCGAACCCGCTCAGTCGGAACCCAGCCGAACCATGACATTTTTGCGCGTGATCCATCACAATGGCAAACAACCCCCTTTTCAGCACCATCGGTCGGACAATTCCCCTCCCAGGATTCTACCAGTAGATAGATAGTACGGAAAAGCATGCCCCGGCTGCCTGTCAATCCCAGGCCGCTCTGGCAAGGCGCGGTCCATTCCGATGCCTCTCACTGGCGGTGGTCAGCCTGCCCCATGCATATTGGGCTCCGGGGGCGTGATTGGCCACCGGGAAGACGTACTTTTTCAACCGACGAGAAAGGATGGATCGCGTTCGGGCCAACCCTTCTTCCTCACCGTTTCAACCCATTCCGTGGCTGCGATTCCCCACCTTTGATACTCGGCAGGCAGGAGACTGCATTCGGCAGGATCAGTCGCCCACGCACCGAGGAGTCCGATAGAAGCATCCTTACTCCGGACTGTAGGTCTCTCGAGGTCTAGTCGCTCTAGTCTCGCCTGGCGTCCTGATCGATCGCAGCGCCCTCAACTCCGATGGTCCGCTGGGAGCCAATGATCTCTGGGCATCGGTGGGCGAGGAGCGAAATTTCGATGGATCTGAGATGAAAGATCGTCTGCTGTCCAGTACGCTGTAGATCTCGCCAATCATGGGCACGTGCCTGTCAGCCTGAGGCAGAAGACTGGGGATATTCTTGCTGCCTCAGGTGTCCCCCAGATCTGGTTCACGTGACCCCTGAGTACACGTGATTTGCTGGGGGGACTGGCACACCGCCTGCCCGTTCGATCAGGCCTGTCACATGTGAGGGGGAGTGGTATTGATCGGCCTCGTGGAAAGTGTTCAATCCCACAAACCTCTCATTGTGTCTCGCCCGCCAGGCTTCCCCGGCTCGATGGATGACCTCCAATGCCAGAGACAGTAGCCGATGTCTTTGTGGGGCCTGTGAAGCTCCCGCAGATGAGTTCTGTGTGGATAAATGCTGTAGTTCACACAGCTTGGAGCTTTCCCCGCGTGAGGTCTTTGTGATCGCTTCACAGCATGTCCTATATTCACTTGTACGGAGCTGATCTTGCTCCAAGAATCGTCTACCCGGTCACTGAACCTGTCTCTCGGTATGATCGCAAGGCTTCCATCCTCCAAAATTGTCAGGATGATTGGTGGCCTTTCCTGCACTGTCCAAGCCTTACCCCGCTCAGCCGGGGGCAGCTGTTGGGAACACGGCATGGCGTCCGTCCCCAAGGAGGAAATGGAGGCTTCACGGCGAGGCTTCTATAGTCCGTGGATCGCACCTTTCTTCCTGCTTCCTCTGGTCACCGTTGCAACTCCAAATACGTCTTGATCCCAAACAATCTTGCCAAAATGAAGTTCACGGAGGGAATGTGGCGTTTGAGGGTCAGTCCACCCACGGACCTCAAGCGACCTCAAGCGATTGCTAACTCATTGTGCAGGAGGGCATTCGGATCGACTGGATGAGCAACGTCGAGCGGTTGAGCGTTGACAATGAAACCGTAGATCTGCTGCTGAACAAACTGCAGCGGCATCGGGGCGATACCCTCAACTCAGGTGAGCTGTTGTTCAGTCAGATACCAGCTGAATAAGGAGCTAATTGCGATAGGAACTATCACCGCGCAAATCACATCTCCACTGGAAGGCATCATCGGGGTGAATCTCGTCCATTGGTATGTTTCTCAACTCTGTCTGCGTCGATAGCAAAAGACTGACCCTTCACAGGGCAGGCGCACTAGACCAGGGCCCCCATTTTGAACTCGCCTCGTCCACAGGACACGTCCAAATTGCTCACACCGAGCGCCAATCTCTTCGCTACGGCAGCGGCCCGCTCAGCCTAGCCATCACGACTGCCCCCAACGAACTGGAATTCAACTTCACCGGCGCAGACAAGCCCACCACCAAACTCACCGGTCACTCCTGGCGCTCAATCGGCTACGTGAGCGACCAGACCACCGAAAAGTCCCGTTGGGAAGACGGACTCTACCTCGAGCGGCAGGGCTACATGCTCGCCGAGCTCGATCTCAGCGTCGGCGAGAAGCTGTACGGGCTGGGAGAGCGGTTCGGGCCCTTTATCAAGAACGGCCAGACGGTGGACATCTGGAACGAGGATGGCGGTACCTCCTCGGAGCTGGCATACAAGAACATCCCATTCTATATCAGCTCCGCCGGATACGGGGTGTTTGTGAACAACCCGGGCAAAGTCAGCTTCGAGTTGCAGTCAGAACGGACAACGCGAGTCAACATCTCCATTTCCGGCGAGGAGCTGCAATACTTTGTCATCTACGGCAGCAGTCCCAAGGAGATCTTGCGGCGATATACCGCCCTCACTGGCCGTCCAAGCCTGGTTCCAGCGTGGAGTTACAACCTCTGGCTTACAACAAGTATGTTCGGCCCCCTTTCTACCTCTACGATAGCTAATTCCTAGGCTTCACCACCAACTACGACGAACAAACCGTCACCGGCTTCCTCGACGGCTTCCGGGATCGCGACATCCCACTCGGTGTCTTCCACTTCGACTGCTTCTGGATGAAGTCTTACCAATGGTGCGATTTTGACTTCGACTCGGACATGTTCCCAGATGCAGCAGGCTATATCAAGCGACTGAAGGAGCGCGGTCTTCGCATTAGCGTATGGCTGAACCCATATATAGGCCAAGCGTCGCCGCTATTCCGCGAGGGAAAAGAAAACGGCTACTTCATCAAGGTGCCCCTCCCCTTCCTTCCATCTCTGATTTCCCCGGCACATCAAACTAACAAGCATTCAGCGCACCGACGGCACAATCTTCCAGTGGGACAACTGGCAAGCCGGCATGGCCATCGTCGACTTCACCAACCCGGCCGCCCGCACCTGGTTCAGCGACAAACTCACCCACCTGCTCAATCTCGGCGTTGACAGCTTCAAAACCGACTTCGGCGAACGCATCCCCTACAAAAATATCCGCTACCATGACTCCAGCCTCTCCCCAACCCGCATGCACAACTACTACACCTACCTGTACAACCAGACCGTCCACGCCACCATGCTCTGCCACCCCGACCACACCTCCAAAGGAAACGCAGTCCTCTTCGCCCGCAGCGCTACTGTCGGCTCCCAACGCCATCCAATCCATTGGTCTGGCGACAGCGAAAGCACCTTTCCCGCCATGGCTGAAGTCCTCCGCGGCTGCTTATCCCTCTCCTTGTGCGGATTCATCTTCAACTCCACCGACATCGGCGGCTTCGAAGGCACACCCCATCCCTCTATCTACAAACGCTGGGTCCAATTCGGACTCCTGGCCACGCATTCCCGACTCCATGGGTCGAGTTCTTACCGGGTGCCGTGGCTATATGATGACCAGGCCGTAGATATTCTCCGGGATGCAGTGAAACGCAAGATAGCCCTCTCACCATACCTCCTCTCTTCAGCCCTGGAGGGAAGTAAGACCGGTGTTGGAGTCATGAGGCCTCTGTTTGTCGAGTTCCCTACCGATCATAATGTTTATGCGCTCGATACAGAGTACATGCTCGGTGACGGGTTACTCGTCGCTCCCATCTTCAATGAGGAGGGTGTGGTCCGGTTCTACGTTCCCCAGTCCAAGGAAGGTACGGATGGACAATGGGTCTCCTGGTTCGACCATGAGAAGGTCTACGAAGGGGGTAAATGGTACGAAGAGACGCATGGGTTCGAGACCCTCCCGTTGTTGATTCGGCCGGGGGCTGTGATTCCGGTGAATTGGAAGATGAAGGGCGCGGAGGAGGATCCGTTGGATGGTCTGGAGGTGTTGGTGAATGGCAGGTTGGACGGGGAGGTCAAGGTTGATATTGTGAATCCGGATCGCACTGATGAGGTCTTGAAGGTGGTGACAATTGGAATGGGTCCGGATGGAGTGGTTGTGGATCAGGAGGGGGTTAAGGTGGTTCGAGTGGGTTAGATGTCTTTGTCTTGGATGTAGTTGGATTCTCCGGAACTCTTACTCACCTGCCCCGGACGAAGCTTGGATGGGGTCGTTGGACTAGGAATAATATGACACCTGCAGGACCAGCCCAAGTAACAAAAGATCAATCATATCAAATCGCTCGCGGTCTATTCATCAATAAACTAAAAAACACATTTTGCCGTGGTATAAAAATATTTACATATGATACAACACTCAGCTCCGCTGCGTCTTCCGCTTCACCTTCTCCACCAACTTCTTCAAATCATCCGAGCCACCCTCCTTGGCGACATTCTTCTTCTGCTTCTTCTTCTGATCCCGAGACTCCACCTCCTCATCCGCCCCATCATCCCGATCCCTCCGCCGCTTCCGACCCTCTTCCAACAACGCCTTCATACCGGACGTCGACTTAAACCGAGGGTTCGTGGGATCAATCGCGAACTCATGACTCTCATACAGCCGAGCGAAACGAGGATCCGCAACTTCCATCTCAAAGTCATCCACCGGGGCCTCGACCTGCTTACCCTTATTCTTGCCCTTCTTGTTCTTCTTCCGCGCTTGCTTCTCCGCCTTTTCGATCTCGTTCATATCGAAGTGCTTGATGCCCGGCTTGTTGTTGTCGTCCATCATGAGCAGCTCCAGCTCCGCTCGCTTGGACGCCGCGGCGGCTTCTTCGGCCGCGCGCTCTTCCCGCTTCTTGCGCTTTTCTTCCTTGCGGCGGGCGGCGGCAGCGGTTTTGCCGCTCGGGTCGTCGAAGAAGGGGTCGTTGAAGCCTAGGTCTTCTTCTTCTTCTTCCTGCTGGGGCTTTGAGTTGGCGAGGTCGGTGGTGGCGGGGGCGTCGTCTTGGGAGACATCGCCGTCTTCGCCGCGCTTGGAGGCCTTCAGTTTCTCCTTTCTGCGCTTCTTGCGCTCGCGTTCCTTCCGGATGTACTTCTCGATTGTGGTTTCGTCTTTCTCCGGCTCGTTTTCGAAGATGCTGTCGCGGTTGGGTCCGCCGGCGAGACCGGACGTGAAGGTGACTTCCATTTCGCCGACAGGGCCGTCAGATTTGGAGGATGGCTTGGGCTCTGCGCCGAGGCCGAGGAGGGCTCGGAGACGCTGGCGCTCGTCTTCTTTTTTAGAGATCTTGGAGCTTTCGCCGTCGCCTTGCGTGGTGTCGACGATCTCTACGCCGCCTTCTTCCTCTTCGTCGTCGGAGCTGTCGCTGGCGAGGTACGCCTTCAGGTCGTTCTCGTCGATCTCCTTTCGGCTTCCCCGGAAGGCCCGCGCCTGGGCTTCCTTGCGCGACTTGTCCTCCATGTCCCAGGTCAGCTTGACCTTGCTGTGTTGCAGCGCGTCGGTGACGAATTCGTTAGGCTGGTAGCCGTCGGGAATGCGCTTGCATTCGTCGCGAGGCACGTCATCCGAGAAGTCGGTGTCCTCGGGCACGAAGCGGAGGTCGAAGAAGTTCGCGCTGGACAGGTACTCGGCACCGTCGACGAGATCGTAGACGTGCTTGGCCACGTCCCGGGACGAGAACGTCAAGATCGCGTAGAAGTAACGTAGTCGCTCCAACTGGTACTTGCGCAACTGTGTCGAGTTGAACTCCTCGCCCTTGTCCTCCTTCAAGATGGATTTCTTGATATTCTCCTCCTCTTCATCAGAATCCAACTCGTCTTCCTCATCAAACTCGTCATCCTTCTTCGACGCAAAAATCTCCCTCGGCGGTCCCTCCGTCTCCTCCCGTTCCATCCTCTCCTTGCCAAACTCACTCGGATACACCGCCACCTTCAACACCCGTCCCCCAGCCGGCGCAAAACTCGAAAACACCGCCATCAGATCCTCCGCCCGGATATTATCCCAATCCAAATTCACCACCGCAATCCGATCCGTCACCTCTCCCGTCGGTACCTCCGCCCGTTGCTTATCCGGATACTCCAACTCCTCTTCGCCAAACCCTTCGAACTCCTCCTCTGCATCTTCATCCTCATCGGAACTCTCCTCCTCCGAAGACGACGACTCATCAAACCCCCCATCGCGCGCAGGATCATACCCCTCCGCTTTCTTCAACTCCCTCAACACTTCCTCATCATCCGCAACACTCGCGTCCTCGAGCTCATCCTCATCCCCTTCCTCATCTTCCTCATCATCTTTGGCTTCCTCATCCAACTGATAAAACCGCTCCAGCTGCTTCTTCGTATCATCCCGCGCCAACTTCCGCCCGTAGCGATCCACCGCCGCATTCCGCGAGAAGTCCTTGTCGCGCAGCATGTGCGCGAACCGCTTGTCGAGTTTCACATGCGTTTGACGTTTGCTGGGGAGGCGGTAGCGCGGGTCCGTTTGGATGTTGGCGAAGCGGGGGTCCGCTGCATACCGTAAGAGGTGTGGTTAGTTATGGGACAGGATGGGTAGGGAGGGTAGGGTAGAATATGGGGGATGCGTACTGATCACTGAGCCGGCGTCGGTTTTGGAGCCGCTGCCGCTGCTGCTCTTTTTGCTCTTTTTCTTTTGGTCGGGCATTGTGTGGTTTTTTTTATCCTTCTTGGTATAAGTGGGTATAGGGTGATTGGAATGGGGAGAAGGATTTGAGAAGATAGGATGAAGGTAATGTGCTGTGGGCGTGGATGTTGCAAAGTGGTGGTCTGGATAATTTTCGGCGGGCGGAACCAAAGATTCTTCGGCGGGTTGGGATGTGGTCCGTGCGGTCTCCGAGGTGAACTCCGCCGTCTATCTAGTAGCGATCTTTCTAGGTTACTTTACTACATTACTTGTATATGTTTAAGTTATTTGATTGGGTCAGTAGGAGTATATATATCTATCGCCAAATGAAGCATATGCAATCATTGCGGTCATGTAGTACATCGATCAACCACCTCTAGATCGTCCATATTTAACAGCCAAAGTATCTCTTCTCGATCCAACGAGGCTCACGCTCCTCCTCGATACGTCCAACGATCACCTTAATTCCAGGGTACACGGTAGTCAGTCGCTTCAATCCGATCTTGCCTGCCGCACAAGTCACAAAGATGATCTTCTCTTCTTGAACGCCGTGGTCGATCAGGACACGGACTGCCATGAGCGCAGCGCCGCCACTGGACATCTGGGGGTCGAGGAGCATGACGTTTTCGTGGTTCTCGATGTTGGGCGGTAGCTTCAGGTAGTGAAGCTCGGGCTCTTCGTTCTTTTCGTTCGTCTGGATGAGAACACGGCCCGTGATGCAGTCGGGGATGGTTCGCTTGAGTGCGGTTTCAAGGCAGGAACCTCCGCGCAGGATTGCCACGGCAGAGACGACGCCCGCTTGGTTGAGGCCGTTGTAGCTGGTCGATTGGGGAGTGTCCACTTCTTGTGGCACGTAGTTGGTGGCGTCCAAGGCCCTGTTGGTTTGTAAGCATGGTCTCGTTATTTGCTTGATTGTGCGCAAGTCATGGCATGGCAACTCACTTCTCGATCAGCAACGCGGCAAGTCGGTCAAAGTAGAACACAAAGTCGACTTGTTCCGTATTGGGGTCCTGGAGGATGGTGTTCATGCCGATGAACTGCGTTGTCTGGGGCATCATCATGACGTTGGAGGATAGTTTCTCCTCTGATGCGATGAGTCCGAGTCGGTTTAGCTCTGCATTGTGCTTTTCTGATTTGTCGTCGAGCTTGCGCTGGATATGTTGCACCACCATGTCTAGTGGCGTTAGCTAATAGGCTGGAGAGAGAAGTAGCATTCTTACCAATAGCGGTTCTGTTCTCGATTCCACGAGGGATGATGATGTCTGGAGTTGATGTTAACCAAATCCGGCGACTGGGATGGTTACTTACCTGATACAGCTCGCTGGGGCTCAACATATTGCTTGTATGATGGCTTCACGTAGGTGAACCACTGCTTGACAATACCTTCAACGTCTCTGCCTCTCTCGCGAACATCGCGCAGGACTAGCTTCCTCTTCGTTAGAGCAGTAACGGTTTGCTGAAAGTTCAGGGGTCTCACTTCTGCGTCCCAGACAGACATCCATGTCCGCTTCAACAAAGATCTGCCAAAGTTAGTTACGCTATACATGTAATGGAAGGAAACCTACCTTAACATCCAACAGCTCCATGATCCTCGGGTCATGCAAGGCCAAAATGCCCTCCAAGATCAACACACGCGGAGAATACAGCGTGCTAGTCTGTGACTGGCGCTGGTGTTCTGCAAACGAGTAGATGGGGATATCTGCTTTCTTTCTGATGGCGTGGAAGAAATTCTGTCAGCTCTTCATACATGGCACGTGCCTCTTCAGCATTTACGGTTGGGGAGAAATACCCCTGCTTAAGATCCCTCAAGGTTTGCACCAGCACATCAAAGTCCAAGGAATCCGGACAGTCAAAATCATATTCATTCCGGTGGGCTCTGGCATGATCCTCCGGGGACAAACTCTTGTAGAACGAGTCCTGCACCACACCGCCGTTAGAGACATGGAGTTTATGGAAGGCTAGAGATTATGAAACCGAGCGAAGATACCATTACGAGAATCACAACCCAGGGAAGATTCAGAGACTTGACAATCTCCATGGCCACCGAGGTCTTGCCAGACCCGGAGCTGCCTGCGATACCGATGATACTCAAATCCGCCCATGGGGGAGAGTACCGCTTGTCGGTGGCGGACGAATATACGGGGGAAATCGACTGCATCTTCCCGACCCTCAGCGAGGAATTGAGCTGCTGAGACGATAAGATCTAGTGACCGGCCGGCCTGGTCATCAGTGCATAACAGAGAGACACAAAACTCAACTTGTCCAGGGCCGGGCACACGCTGGGGGCCGATAAGAGAGCCCGGTTGCAGATACACCCAAAAGACCGGTGATCGCCGCTTGCCCTGATCGGGCTTAGGCGGGGCCGTGACCTTCGCTTGCGGCTTTAGGCTTAGCGGGAGAACGTGACCTAAAGCTGCCGCCGCTTTTTCCTCCTTTTCTACCCGCGTTTTCTTTTCCTCTTCCTTCTTCATTCCTCTCCTCCCGAGCATCCTCATGGCTCTCGTCTGCGAAGCTTTCCATCTTCCCAGTCGGCCTCTTGCTCGCCACCAGGCCACTTGACATCCCACTACACCATTCGCAACCACCCTGCTCGTCACCATGTCCTCTGCCAATTATGTATGCGTCCTGACATGCCGTGTGTGCCGCGTGGTTGCTTGGTTTTAACGGGAAACAGATGTCTCCCTCTTCCTCGACAACGCCAACATGGCATCAGTTCGAACGGAAGGTCGAGGAGGTCAAGCCATCCAAAACGTGAGTCATCGCCCCCACTCTTCCGCCCTGTCGCATTTCGATTGCATGATGTACCTTGAAAATCAAGTTGGGAATCTCTCTGAAACTACTTGAGGAGAACATATTAACTTGTGTTTCTGAACCCTTCGGGTTTACCTACCTGGTCAAGATCGCAATTTTGCCATCAGCTGCTAACTGTCGTCTTGAAGTGATATAAACTATCTGGTTATGGACTACCTCATCACCAATGGCTATCCTGCGGCTGCGAAGAAATTCTCGGTCGAAGCGAATATCCAACCCAGAGCAGATATCGAGTCGATTCAGGAAAGAGTTGAGATTCGTACTGCAATTCATGCTGGGAATATTCAAACTGCCATTGAAAAAATCAATGAGCTCAACCCTCAGGTAAGACCTCCATTTTCTCGCTTAGCCCCGCCCCACCATGCTTGCTATGATTATACCAAGTTTCATGCACCACTCAGAGCACACCCTTCGGGGAGTTGTTGAAAAACAAACATCTTCAGTCCTCAGTATGAGCGCAAGCCTCAAACAGCCGTTGTCATCACACATCTCTTTGCATAACCTCATGCTGACTTCAACCGGCTTTAGATCCTGGATGAAAATCCCCCTCTGCATTTCGCCCTGCTGCGACTGCAACTGGTGGAGTTGATTCGCTCCTGCACCACTACCCCTGATGGAGACATCAGTCCTGCCCTTGAGTTCGCGACCTCGCAACTTGCACCCCGGGCGCCCACCAACCCCCAGTTCCTCGAAGATCTTGAGCGCACCCTTGCGCTCTTGATCTTCCCGGCGGATAACCTCTCACCCTCTCTTGCCCCTCTCCTGCACCCCGACCTTCGTAAAGACATCGCCAACCGCGTCAATGAAGCCATCCTGCTGAATCAGGGTGCTCGTAAAGAGGCCCGACTACGCAACCTGGTTAAATTGCGCTCGTGGGCCGAGCAGAAAGCTCGGGAAGCCAAGAAGGACATTCCCGAGAAGCTGGACCTCGGATTCGGCGATGCCAACCCCAACACCTCCCATAACAGTAATAGCCTCGGCCCCGCCCGCAATGGCCCTAACGACATCGTAATGACCAATAATGGGGACATCGACCCAATGATTTCATAGCTCCTTCGATAAGCGAGGGCTTGCAACATAATACCCCGATACCACGATGGGTGAAATTTCCTTCAATTCTCTTCTTTCATCGCGCATGGCGTTTGGAGCGCACGGCTCAGCGATACCATGGCCCTTTTGTACCCCTCTGGGTTCCGGCAGAGATTTCTGTACCGTTCTGCATCTGTTCATTGTCTGTCATGGCTACGGGATTTGTACCTATGCTGTCGCCTAGGAGTGACTGGATGTTGCCAAGCTAGGAACATTGTAGCTAATAAGCTATGCATCGTGAACCAGTGATGCATTGAACACTTTCACACGCTCCCTCCCTAGTTCATCATTTCATTCAATCATCCAATCACGCCCGCCGTGTTGAAATGATTGACTACAACGAATGGGAAGGCAGGAGAAGGAGTAAGTGGTAAAGAAAACGGAACGTCTTATTTCATTGACAGTGTAATACAGATGGTGGTAGGAAGAAGTATGAAATGATGTTCTGCGGCTGCCTCGGTGTCATGCTGCCTGAGCCTGAGTACGCTTCGGAGTAACTGTCCTATCATATCAAACAGGAATGCATATTGGGAGCAGTCATGGTCTTCTTCGGAGGAACTACTCCCAACAGCTTTCAATATACTTAAATCCAACAATTTATTGGAGTGTACATACACTCACCGACCTAGCCTAAAGCTGTTAGCCAAACAGAAGTGGGCAACTCGCGTCTTCCTTGTATTCGATATCCCCAATACTTCGTATGATCCTAGTCTAGGACATTTACCCGACCACAACCAGCTTCCCGTGACAATTGTTCGACTAGGGGAAAGGGTCCAAGCTTACACGGCCAGCCCACCTATCCAAAACAAGGTGAACCAGGATGTCGCCAGAGCTCATAACGACAACGGTATAAACAGCTTCCCACCCTTTGTTACAGATTATACGTCCGGGCCACCGGTATATCTCAATCCACGCAATACGGCATTACTGTTATGACCGCGCTTTTTCTATTTCAACGTTAGTCGATATGGTAATTGAATAGTGTTCCGTGGCACGCATTCTCTCATCGTTGATATATCTGTGATGGTAGTGTTGATATATATATTCCCGCCTGAGTAGGTACACTAAGTTCTCATGATTAATTTGTCCAATATCGAAACAGCTGTTCCTTTGGATCAATACTGAAATGGTCTGATGGGACTCGCATAAGGGAAATAATCCTATGGAAATTGCCAGAAAGGCTGGTTTTCTAGTCCCAAAGTTTATCTAGTATTATGGTCTATTCCAATGGCCTGTGCTTGGCGGCGAATCAAGTTGAGTTCTATAAAGAATCAAGGAATGCCTTGTAGCGGCTTGTAATGGACATTCTTTCCACAGGTTCTGTCACCTAAAGTGCACAACGCCCAGTACCACGATTCTGAAAGAAGAGCCTTGAGGTCTGTCTACTTTATCCTAAGGCGGGACTGGCCGCTTGGAATCTCCACTGTATCTAAAAATAAACCCTGACAAATTTCACCAATTATCTGCTCCTCGGGCCCCGCTCAGACAGTACTAAGTACTCCGTAGTGCCAGCGACATATATATAAGATGGCGGCGAATTATTCTCCAACCGGAGGAGCATCTTGACCGCAAGAACAGATGACCCCATGTACTGCATCGATTCCAGATGCCTATCGCCATGAAAGTCGGATGATTTGTTCATCCGGTATGCCGTCCCGCGTGGCTGCGTGACCGAGAAGGTGGTCATCCCTCCTTCCCCCTCGTCCCGAACGCCTACACGTCCCTCCACGAAATGACGCTCTTACCAGACCCCAAGAAATCACAACGATGTCGGATCCTGTCGACTACAAAGCTTTGTTTCTCCAGGCAGAGGAAGAAAGAAAGCGAGAGAAGTTGCTGAGAGAGCAGGCAGAGGACGAAATAAAGCGAGAGCAGTTGCTGAGAGAGCAGGCAGAGGAAGAAATAAAGCGAGAGCAGTTGCTGAGAGAGCAGGCAGAAGCACGAACCCGTCGGACAACCTTCGAAGAGTTTATCCAGCACTGTCATAACCTTCTTTCACGACCCTTGGAAACCGGAGATCCCTCCCGGTCAACAACCGGTAGAATTCCACCTCCTACTGGCAAGTATTGCCCTCTTCGACTGGAGCCCTGGACGGACTGTGATACGAGGCAGCAAGAGATTTACAACTCAGTATCTCACTATTTACGACCACTCAGAGATGCGCCACGGTTGTTCGCACCGCTGATTGCGCTGGAGGAATTGGGACAACGGGTTGCACGCCGGCCTTTGAGTAGCGAAAAAGACCTCGAGAGCTACGAGCGGTTTGCCGTTGAAGATCATGTTCATGACATCATCGCTGCGCTATGTCACATTCCGAGCGCCCGAGAGGAGTTTCAGCTGGGAGATGGAGTGTGGTTCGATAACCACGCCAACGCCCTCCAGGAGACCCCGCCAGAAGAGCCACAGACGGACTCCTTGGATCACGATCGACCGTCGCGCCCCGACCAGTTCTGTATTCACCGCGTCGATGGAAATGCAAAGGCATTGTTGACCACGGTCGAATATAAACCACCTCATAAACTGTCCAACGAGAATCTTCGTGCTGGGCTCCGACCGATGGACTTCTATCGCGACATTGTGGAACCGGAAACCGTCCCTACGGATGGGCCCGAGAAGCTACGGTATAATGCAGCCTGTCTTACAGGCGCAGCGATCGTGCAGGAATACCATGTAATGATACAGGAAGGACTGGAATTCTCATATTTAACTACAGGACTTGGGATTGTGCTCCTACGGGTATCCGACGACAGCGGGACTCTGTATTACCATCTCTGCGAGCCGAATCTCGATGTCGCAAGTGGGGTTGCAGGTCCAAAGACAGCGGTTGAGAGGGTGCTTTGCCTCTGCCTGATGAGTTTCCGTTCAGCCTGTCGGGATCAAGCCTGGCGGAATGCTGCTCGGGCACGGCTACCAATCTGGGAAAGCAGCTTCAGCTACACACGATCCCAGATCCCAACTGAGGAATTACGACAGACGCCTCCAGGATCAGACTACATCAGCCCGGAACGCACCAGTTCAGAGTCGACGTCTGAGTACCAGCCGTCGTCCCCTATCGAGCCTCCTGTCAATCCGAGTCGCCGCGCTCGCACCCGTTCCTCTCGCTGCTTACTTACCCCTACTGCTCACCGACAAGACCCTTCGGACTCTGACACTGAACCGGCTGCTACTGCACGACGGAAGCGGGGTTTCAGTCAAATCGCATCTTCGCCGCCTACACAAGAATCTGTACCAACCACTCCGAGCAATTCCTCTCAACACCAAACTGGTCAGTCTCGTCCACACAACTACGAGTTTTGCACACAAAAATGTCTTCTGGGCCTACAGCAAGGCAGTGTATTAGACCAAAGCTGTCCCAATGTGGAACACCACCGTGCAGGACAACACTACCATCATCACCCAATCCGGGCCTCCGAATTGTTACAAATGATCAAGCAGCAACTGGATGACAATCTAGATGAACACTGTACGCCGATGGGAAAATGCGGATCCTATGGCGCTCCATTCAAAGTAACATGTGCCGTGTACGGCTACACGGTGGTCGGGAAGGGCACAACATCACGGTTATGGAGCATCGTGTCAGAGGAAGCAAAGGTTTATCGGATTTTGCAAAGTGTGCAAGGTTCGGCGGTGCCCGTGTTCCTGGGTCCCATTGACTTGGCCAAGATCTATTTCCTTCATGGTGCGGGTGAGATTCGCCATATGCTCTTAATGGGTTGGGGTGGCAACAGCTTGGGCCAGAAGGAGATAGATGCGACCCTCCGTCGCGCGATCTCACGCTCTAAGAGAAAAATCCTCGCTCTGGGTGTGGTGCATGACGATCTCCGACCTGACAATATTCTGTGGAATGAGGAGCTTCAACGAGTCCTGATCATCGATTTTCATCGGTGTCATTTGAAATCTCGGCTACTAGAATCAAAACCTCGCTCCTTGAACACGATGCCACATTTGAAGAGATTGTCAGACAGCTCTGATGAGAATAAGACTAAACGGATGCGTGCCGGGTGGAATCAAGAACCTTGCAAATGAGCCATTATGCAGCTTACAGCACCGGCCAACACCTGCAAGATATGATCATAAACAGCCGGCGCCTGGAGACCGAGGGACTACCGTTCACGTAGATTACTCGTGAGTCAAAAGGCCACCTAATCGAAGTTTACGACAAGCAACGCTTAGCTGGGAATTAGCGCTGCCAACAACCGGGTTCAAAGTTGCTTGAGAGACCGGTAAGCCTTATCGGCATGGTTCTACTAGATAGCTTTCTCCACCCTTGAAAGAGAATAAGAAACCCAAAATCTGTATCATTAAAATAAGCTACCAGTTAGCTAAATTTCCCCTCAATAATGCCTTGCCCACGGGCATCCACGGAAGTCCGACGCAGCCTCCGCCCCCATCGATCTCTTATCGCGACATCGGACCCAGTCCTGGCCAAGATCGTACGAATCAAACCAAGCCCTGGAAGGGAACTAGTTCACACCACATGTCTTTCGGGAGTCTCCTCCTTCGTACTTGATCTGCCTCCCACAGAATAATCAGATTGATCTGCCTCCCCGCAGAGAACCCAATTGATCACCATGCTCAGCCAATTCCCTCCCGAACTCCTGGCCATGGTGCTCAACTATGTAGGCACCCCCAGCAGCAGTGGCCGTGGAACCAGACTAACGCCCTCAGCTGACTCGAACTGACCTCAAACGTCTCGGTGAAGTCTCCAGGGACATTTATAGCTTGACGACTCCTTATCTGTATCAATCCCTTGTCATATCGGCAGCCCGATCATCCCCCCAGAACATCAACGGTGCCATTACCCAGTTGAATCCCGCGCACTTGGTTCATACCAGAGACCTCCGCCTGTATGGGCCGTATCACGGGATGCGAGCTGATAAGACCTGTTCTTTCCATGATTCCTCATTCTTTGGGAATGAGCACCCTGGAGTCGAGGTTAATGAATCCATCTCATGACTATAGTTCCCCTGCTGATCTTAACAGCCTAATATATTCGAACCATTTGCTGAGTTGATGGAGAACCTGCATCTCGCAGTATCAATGATTCCCCAGAACCAACTTCGGAGCTTCAAGTAGGAATATTATCGATTCTTCTGATGCACTACCCTAACCCGCATAGCTGGGACCTAGGAACATGTCTCCCCGACGAACTCGTCCACCGAATTAACGCCATCTTCCAACACCAGCCCCAGATCACCTCCATCTCCCTCATCACCGACAGCGACTGCAAGATGAACGCATCCGCATCCAGCCATCTAAATCTCACTCCCCTCTCCATTCTCCACTCTCTATCCTGGAAAGGCCTCAAACGATACCAAGACTTCGAATCCATTCGAGAATTCATCACCACTCACGGCCCCCAGCTAAAAACCCTCCACCTCGACCTCATCGGCTGGGACAGCACCCGACTATCCTGGACGCAAGGCTTTCTACAACACTCCCCCCCAGATCCAACCACAATCTTACCCGAGAACTTCTTCACCCAACACGTCCTCAACCTTCACCCCGGAAATCCCCTCCCATCCCTCCACCACCTCTCCCTCACCCAAACCTCCTTCCTCCCCCTCCCCACATCCCTCGAACTCCCCACCACCCTCAACATCGCCAACCTCCACTCCCTCCACCTAACCAACTGCCCGGGCACATTCCCCTTCCTGCGCCAAATCACTCACTCCAACATCCCCCTCCACCTCAAACATCTCGAAATCACATTCAACCCCGAACAACTCAACCAACTCAACGACGAAACTCAAGATAACCTCCCCGACACCATCCACTCCTTCCTCGGTTCTTTCTCCGGGCTCACAGACCTATACCTAATGCTCCCATCGATCGCCTGGGAATCTCCTGCGACCTGGGAAGGTATCGCGCACCACAACACCACCCTCAAACATCTTATCACGCACCGTCTCCAGAGAACGGAGTATGGCGGTTTCGAAGACGGGGATTTGTTCATGTCCATATATGATCAGCTCAGGGTGTCTCATCTCCCGGGGTTGGAGTTCTTCGGGGTGTCGGTTGCGTTGGAGGGTGTGGTATGTCCCCTACCCCCCC